ACAATATCCCTAGATCACTTGAGCTATAAATCCCAGAACTGCCATGGAAAGATACAATTGAGATAAAACGGCGTCTAGACGTGAAATCGTAGGTCAGAGAACATGTAATTTGGAGTTTTCGAGGGGAGATGGCTGATTAGAGTATGTGAAGATTAAGAAAGCAAACGATTTGAATGTTAGAATTAGAATATCAACTCATTAATTTTTAACATTATTTCAACTCTTTTCTCTCCCTTTCTCCTCGTTCCAGCTCCCTTTCCTTTCTATTTCCAAAATACCTATTAACTGACTCATCTTACAAATTATACCATTCATTTACTTAAAATCAGTGTGATATGCTACGTGGATATACTTTCTGGCAAAGTTGTCTGGACTGCTTGTAATATGGAGCTAGTAGAGAAAGTTAATTCCAATAAGGTGTACAAAAAAAATATTTGAGAGTAGACTAGAGACCATTATTTACAATCAACCATTAAACGTAAGAGAGCCTAACATCACAAAAGGAGGGAGGGTGGTATGTCTGACCAGCATTCATGACGGTGGGGCGATAACCTCAATCTACCCATGTCTGTGTGGCAGAACATTTTGTTTGCTTACGGCTCCTTACGATATAGCAGGTTGTAACAAATCAATGATATTGATGTTACTTTTCATTGTTATCGCGTCTACAACTCATGTCTGTAACCTTGCACTGGTTTTTACTTCCTACTGAGAAATCCTATTACAAGCTGGTCTGGATAATTATACTAAAAAAGAGCTCATTCATAACTTCTTGATCCGCAGAGTTAAAAATAAAAAGAATAAATAGTTGAATTGTTTTCATTAACCTACATAAGTGCAGGTGTATAGTTTCTGTTATGGTATTAAAAAAGTCTGAGTAAACATACCTTTGTTTTATCCATAAATGTATGTGCGAAGCCGTTGTTCGGCTTTGAAACAAGAATATTTTCTGTTCCGCTCCTCGTCCCGTTTTCTTTATTTCTCTTTTTTCAGAACCTTCCAATCCTCATATATTAGTCTGGATATTTGCAGTAGACTTGGTTACCCTACCCAAGAACATGTGAAATCATTAGCTGATGAATATCAACCGGACCTTTGTACATTTACCGCATCAATTCTTGTTATATGAAAACCTATCACTACCATGAATCGTTTCTCAGTACACAAGATGATTGTCGTAACGCAACCTTCGTAACTTGCGCAAATTATTCGGATTGTACATTCCATGTTTAAGAATACAATGGATCTTGTGAAATGTTTCAGTAACTGTATACCGTTTTAAAAGAAATATGTTGCTAATCTTAACATTTTGATCTTGCCTGTAAATTGGCATGTCTCCTGTAACATGTTTGTTATTTGAGAATAAATTATTATTATTATTATTATTATTATTAAAATATTTTAGACTTGTAACATATGGTGTAAAAGGAGCTCACGATGATTCTTGTGGCCATTGGCACTGAACTAGCTTTTAAGGGTCTTTTAATTTATCTTGCTACTTGAAACAGAAACTGAAAAAGATCTGCAAATTCATGGTGGGAAATGATATGGCTTTGGATATTAGAAGATCTCGGAATATTAGGGGTTGGAGCTTGAAGGCGTGACCCATAACATTTAGGTCTTGGAGGAAAATTATGTTTTCATCAGTTGGCGATACTTGCGGGCATGACAATCGGATACAATAAGTTCATAGTTTGTCAATAAATTCTAAGATAAATCTAGATATTATATGAACCATGGAAATTTACTTCCTGATGAGGTGGTAGTTCTGGAGACAGCTCACGAATCTCTTTTCAGTCTAACAATGGCGTTACTATTCCTGCGAACCTGGCGATTGTGTCTCATATAAGGATAGATATTGGTAGTCTGTTCCACATTATACTGTACCCTATTGCAAAAAATTACAGTGCAATGACGTTCGTGTTTTACAGTTCGCAGTGTATATGCAATGTTTCTGAGTCGGTTAGGTTTTAGTTCACAATTGGACAGTAGGCACGAAATGAGAGGCCGTAGATTATCCTTTAAGAAAATATTGGATTGTTCTCCAGTGGAAGAAGCCATGAATATTCTAGAAAGAGGCTTTTAGCATCTAGCTGTGTAGTCATATCATAGCAGTCGACGCGGAAAGCTTCTTTGGATATCTTTCATTTGTATTTGACATTTTTGGGATGGCTAATGTTTTTCACATACACTCGTAAATGTTTCAGATTTCGGAATGTACAATATAATAATTGGAACAATCTATGTCGTTTCCGTTGCGACAAACGACTGCAGGTTGAGAATCAGTTTTGTGTATGATAGAAATTAATATTAATAATAATAATTTATTCTCAATTGAGGCAAATGAGTTTTGATCTTCTAGATGACATACTCCAGATAATGGTTTGAAAGGCTCTTAAGTAGAGCAGTTGTAAGTCTCCGCGTCTATCAAGGCTATTATTCAAGGTGTGAGATGAAATGGTAAAAAAAGAAACATAGAAAAATGGTTGGTTGTTGGTAAGATGTACCATTTCGTCACATCTTATTTGTCCGAACGTGAGTGCAAGTGTTTAGGTCACTTGGTATATATGCAGATCACGACCACTGAAGCCTTAAATTCGCACGGAAGAATAGTTCTGTCTGTGAACACTGTGAATCAGTTTTCACAATCGCTCCTATTCTTAACATCATTATTGGAAGGAATGATTTGGATATCAGTGGACCAACCTTCAAATGACTGAAAAAGCGCACTAACATACCGTTAGCCTGTTAGAGACTACATGTGTACCACAAATTGACAGTCAGCTCTGAATGAACGTTTCCGCCACTCGCTTCATTGTCATTTTTTTTTGAAGTAAGGTCGAGAAGGTAAGGTCGAGAAATGCTTACCAAAGAATTTGACTATTCTTATGGGAAACCTGAATGCAAAAGTTGACATGGACAACACTGGATATGATGACATCATGGGACGACATGGACTGGGAAAAAGGAATGAAAACGGTGAGAGATTTGCAAACCTATGTGCCTTCAACAAACTGGTCATAGGCGGCACAATATTCCCACACAAAGCTACATGGATTTCACCGGACCACACTACTCAGAACCAAATCGACCATATGTGTATCAATATAAAGTTCAGAAGGGCTATGGAGAATGTGAGAACAAAGAGAGGAGCCTTTCTTCGGGCTACCGTAAAACTCAACGAATTCAAGGTAGCCCTCACCAATAGGTTCCAGGCCTTGCACAATATACTCAATGGAGAGGAAGCAACATTAGAGAACTATTGGAATGGGATCAAGGAGGCAATCACTTCAGAGAAGACGACCAGTGTAACAGCAGCCTCTGCAGCAGTAGGTCTCAGCATACATAAAGGAAAAAGAGAAATTCTCCGATGCAACACAACATGCACCAACCAAATCACTATTGATGGAGATGCTTTCGAGGACGTTAACACCTTTACATATCTGGGTAGCATCATCGATCAGAAAGGTGGATCCGATGCGGATGCGAGGGCACGGATTGGCAAAGCAAGGGCTGCATTTCTACAGTTGAAAAATATCTGGAACTCCAAACAACTTTCAAACAAAACCAAAATCAGGATTTTCAATACAAATGTCAAGACAGTTCTACTGTATGGAGCGGAAACTTGAAGAACTACGAAAGGCATCATCCAGAAGATACAAGTGTTTATTAACAGTTGTCAACGCAAAACACTTCGTATTCGTTGGCCGGAAACCATTAGCAACAACTTACTGTGGGAGAGAACAAACCAGATTCCAGTGGAGGAGGAAATCAGGAAGAAGCGGTGGAGGTGGATAGGACACACACAACGAAAAACACCAACCTGAGTCACAGGATAGGCCCTCACATGGAACCCTGTAGGCCCAGTACAGAGTTGGTTGGATAAAACTGGTTGGCGGCCTATGCTCCATTGGGGGATAACAGGCGTAAGTAAGTAAGTAAGTAATTATAACACATAACTCCACACAAATATCAAACTGTCTTTACTGATTGCAGTCGAGTGGCTGGACTAGAACTCAATTCATATAAACAAATACGTGAAACAGCACCGAAACAACAAGGTTTAAACGCAAAATTATCAACTGCTTTATACTAACTGGTGAAAAATATATTGGATATTGGATAACCAATCCAAGGTGAGGCTCGAGGGTTGACTCGAAGGTCGTTTTTACACAATTAGCATATTTCCTCAGGCATGTAATTAAATGTATGGTTTATTCACCCCTCAGCTTGTCTAATTAATGGCAAAGTAATTCAAAGTAAATTATAACAATAATTAGTGTTGATTATTTTAATCTGAAATGGTAACCCTGAAGATGATATACAGGTGAAGCCGAATTACTAAGTTTAACTTGTCATAGGTCGACATTTGTGTCACTATATTTACTCTCCAGTTTTTATTATTCCTAGAGCATTTACTAGTTCCAACGACATACTTCGAAATCCTCTTAATTTAGAGATAGAGTAGTTGTTGGTTGTCTAGTGAATTAGATGCTATCCCGTCTGAGAGGTTCGTTACAAATATAGACTTATAAATAAGTTTATTTAAATAAACTACCGGGGAAATAGAAAAAAGGTCCAGTTTCTCTTGGAGATATATCCGTTTTCACTTGATGTTAGAATGTTTAAACTCTTTTCATGAAGAATCCGTGCTATTAATGTCAGGCTTTTGCAGTGTTTACATTTATTGTGATTCTAAGCTGATCGCTTTAACAGTTTCATCCATGTTTTAGTTAATTTTCGTTGTGAAGGTGTGAGAGAATTGCCTAAATGTCGCAGTCAACACAATCTCTGTTTGTTCTCAAAAATGCACATTTTAACTGGATTGTATATTACTGGTTCGAACCAGCTTACAATATATATAACCCTAAATTGTACTTTTAATGCGCTTAGTTTTTTCAGATGTAATTTATTCTGAATCGCTATCCTACTTGCGAAATCAATATTCGTTTGCATCTGGCCCTCGAACGTCAGAGCTTCCAATCAGTTTTTCAGTAACGATGCAGAACAGTCATCCACCTGAAGATTCTAATTGCCTGGACGAAGTTTGGCAACCACGTAATCAAACCGTCTCAGAAATTTCTAAACATTCTTTAACAACTCGACCTACAGGAATCATAAATAGAACTTCAAGTTCATCCTTCACTTCGAATGGTTTACTGATCGATAGAGTTTCTTCTCTGCCTGTTGCTGAAGATAATATATCAACAAACCAAGATAGGACCACTGAAAGCTTGCAGAAGTCGAGAAATTTGCGACAAAGCTTACGATCATTTCTACGCAAAGCTACTAGTCTGAAAGAATCTCGATCGAATCTAAATATCGAATGTTCTGTTATTGGTCTCGATGGAAAATGTTTTAGGTTTAGTTTATATGTAAGTTTAGTTTTGAGGCCTTTCAATAACTGATTTATGATATTGCAAAGCTGGTTCTTCAACTGTCTATTTCCAGAAGTAAACGAACTCTAACAGTATAGGTCATCCAGTTAAAATATGTTACTCATTTACCAATTATCTAGCCTTGTTTTAGTGATATCATCTGGCTTTTTAAATGCGCGTCACTGTTATGAGGCTGGAACTTACGATATGATGCTTAATAACGGAGTACTTTTACCTCAGTGTGGGAATGCTGTTTCTTAGTGAATATGGATATCAAGCTGGTATTATTCTCTTAAACAATATAACATGGTTTGTTAAAAAACCTGTTTAGTGACTACAAACCAAAATTTAAGTTTGTAAAACATGGCACGATACGTAATTAAAGTGTGGAATAAATTTCATTTTGAGCTCATACTTCAAGACACGGTGCTCATCAAAAACATCTTTTTCAGTTAATTTACTATCATACCACTATTGGATTTGAACTGACAGTTGCGTCTGTTCTGATGTGATATGGCAACCTAAACTGATGTACTACGTACGAAGTTCTGCGTTGTATCTGTCTTCCTCACAATTATATATATATATATATATATATATATATATATATGTATATATATATATATATGTATATATTTACATATATTCATTCAAGTATAAACTTCTTGAGGACATATAAATAGTCAATAGACGTGATAAGGTAATGAACAGGTTATAAATAATAACAAAAAAATACAAAGACATGTAAAATTAATAAGTTAGCAATGGATTATAATTTGAACGGTAAAAGATGACAAAAATGTTTTTGTTTCCTTAAATAAAGGTGATAAACGGACTGAATGAAATAAAGTGGTGTCAAAAAATATGATTGAAATCATGGATATATGAAAAACTAATTAACGAGAAAGGGATATTTTCAAATGCGAACTATGATAGGGATAAGGATAAGGCTTACCTCTTTTGTACGCACGGTTCAGACTTTATCTCATGAGTGGCAAGAACTTCTGCTATATTAAGCATGTGGGTATATTTGGACGAACTTTATGTTGATGTTAAAAACAGATATAGGCCTACTGATTTACCACTAAAAAGATTTATTTTTACGTTTCATCTTTGATCTTCAGTTTCAGTAATGATAGTTCCAACAATGAAGTATGTAGAGATGAAGATGGATTCGCGATGGGGTCTCTATTGGACTCAGTCTTAATACACTGTCTCATGTATAAAGTAGAAAACAATAAACTTAGTTCAACTTAGTTCAGTCATCAATCAATTTCATCTACACACAGATGTATGGAAGACACTTTTTGTCATTTGCAACGAGAATGTCGACCTAATTGACGTTTTGTATCCCCTCAATACATGCCATCCATCCCTAGAAAATGAAGTAGGTCATTCAATTTCATTTTTCAATACGCTTCAGACAAGGAGTGATAGATCCCTAAAAATGTCCATGTACAGGAAACAAATATGGAATGATCAGCTGACCAGCTTCCATAGCTGAGTTTCACTAAGCGAAAAGAAAACATTTTTTCGCTTTTGATGTTACGTAAGATCTATGATACTGAATGCATTGATGAGGAAGTTGAGTTCCTCAGAAAAACGTTGACTGACTATCCAAGCTGCTTCAAAGAAAAGAACATGAAACAAAGTCGGTATAAAGAATCCGGAAATTCTGTTTCAAAGAAATATCCCTACGTGATCCAGGAATTCAAGTACGACCAAACTTCTGGTGTATTTATAAACCGGTTAATGACAGCCATAAAAAGAACATTTGACGCAGCAAGGCTGCAAATACTGTCTACTAGTAGAAGCTTGTTTTCCAGATCCGTAAAGAATAAGCTTCCTCGTCTGGCTGCTTCTGTATGCATCTTCCAGTTCTCCCGCTCTTGTGGAGCAAGATACATAGGCCACAACTAGCGCTTGCTTTGAATTCAGATACCAGAACATGCCCCGATTTGGTTCTACTAGGGTGAGATGAAAGCAGTTACAAGTTCGATTCTTAGACTGAGTCGATTTCAATTGCTCCGTTGATCCATCGGTTGAATTTAAGGTTGTGTATACAATTCGTCCAAATATATCTCATCGCAACTCCATCTCTATATACTTCATTGCTGGAACTACCATTACTGAAACTGGAGATCAAAGATGCAACATAACAATAATTCTTTCTGGTGGTCAGTCAGTAGGCTGACATCCGTTTTTGAAATCAACATACGGTTCGTCCAAATATATCCAAATTTCCTCTTATCCAAATGCTTAATATAGCTGACTCACTTTTTTCAAGGTTATCTATTTGGATTCTGAGATGTTCCTGTTGTGTATTAATTTACTCATCTTGCTGTACAGATAATAAAAGTTAGACCATTGACTAATGAATGGAATGATTGTTCTAGTGCAGTTTTAATTCCTATGACGTTAGGATACAGTTTTAATCATAATCATAATTATACATCCTCAGATTTATGTAGATCCTATTTGTTGTGTTTAGCTTACATTAGAGAAGAAATCCTTGTCTAGGATTCGCAGATCCCTAATTAGTTTTTAGCATTGTGTTTGACTTCGTAATTATTAATCAGTAAAACCAGACGAATTTGTATAGAAATTCTCTTTATAGTGTACTGTAATTGCACATGGTTAAGTGGAATACATTATTGCATAATTTATCTTGGTATTTTCCATCATTATCATTGTTTACTTCAAACTTTTTTTTTATTTAAATCTGTAAACAGAAATTCGCTTTTGGACGTGAGCTCTTCGATTTGGTATGTCAGTCTCTGGAATTAGAAGAGTCACAGTATTTTGGTTTGGTTTACTATTTAAACCGTTCAGCTACTAGAAACTCTGTGATGGGAACACATGGTGATGGACAAGATAGTTCTGATGCATCGTTTCGTCTTTCATCGTCTTCGATTGATGAATCTTACTTAACTAAATTTTGTGGTTTTCCTATGAACAACCCGTTTAATCCTTGTAAAATGTACTCAAATGATACGACATATCCTGGATTTAATCCGTTTTTTATTGATGTTCCTGTAAGTTAATTTCTTTTAATTTCTAAATCTTAAGGATATGTACTACTAAATCGCTTAAGCATATTGCTGACACGATTAGTTGAACTTTATTGAATGTAAATGTTCTTGTTTTGTAGTGAAAAGGTTTTGACCATTACTTAAATAAGCTTTCAACTTTTTTTTGCTAAGTTTCTAAATAAAGTTATCGATAATTTGTAGTTGAATTATCTGGGGCATGGTAATCAAAGATATTGATAGCAGACTAATTTTACTTATTTGTTCATACGAGGATTAGTTAAAAGCTTCATGTGTCAGTCAAAAAAAATGTTAGCTTAACTGATGTTGTTTCTTATGAATTACGGGTGTTCATAAATTATATGACATCGAACGTAGTTGTGTTTTTATAAAAACCGTAAGGTTTTTTTTATTGTGATTGATTATTTTTAAGGACAATACTCCTGCATAGCTTCACCCTTGAGATTATAATGTAATATTCGAGAGTAAAATCTCTCTGTTTATTGAAGCATTACTAACCTTAACTGTATATTTTCATCGCTTAACAATAATGTTTTTTCATCATGCATTATGTTGTCATGCTTCATTGATTTCGGTATACAATCTGCGTTCTTCATTCATCGGCTTAAAATCAACCCTCCTATCACAATTTACGTTGGCATATGCTGTTATCGATCTTCATCGAATGAATAATTCAGTTCACAATTTTAGCACATAGATCTATATATCTTTTTAATCTGTTAAATTGTTTCTCACTTGAATACTGATTGTATTTGTGAGATTGATTATATACTTTACTCATCTATACTTATAAAAATGTTTATATTTCATTTAGTTTTGGTTAGATGTAGAAAAAAGAATCACGGATCAATGTCACGGTGAGTGAATTTATCATACTTATTTATTCTTTAAACATTTATAAGTAGTCTGAAGTTATAATCTGTATCATAGAAAAGAGTTCTAAATTTCTAATGAAAAAATTCTATTGGTTAAAACGTTGAATAAACTGATGGTCGATGGTTGGTACACTGATGTATTGTTTGGTTTATTGATAATATTTCAGAAGATCTAGCCATTGATTCAGTGATCTGAATAGACTAATATCAAAATACAAGACAGCTTTTTAGGAATTAAGTTTTTTCGATAAATTGATGCGTATAAAAAATATGGTCATAAAGACAAACGTAATTAAATGTCGATTAAAATATGGCTGGGTTTGTAAATAATCCATATAGTGATGAGATCAGTACTTGACTATAGTTATGCTTATTGACCGTAGTTTAGCATTCGACTTCTTTGGTCAAGAGATCATGTGGCAGTGTTTGTCGTTTAAAATGAATTTCTTTCCTTCTAAATGAAAAACTTTGCTTCATGGCTGGTGTACATGATCGCCTTGATTAAACGTAGGAAGTGAAGTAGTTAAGTGTGTTGCTTCAATCACTTATCTTAGGAGTTTCATCAACGCTAATGAGCTGGTATCTGACGGAGTTACGGCACCGATTCACAAAGCTTCATATTACAATAAGGTTATTAACCGGTGTACAAGAGTTAAGAACATTCATAGGCCAATAGTATTTGACCATGTCTTTGGATGACATGGCTTAGAATCAGTCATAACGATATAAAATTATTCGTTATTTATCATCTTCTAGATCTTGACTTTCAATACTCTGCATAGCTTTTTATTTCTTCTTCAAAACCATATTGCCAATTCTTACTGTTTAGCATTATCATTGTTAATATAGTTGTTTGATTTCCTTTAGTATTCACCCCAGTAATTTCTTGTCATCTTACTGTTCTATGTCAATCTGGAAGAACACACATTTGTCCTACGTTGAACTTTGATTTTGACATATCATACTTGTTCATTCAAGACAGAAAATTGTTATTTATATCCATGTCAGTGTTTTCAGATTGTTAAAAATCATAGCTAAACAAATTTTCAGGTGTAGAGGTCTGTTTAGTAGACGAGAAGTTTCTTGATTATGATCTTATTAATTCAAATTGGATGCCTATGCTTCATTTGATCAGTTGATACTGTAATGGCTCTCTTTCTTTGAATATACCACATCTACGTGTTTCTAAAAAGTGACCTTGGTATTTACAAGATTATGCTTTTTCTAATTTAGGAGAATATAACGAAAAAAATTCAACAAGTGAAAATTAAAACTTTAAAAGAAAGTAAAATAGTAAAAAGAGATTATCAAGGAAGAACTTGAATGATGATTCTAATAACCTCTTTTTGGTGACTACCAGCTTTAGTAGTCTGCTAATATTGGTTTTTCTAATTTTAAGAACCTCAACCAATATAGCAGCAGTATCTTCTTATTCAACCTTCATAAACAATCATTGTCTGTACGAACAATGTCAATCTATTTATCGTGTGTTAAATCTACTTTAATTTACATTACACGGATGGAATAAACTAATCTTATTTAAGTCATTTTAGACATGATTATTTTTGGGGACGTTAGATTCCCAGAACTCGCTTGATAAATGCCTTAATTTTGGATTTTATGTTTCCGAGCATGGGCTGATCAGTTGACCTTGGGATCACACTTCCCAACGGAAAATCCTTGGCTGTGATTGGTCACTGTGTTATTTTAGTGTGCTATTTTTGTGACTCTCCCAAGGACATTTCTATGATGTATAAATAAACGAGATTTGTGTGCTTGTATTGCATTGTGCTTGCTGGATGTTTGTAGAATATACTTTCTACGCTTTACCAAAACTTTTCGTTAGTCAACAGATCACAGTAGCCTACCTGGACGCTGGTTCATTGTCTCGTTCTGGTTTGTCGACTAAGGTGAACCCGTAATAGTTTCAAGTATTACTAGTGACGAGCATAACAATTATATAGTTCAGTCAGTCAGATGCAACGTAGAACTTTGTACATAAGTACATCAGTTCATGTTGCCATACCACATCAGCACAGAGATGTAATTGTCAATTCAAATCCAATAGTAGTAGAGGTAGTAAAGGTATCAGAAGTAATCGGAGAGGTTAGGATAAGAAGATATTATTCAAGAAGTATGATTCAGTGAGAAAAGTTTAGAAAGTTAAAACTAGAGGTGTTGAAGAATTCAGAAGATTAGGATTTGAGAGAACACAAAGAATAAAAGCACTGGCGCCATTGCGAACGATTTTAAGCCATGTCATTCAAGGTCTCTAACCATCGATTATTATCATCTCGCGGACCCCAATTATATAGTTGTATTAGTGTTAATTCCTAGTGAATTGAATTTAATCACTATTAGAAATGTTATAATTTTCTTCTTCCACTTTTTTTTTTAAAAAAAAATTTCATTCACTTTAAGGCAGAAAAAAAACCCAACAAGTGGATTGACAAATGAACGTTTATTTTAATTTTTGTTCACGTTTACTTTGTTATAGTCCATTTCATTTTTACTTTAATAATATTTATCTATCTCTCTCTCTATCATTAAACTACTAGTTGACCTTTGCTTTGTTTCATAACGTTTCATATGCTTCTATGATGTGTGCATGTGATTCGATCTGACTTAGTTGGTTCTGTTAATGCTGTTGTTGTTCGAAATTACTTTTATTCACTAATTATTTCATTATTGAATATTGAACCATCAGTAGTACCTTCTCTTATTTTTCTCTCTTTCTTTCTTTTTGTTTTAACCTCATTTTTTTTTAAAAAAAAGGAAAGAGTTGGTGTTTTTCTTTCATGTAATTTTACTTCAATATCAGATTCACATAGGGTGTTTCTATTCAATTTACCTTGTTTTTTTTTCAGATGGAATTTTCAAAGCAATACTATTATTCTCTATGCTATTTATGCTAAGCAGTTAAAAGGTAGTAGTATTAAAATAGATAATTGTAGATGACGATAGATGTAGATGACTATTTTGGCACTTTATAACTAAGTTTTCACTACTTGAATAGTCAAATGTATAAATGCCGTTTAATCGAACTTTCTTCTTAGTTGAGTTGTTTCTTTGAAGTTTGTATTATTAGTGACATAGTAATCGTATTATTTATTGAAAATTCACAATAGACGAAGGAGTGGTTTTTTTATATTGACATTTATTTCGTTTTATTTTTTATTAGCTGTTTATCTAATTTATTGAATAAAATGAATGGTCTTACTAGTTGAATTTATCCGTGAGAACTAAAGATTTTCGATTGACTAGCTACGTTTGTTGGCATTCACTTGACCGAATAGCTATCGGTTTTGTGATTAGATGTTTCCCGATTGTTTGATAGATAATTGGTTGGTTGTCTTTATCTGCTTTCGTGTAAAGTTACAGATTATTGGAATTCTGAAGGGTTTTATTAACTAATGGTTAAATTTTAAAGTTCTTGGGTATAAGTTACTTTCTAAGTATTTATTGAGTATGAGAATGCGTTCTTAAATTATCACATAATTAGATTCATTTCACACTGTTTACTTACTTTTACTTCATAGAAATTTAAAGATAGTTTGTTGATGGAAATATTTTCTGTAATATCATGTAGCGTAGTTATTGTATATTTGTATCAGCATTGTTTGGAGATATAGATTGGTAATACATCTCTAATAGTGTCCTAAACTTTTAGAATGTTGGAAAAGTGTTATGCACTAATCTCTATAATCGTTAAAGTGATAAGAATATTATGTAGTTATACAAAGGAGCACATGAAAAGAGTGAAAGTAAAATCCACAGTAAAATAAAAGATTAGGCATATCACCATTGAACACATAGTTCTAAAGTAAAAAGGATGAACTGCTCAAATTCTTATTGTACTCAATTGTATAATACATGATCTTCTTAAGTCACTTTATATTTATTTTCAATAAACCATTCGAGTAGACTTGTAACACTTAAATTATTGAGAATTTCAAGAATTGAAATGTTGGTTTATCTGAACTGTCTTTTCGACAATTAAATGGGTTGATTTATTGTTTTTAAAAAAAGTACACTTCAGGCTGCCAACGTAAAGAACTTCATAAAACCGAGTAAACTCACTGGTTAGCGTAAGTTGATGTGGTCAAAGGTGAGAACTTTCCCCAATATACTTGCTAACTCGGTTGTCCCAGGGTACACGAGAAGTGTTCCGGAGACACCTATGATCGAAAACCAGCAACTTACGAATATATTCTCTGACTGGCCACGTTTCGCACCCATAGAGTAGGAGGGACATGTGTTGCGTATGCCTAACCACCGACTGCGTCGTCGAGCTATGGTTTGTGGTGTAGGAATAGGTTGGAAGAAAGCTGGGGGCGGCCAGATCAAAACATGGCACAAATCCCTGAAGTCACTGACAACTGGATTGGACTATGTTGGTAACTGTCGACTCCCTGGTTGGAGCCCACGAGATGATAGTAATCGATGGTTACAGACCCTGAATGACATGGCTCAAAGTCGTTTGTAATGGCTCAGGTGCAACCATTCTTCGTGTTCTCTCAAATCGTAACCGGATTTCCTCATCACATTTATCTTTTGCTTTTTAAGTCTATTTCACTAAATTATACTCCTTGAATAACATCGTCAAACTCTAATCTCTCCGATTACTGCTCATACTTCTATTACCTCCATTACTATGGAATTCAAATCGACAATCGTGTCTCTGTGCTAATGTGGTATGGCAACTTGAACTGATGTACGTACGTACGAAGTTCTATGTTGTTGTTGACTGACTGATTTACAATGAATTTTTGCATATTACACTTTTACATGTATAACTTGCGATGTTGAAGATTGTCTTTTTTTTTAATTTCAGGTTCTAAATTGACATTTTACTTTCAAGTAAAATTCTATCCACAACACCCTGATCTCGTTTTTGAATGCCCTAAGTCCAGATATCAATTTTGCCTTCAGTTAAGACAGCATTTAAGTATTGGACGGTGAGTTATACGTCTTTCGACGTATATTTTGTTGGATATTTTCCGTTATTATCCTGACGTTTTTATATCATGGTCAGTGTTATACCAGAAAAGAATGTCGTATTTAAAATACTGAACAAATTAATGATTCATTCATAACCATAAATGAATCAGCCCAATGAATTGTGTTTTGCATAAATACAGTGAAAGAAAACATCTTAGATGAAAAGTACAGTATTTGAAATATTGATATTTGCAGTCTTAACAACCTAACATAAATATAGTTTACAGATATTATATGACATTACAAAAGGGAAAATCAGGAGTGAGCACATCTGCCTCTATATAGCTGTTTTTCAAGTCATTTCATGTAGGATTCTCTAACTATCGATCACAATCAAGACGTTCAAGTTTCTTCGTAATGATTGAATCTAATGGAGAATAACTTTATTTACTGATGTCATGTCTTGATGCGCCCACTGTAAGCTTTCTTCAAGTCTATTTTTATTTCATTTGAGAATTGATAACTACTAATCAAGTTCAAGATCTACACAACAAGCCGTCAGCTATACGTCATGAAGGCGGAATAGCTTCTGATGATGTTGTCAAGAAAGACAATAAAAAATATACGACTAAATCACCTAGTTCACAAAAACGAAGTGTACCGAAATTGCCAGCTACCAATAAACTTCAGCGCTTGTATCGTCGAAAGGTGCGTTACTCACATTTCGGCCTTCAGAGGAGTTTCATACTAGGACAAGACAACCATCCAGTGCTTCCACGTCTTCAATAGTGGCCTAAAAATTCTCGGTTCATGATTTCAATGAAACTCAAACTCTGCAAAACTCTGTACTAGTAATTATCATGTGCTCACCAATGGCTAGCTTGAGAGAGAATCCTCGAAGTTTTTGTTAAAAGCTGTGGCCGGTGAAGTTTAACTCTGTTGGATATGAAAAGCAGTTATTCACCGCAGGCAGTGGGAGATGGCCGCGCAAATCGTGAATTGACTGGAGTTAGACCTTAACACCGTTAGATGCCGACTCAGAAGTCCAGATGTCGAGCGTCTGTACGTGAAACTGAAGGTCCTAGATTTGATCGCCGCATGCTAGGGTCATGTATTCACATTAATAATGAAGCATACGCTAAAACGAAACGTCTCTCCAGTGCCTTCAGGTTTCCGGCGACAGTTTAAAATTTATTGGTTCATGATTTCAACGTGACTCAACAATTTCTAAAACACTATACTGATATCTAGTATCTAATTTTACCACAAATTTTCAAGTCACTGAACCAGTTTTATTTTCAGTAATAGATTTTTGATTTGTGAATTACAAAATGATTTACTTTTTATAATGTATCATATATTTTTTTCTTTTTATTCATAGACTCTTATGCTCATTTGAAACCCACGTAATATTGGGAGCATTAATAGCTCAAATGGATCTAGGTAATGCTGTGAAACATCGAAGATCTCGCAGTGGTCATTCAAGTTGTCGATCTAATCCTTATGTTGAATCAACATCACATAATTTTTCACGTCAACAGTCGATTTCACCAGCTCGAAGTTTTTCATCTGAACGTAGATGTAGTTTAGCTCAACCTGAGCATAGTGATGATAGTATTATATGGGATTCACGCGTTGATGATAAGTGCAATAAAGATAAACCTTGTTCATCTTCTGTTAGAAATAAATCCAACACATACAATCATATTGGTTGTAGTTGTTCTACACAACAGATAGATAATATCAGTATTATGTATTTACAATGTTTACCTCATTTAGCCAGAGGATCTGTTACGTCATCATCGATTCATCATAGTACAAATGATATATCGAACAGTAGTAGACCAAGTTTATTGTCATCTACATTAAATAACATTGAAGATGTTCTGTTATCACCAGTAAAGCAAACTTTTAGTCCTGGATGGCCTTACCCAAAGTCCGATTGTCGTTATTGTCCTGTGCTTTTATCACGTATTGCTCGATTACATCGAAATCTTAGGCAAGTGAACTTTGTTTACATATACATGTATATATATCGTATCTCATTTCGTTAACTCACTGTTCTAAGGTGATTTTTCCTTACCAAAATTGTGTTCTTATCACATAGAAATTTTACCAACCAGGAAAGCGAATATATAGTTGTATTGTTAATATTTTATAGTCTGTTGCATTAATTCAACTGTTAATGTATGTTTTATCATTTTTGATTTTTAAATAGATAGAGCGAAACGATATGTCAATGTTTAATCTTAGTGCTTTAACATTTAGTTTTATCATAAGCAATTGTACGGCAGTACTATTCATATGAAGTTTATTTCATAGTCTTTTCAGTATTATACAATGTAATAGAATAAAAAATAATATCAATGCATTCCGAGATATTGTAGTAGTCACATCTCGAATTCAATAGTTTAAACATTATAATCAGGTGCCGATACAAGCCAATCCTGACGCAACAATTCGCATTTTGATGGGGAGAATCGCATCCCGAACATGCTTGCTTAAAAAGCAGCGAAATATTAGGACACAAATTGACTATAATCATCGCGAGTCTAATCACTCGTCGGGAAGTTGTCACTAATTCAATACATAAGTGAAATTATGGACATATCTGAGATACGCTAATATGTTACAACAATGTAATCATTCTGATTTACACTTGCTGACAACCGTTTATGCAAATCTAATGCAGATGTGAAGGTGCGCACCGTCAAAGCGAGGTCAGCATTTCTACAGTTGACCGACATCTGGAACTCGAAACAACTATCAGTCAACACTAAAGTCATAATTTCCGATACGAATGTCAAGACAGTTCTACTGTATTAGGCGGTAACTTTGGTAACTACGTGTTATAACGCTGCTACGTATCACTATTCAGTCCTAGAGGCGTCCAATTCAAATATCCCAATACGACCCAAAATGCTATTTCCAAATCTCCTATATATCAGAACGCAACACAGTGGGACAGAGTTGTTTATTGGGTCGAGAACAGAAGAGAGGTAGGCAGGAAGGAACGGAATCGGAATCATGAAGGCTTACAGATAGTGCGTGTTTATACATTAAGGTCATCAAAGTCTGTGACATTGACAGTTTAGGACGACCAATAGGAAAGAACACTTGAAATGACATTGACAGTCCGGATGACCAATAAGAGACAACATTGAAGTATCCTAACACTACGGAAGCCATCATCCAGAAGATACAAGTATTTATTAACAGTTGTCTACGCGAAATACTTCGGATTTATTGGCCAGACACTATCAACAACAACTTTTTGTGGGAGAGAACAAACCAGATTCCACTGGAGGAAGAAGCTGTGGAAGTGCATAGGACACACACTTCGGAAAGCACCGAACTGCGTCACAAGACAAGCCCTCACTTGGGACTCACAGGGTTAAATGAAAAGAGAAAGGTCAAAAACACATTACTACGAGAAATGGAGATAGACATAAGAAGACAGAATAACAGTTTGACACAATTCGAAAGGAAGGCGCAGGACAGAATAGGTTCGACAATTCTGGTCGGCGTCCTATGGTAACAGGGTAACAGGCGTAAGTACTTACTTAATTAGTTACTCCTGTTACCCCTAATGCAGTATAGTCCGCCAACCACCATTCTCCAACCTATTCTGTCCTGGGTTTATTTATAACATGTTTTATATAATTACTTTTTTCAAATAAACACAACGGAACAAATAAACACTATTCAGTCAATATGAAGTTTACTAGTGTAATATTGATTTTCACTATTAATTAAAGTTGATACGCATTAGTAACATATTAAAAAAAGTTTGTAAGATTTCTTTAGTCATCTAATATGATTGTCAGTAATTAATTGTTTTTTTTCTTTTTCCATTTCTGATTTATGCTGAATCACTTGGCATAAATAATTATTCTTATCGGAATTGTTGTTTTAATATTTTATGTTATTTTAAACGAGCGGTTTGGAAATCATCATCAAACAAAATCGAACATTAGTGCTGAATTTAAGTGATTAATCCATGTTTCATATGATAGAAAATTGTTAGTCACAGCACAACATACATAAATTATCATGTTGAATGCAATTATTCTAATCTCTAATTAGATTGATTAAATCATTCAGTTACTACTTCCAGATGATGCACATAATTTTAAATATTTTATCAATTAGTATATTTTTTATGATCGTTTTTCAAGAGCCAGTTAGTTACAACGTAGAACTTCGTACGTACGTACGTACGTACATCAGTTCAAGTTGCCATACCACATTAGCACAAAGACGCAATTGTCAATTCAAATTCCATAGTAATGGAGGTAATAGAAGTGTATGAGCAATAGTCGGATAGATTAGGGTTCGAAGATATTATTCAAGAAGTAGAATGTAGTGAAAGAAACTTAAAAAGAGGGAGGTAAAGGTAATGATGAATTCAAAAGATTAGGATTTGAGCGAACACAAAGAATGAATGCACCTGCGCCATTGCAAACGGTTTTGAGCCATGTCATTCAGGGTCTGTAAACATCGATTACTATCATTTCGCGGGCCCCAACTAGGTATTCGACACCTACCAACATGACTCGGTCTACTTTTTAGTGACTTCATGGATTTCAGCCATGTTTCGATATGGCCGCCCCTAACTTTCTTCCAGCCTAACCTCACATCACACAAAATCATTCATCGAGGTAGTCGGTGGTTGGGCATGAGTCACACATGTCCTAACTACCTCAACTGAAGTTTCAATACTTCATCTATTTATCTGCTATCCCTACCTAGTACACGTTTCCTAACGACAGCATTGCTTATTCAGTTGTCCCAGGATAAACGAGCCTGGAGACACCTATGATCGAAAACCAACAACCTACGAATATCTTCTACTCTGCCTGGCCTTGTTTTCATTGTATTGTATGATGTTTAAGATTTGTTTCAACAATGACATCAGACTCACATTGACAACATCCAGCTTGTCATAGTATTTTACTTAGTTTTTTCTTATAGGTTTTTGAGGTTGAACTCACAAGATAATTTATTGTCATGTAATCTACGCTCTTTGTCTATTCTAATTCGAACTACTATGTTTTATCTTACTAAATAAAATAATGCTTCATACAGTTTTTCAATCTGGAAATGTTTTAGTCGTTATAGTTTTTTATATTCTTTTTTATCACATCAATCTTAGTCTACAGGAATAGAGAGTTCAACAAGTTTGAGAAATAATAGAATCTAAAGCGCTTATAATCACCGTAACAAGTTTACCTGCAAGCTTAGCGTGTTTGATATTTCCTATGGGTTTAAAATTCCAAATCACTCAATTTTACGGTTTAACATGTTATTACTAAGCTATTGAATCTGTCTGTGATTGATATCGAACTCTGTCGATCAAGTCACAAAGTTGACCATAGTCTAAGTGTCTCGATTCGATCAGTATTAAGGGTTTGACTTGCATCACATTGGCCTCATTAATGACTGATCTCTTAGTACGAGTTATTTTACTGTTCTTGAAAAATAGTTTTTCATTTGTAATATTCTGATGCCATAAATATTTGCTGTGGTGCATATTTCTCCGATATCAATCATATTCATTGAGTTTGTCTTTTTAATGCAATGTGTTCGACTGCTGAACGCATTTTTTAAACTTTGTGTTACGATCATTATTATTATTATTATTATCGATTTTATTTTTTATGCATTCAGGGGCATGTCACAAAAAGATGCAGAAATATCGTTTTTAAAAAATGTAAAGAAATTATCATTTTATGGTGTTGAATTACATCCAATAAAGGTAACATTTTTTTATACTTATTTCACTCTGATGTGATATTTACATAGAGGAAGTGTATCATGTTGAATTTTTATGTCTTGTTATTTATAAATTTTTTCTAAAGCTTAGAATATTTAGTAGCATAAGACATTCAGTTCACTTTAAATTCAGTATATAAATAATTTATTGAATAGTAGCGTAACCATCGATTACCAATTACTGAACCGTTTGGACGCTTGTATTAATACTACTGTTATGCTCGAAGTATGTAGAGTTAAATTAAACTCATAAGTGAATGATTAAAAGAGTTTCATTAAAATCGTAAATCAATCAATGTTAGACCATCATTAGAAACCTGGAATTACTGGACGACCGTTTTGTCCTAGTATGGGACTCATCAGCAGTGCGTATCCACGACCGTCGCACCCGAATGCTTAACTTCTAGACCACTGAGTAGGCATCCAACAGTGTTAATGTCTAACTCCAATTAATCCACGATATTGAGTAACCTCATGGGTAATTGCCTCACCAAAATTGTCACTACAAGCATTTATACTCTCCTCTTTCTTAGCATTTTGATTTTGAGACTCATTAGAGACGTCAGTACTAAATGGTTGGCACATTTATCTGATTAGATGAACCATACTTTCTAGAATCCATTGTTCGTCATTGTTTAAAATATAGCAGACTTATGTATTCAAATAATAACAAAGTATCCACTCAATAAGTCGATTGATTTTACCGGTCTTGTTTATCCGTTACAGGAAAGTGTGATTCCTCACAAATACTATCTTGATGGTGAATATTTATCTGAAGATTGTTAGAAAAAAAAAGAACAGCTACTGTTTTGTCATGTATAAACAATGCATCAGTTATTTTAAGTAGAGTATAAAATAAAGAAGATTAATATTAACTAGAAACGAGCATAATCAATGTTTTGTTGACTTTGTAAAATAACTTTCGGTGATTTCGCAAATTTGTGTGCACAAACTGGCTTACTTAGTGTTTGATCTGTTCCTAATGAATAATACCTTCTTATAAGTAGTTATCAAATCTTATCAACGAGATCAATCAATAAATCAACCAAAGTCAAATTCAGTAATAAAGATTGTGAACAGTATTATGTACAATATCTTTCGTGTTAAATTTTGTGCAACAGTTCATAGTATATTAAACTGTGACTTAATGATATGATCATTACTGCACTTTCACTCATTTGGACCTGAGTTCGACTCTGTTTCTCATCTTGGGTTGTTTCATTTAGGAGGTTGATAGAATGTTTTAATCATAGATTTTATTTTTATTATCACTTGTATGTAGGATTCATAGTCAAACTTGAAAAAAAAAGTTTTACCCATTCTCAAGTCTATCATTCATTCTGCTTTCATTGAGAAATATATTTTCTTTTTATATGAATGCTAACCTTAAGTTTTATTGAATAATCACGCCATTATACTCATTTTTTTAAATAGAAATTTCAGTCTAGTTATATTTCATCTGGTTCATTTAAAAATATAACAAAGAGATTGTCTAATTCATTGTCTACTCGTTCTCGAACTGCTTCCGTTGAATCTTATCATAATTTCGTTGATACTTCAAGTACTGGTTCTAATCAGTTGCTTAACTCAAACAGAACACAAAATTTCTTATCTATATCTGGTTTGAAATCATCCCTACGACGAATATTTAATGTCAGATCTGAAGGTTGGTTGATGCTTTGACATTTTGAATACGTTTTTTTTTGTTTTCATGTGATATGTGATTGTTTTCGAACCTTCTAATCCCCTAGTTCGTGTGTTCGAACATCATTTTATCTACTTCAGTTCGGACAGCTGGTTAATGTCATTAGCCTTCAAACCTTAAGTCAGCTTTAAAGCTAAATGAGTGAATCTGTTTTTGGTAACTAATTAATATTATGCAGTTGCAAATTTTTTCGGAGTATATCATTCAGTTTCAGTGAAATCCCTGAGATTTCAGCGAGCAAATTTGTAAAAAGAAAGTGATATAACTGGGGAGGTAGTTAGATCTACTAATCAGGTCTTCATTTTGCTATGCAACTTGAATAATCTGCAAATAATTGTACCCGACAATCTGTACTGTTTTAATTTTATTTACTTTTTTCAATATTTTGCATCTAAACAAATCACTTTAATAGAACGAATAGTATATTCTCCTGATCACTTATGATGTCTTTTGATATCGTTAATTGTTAGAGTTCGTTGCCTTTCATCACTCAGTGATTTCATATTGATTCCGTCATTATACTTTTTCCCAAGGTCTATTACATAGTAGAGAAATTTTCTTCAGTCACATTTATCAAGTTTGCCCCACTTCCTCTCCTTGTGTATGACATGTATGACATTTAATAGTAAATCACTACAATTGTCTTATGATGATCAATGAATAGCCACGTTTAATTCTTATATGCATATTTTACTGATAAAAAAACTAACTTATAGTCAGAATTGGTAAGTGACACATTTGGGGGGATTCAAATGTCAAATTCAGTGATTAAGAGTTGAGTGTCATAATATCTACTTCGCTGGTTTAGTAGGTAAGTCTTGTCGTTGGGTATAAATTGTTGTTAGGCTGAAAAAGATCAGTCTTCTGAGTACCTTAATTAACAATGCTAACATATCTGAGATGCGTTTCTTTCCCTTTAGACGTAAAATATTTCCTCAGGAGTGGCTTGTGTTAAGGCTTGGGTTGATGATAGGAAATGAAGTAGCTGAGAGTGTTGATCAGCTCACTTTTCTTGAAAGTGTCATCAATTGTACTGGGTTGGTGTCTGATAAAAACTTGGCACAAATTCAGGCAGCTCTGTTAGGTTTCACCAATTTATGTCACTTCTAGAGTCGGTGAGGTGTTCGTCTGCCAACTGAAGGATAAGTACACTGTGCAACATTTCACTCTGTTCTACTTTATGTCTGTGAAACGTGGTTTATAAAAATACAGGATATTTGCAGACTACTAATATTCGGTCATAGGTATTCTTCAAACATCTCACCATCGAGTTAGTAATTCTGAGAGTAGATGCAGAGAATTAGATAAGGATGGCAATTCGATTGACAAAGTAGTGAATGTTTATCCAGTGAGATAGTTAAAACGTATAATATTACGTATACTCAGTGTACACTGATGACTAATGTAGGAGTAAGTTAAAAGACAGCTCGGGGCTGCCAAATCAAAACATGTGATCAATTCATCAAGATATTGACTATTGGTAGATACAGATTATCTAGTGGAGCTTCGCATGATCATCATAATCCTATTTCGCCATTTTGTAAATAGAACAAATTGATTGAAGAAATTTCTTTTCAATTAGTTGTTCATCATTGCTCGACAGTAATATTTATGTGACTTAAAACGATGAATTGATACTTATCGAGTAGTTGCGTAACGTAATCATTATATAATGTCACAATGATTAGAAAATAATCTTGCTTAATTAGTAGAAAATGGATTATAATAATTGAAGTAATTAAGTGACGTCATGGCTCAAAATTGTTCCCACCGGCACTGATGCATTCATTAAGTGTCTTACTTTAGATACTAAGCTTATAAATTCCTTATAATTTTTCCAACGTTTATTCCAATAATTAGTATTTTCTCAATTCATGTATAAAATAATTAATCTTTTCCATAACCATTCATACTGCTACTACTGTGAGATTTGTTCTAACAGTTTCATCTGTCTGTCCTAACAGGATTTGTGTAACATGATCCAATGTACACCTGTTAGGTTTTATACTATGTTTGACTGAGTGACTGACTAATTGCATTTTCTCACATTATTTTAAAGATTCTTTTTTTTCCCAGTGTAATACTTGTTCATGGTAAATAAGTTTTGTTTAATAATGGAGTGTTAACTAATGTGATCATTTCAATAAATTACGTAATGTTATTCATTTGAAACATTGTTCATACTGTTTTATTTTTTTTTTCAATTTTAACCGATTTTGTAGATCAACCATTATTTCCTTTTGCATTTGATGATTTTCCTAATTTCGATTTTTCACTGGGAGTATATTATGCTGGTTTATTTTTACAATGGGGTCATTTACGTTTATCACATTATAAATGGTCTCGAATTGTGAAAATATGCTTTCATTTAGATGAATTTACTTTAGTTGTAAAAACCAATGTGAGTTTTGTTTATAGGTATTTTTACTTTTTTTTTAAAAAACCAATCTGTTTTGTATTCATTATTAGGAGGTAAAATAACTCCATACAGTTTGATACGTATTTCATTCAGACAATATATAACTTCGTCTTTGTACAGTTTCTTAGGTGTAAAATATGTTTTATAGGGTATTTACAAATTATTTCATTCAGTTTTTTAAAAAATGAATGACGCATTCTTGTTACGCATGAACGTAAACATGTCAAATTGATATGCTTGAACTATTACGAGTTTACCTTAGTCGGAAAACGAGAGCGAGGATCGAGGATCCGGCGACACGATATGCTACTCTAATCCGAGTGTCCCAACCCCCATTGAATAAAAGAAGAAGACTTGATATGAAGTAGAACCTGTATTCTACAAGCATCCAGAAAGTACGAGGTCCGAGTCCAGGAGCGAATCAGGATCCCGGACTAGGGATCCGGGTCATAAGAACGCCATAGATAATGCGCATTTATACATTTTGGTCGAATAGGAAACAGCATCGAAGTCTGTGACATTGACAGTTAAGACGACCAATAGGAAGCAACATTTGAAGTGACATTGATAGTCAGGACGACCAATAAGGAACAACATTGGATTACGTGACAATGATATCTAGGACGACCATAAAATTGACCAGTAGGAATTAACCAATAGGAACCGAGCAATAATTCTCTTAGGATATTGGATGAATATCCTAACAATTCTCACGTTATAGTAGACTGGTAGACTTATATCGAAAGAAAACGAATTTTGCTATTTATTTTAGTTCCAATGAAATTTCTCTCTATTGAATGGCTGTGGGACCACTAATCTGTGACTGAAGACATTTATTGTTCATTAGTTGGAGATTCGCGGCAGAAAACTATGGACATGGGTTTTGTACTAGTTGGCTGTATGCAATACCGCATGCTTGTGATCTTGCGAGTATTGATACTGTTTGTCGGATTTGAAACTGTCCCATCGAACTTTAGAGTTTAGTGTTTCTTGTAAACTATCCTCAGTTACTTAGCATCAAATCATAGTGCTTAATTATTTATGTATAGGCTTTTTAGTGGCCTAATAAGGCGAAAAGCTCATACATAGTTTCAATTCTAATTTTTTGAGAACCTACACCTTGTACTTCTACTTAGAAGTTAGCTTTCACCATAAAATATTTAAATAAATGTTTTAAAAAAAAAACAACGTTGATATGGTGAGCAGACAGAAAGCCTCATAAATCGCTTTTTCCAAATTAATTGTATACTATTTCTGAAATCACTGAAGCACATAATATTTATTGGATATTTTCTGGATCTAAGTTTTATATTTCTTTATTTGTTGTAACATAACCACTTAGTCTGTTGACCACCGGTTAGTGGTTTTATCTTCTGACGTCCGTTTCGTTGATATTTAAGGAATCAGTTCTGTGAGAAGACCATCAGTCATACTAATATTTTGCCGAATCAATTTCCAATTACATGAGTATATATATATATATATATATATATATATATATATATATATATATATATATATATATATATTTATCTGATAATATCTGTTTTATTCGCTACCGAAAATGGTTCTAGTTAGCCTTGTTTGTTTTTTATTTCAGCAAACTAAATCATCATCAAGTCCTCGTATTTTACTGAAGTGTAAATTTGCTTTTCAAAAACTAGCCAGACGTTTCTATAGAGCATGTGTTGAACATCATATGTTTTTTAAGTAAGTCTTTTGTTTACCAAGTAACTTTTATGATTACAGACACAGGGTGATAATGTAATATTTTGTTTGAAGCGCTTACATATTCTAAACATAGGGATTGTTCGAAAACAATTAATTTCTATATTTCTTTTCATTCAGTTATTTATTCACTCAATTGTCTCTTGTAAATGATTCATTTAATTCGTACTATGCATAGTCTATCTCGAAAAATACTTAGTATTATTTAGTGTGTATCAATCAAATTTTTCTCATGCTTCAAGTGAACGTAAATAAATGAAATTCAACAAGTTAAATCAACTCAGTAATTAAGGTGTGATATTTATTAAATAATTAAGAAATCAATAGACTATACAAGTAGATTGGGAGGATAAGGAGAAACAAGTGTATTCTTTCTCCTTCTCTCTTTGTGTATTAAAACTAATCGTGATTTGGATAACATCGAGTTTTCAATAATCTTCCTTGATCATCTACTTAACTGTAACCAAATGATTTACAGTTTCCAACTTATCTCTAACTAGTAAACATGTTGGCTGCGTTATATTCAACGTAGGGCTAACCATTTTTGTTGTGTTATTTGATTCGATGTAGGGATCACTACTTTGGTGACCGGCGAGCTAGCTCCATTATTTACGAACATTTAAATATGCTATGCAATAAATTTACTCATCAGTTTCCGTATATTATGCTGAGGCGAACCCCATTTGTGCGATGACGGCAATAAGAAATCAAATACGGATTCGTTTGGATGAGTTTATTTCAAACAAATGTTCATGCAGACATGAAATCGAAAAGCACATAAGCAAAGCAAAGCAAGGCGAAGTGGAGAAGGTGAGAGAGCCAACTGCATTAGGTTAGTATGCATGACTAACAATCTATAGTCAGATAATAATAAGCCAGACATGTAATAAGCGAGATAAGCGAGCACGCACACGAATAAAAGCAACGTAGATATGAACAAATGACTGACAAGGTCAAAAAACAGTGGGGACGAGCCATGCTGATTAGGCGTAACAGCACTCACTACCAACAGTCTTGGCAGTTCAGTCGAATTTTATAGCCAAACCGTGTGTTGAGATAATTTGTGATTCTCCGTTTTCTTATCACACATGTCTGTGTTGTTTTACTCATTGTGTCTTTTTTCCAATTTCCTTAGTTCAATTATCTCTTTACATCTAATCGTGAAATGATGTACACACAGTTAATTATATCACACATATAATTTACTTTAGATTAGTTACTGTTCAATATTAATGCATCAGCTATGATTTACCTTTGTCAATGATAATACGGGAATCGATGTTTTTCGGCAAAGTGATATTCTTTGAATGACTCTTTTAGTTATAATTCCTAAACGATATCATTACAACTTCGAAAACTGAATAATAAGTTATTTCACCATTGATTTCTATAGTCTTTGTAGATATGAGTTGCTTCTATTTTTAACCAATTGTTACATTCAATTTATACTATGAAGTTTTACTTACAGCTAATAAATAACTATCTCTCTAATGAGATTTCTGAATTCAACTGGTGTTTCATTAACCAGTATTTGTGCCATGATATGATATTATTTAGCTTTATGTTCCTATGCAAATTGACATTGTTCATTCATCTACTAGTAGTAGTACTACACTATTTCTTTATTATATCCGTGTGTGTGTGTGTGTGTATTGATGCTCCATCTTCTCTTCGCCTTTTTCTTTCTTAGAGTTCATTGCAAACACCTTTTAGTGTCAAATCATAATAAACAAGAATCTTTAAAACCTGAGCCTATTGTTTTACCTGTAAATCAGGCAATACATGTAAATAAGGAATTATTAAATAATGCTTCAGTATCTATTAATGGACCATTTAGTACTAAACTATTACCTGTGCATAATTTACAATCACCTAAACTACCAACTACACCTACACGATCAGAATGTGAACTGGGTAAGTTATATATATATGAACACATGAAATTGTCATTTATATATATTTTTTTTTGTGTGAAAAATTCCATTTTTCAGTGTTTTTAGTTGATGATGTAGTGGGTCATGTTTGAGATAACTATCAACAGTATATAAATGTAAGAAGACTACTAAGCGTCGATAACAGTTTATTGATGTACAGCACAGATCACAAATCTACAAGTATACGGAGCGAGTATCAATAGGAGTGCGAACACTAATGAATGCAAGTGAGCGGATCAATAGGTTTTAAGAAACACGTATATACATAGACAAGCGACCTAGTTATCTAAATATTTCAGTAGCTAACATCTAAGTTAGTAAGTGGAATATGTGTGTGAGTCAGTCAGTCAGTTACAACGTAGAACTTCGTACGCAGGCACATCAGTTCAAGCTGCCATATCACACTAACACAGAGATGCAATGGTCAATTCAAATGCTATAGTAGTAGGGGTAGTAGTGTAGTGAACGATTGTATTTAACGAAACTTACAGAGTTAGTAAAATCGGAAAACCATATCGTAAATCGTTCATTTGCAAAATATCAGTTCATCATATCGAACTGGACTGTTCCTGTTGCAAAACATCAATCCATTCATACAAATTCCATCGTGTTCTAACTCTTCCTTTCTTGATCTTCCCCCATCTTCGGCTGCCAGACATTACGTTGACACTCACGTCATATACTACTTATAAGTAGCTCGCACCACAGTAGAAGTATTAACAATCGTCAGAGAGATTAGGGTTCGAAGTTATTATTCAAGAAGTATAATTCAATGAGATAAATTTAGAGAAAGATAGAGGTGATGTGGAATTCGGAAGATTACAGTTTGAGAGAACACAAAGAATGAATGCACCTGCGCCGTTGCAAACGGTTTTGAGTCATGTCATTCAGGGTCTCTAACCATTGGTGACTTTCGTCTCACGGACCTCAACCAGATAGCCTACATCTACCAACATGACTCAGTATACTTGTCAGTGACCTCATGAATTTGTGCCACGTTTTGGTTTGGCCGCCCCTAGCTTTCTTCCAACGTATTCCTACACTGCTAAATATAGCTCGACGAGGTAGTTGGTTCTTGGGCATTCGTAACACATGTTCCAACCACCTCAACTGATGACGATTTAATCCTTCATCTACTGATTTGCAATCCTTACCTAGTAGGAAATTGTGTAGACTCTTAGGCTCTCTCATATCAATGAATAATTTTGCTCCAGCGATATATATATATATATATATATATATATATATATATATATATATAAATTGACTATTGAAATAAATGACATTTACTAAAAATCAGACGGCTTTAAATCGAGGTATAAAAATACATCATACTGTCCAATTTTCAATAGATGCTATCATGTTGTTCGAATGAGAGCATTAGGCTGTTAATTTCAACCTAGCAGTTTTAAAATGTAGCCTCTGTTAGTCATTTAATAAGTTGTTTAAATAATTATACACATGGTTTGATAACTTGTTTACAACACCCTTATTTTTCCACTTTGATCTCTTGTATAGATCATGTACATTTATCAAACCCTCAAATTAATAATTCTGAGTTTCCGGAATATGCTGAACAACCTGTACATACTTTGCAAACCGATTTGAAATCTCAAACGAATGTGGATTCACTTAAGGTAAGTAAATTTATACTTTATGCTTTTACAACTTATATGAGACTAATTTATTTTTCATGAATGCATAAAATAGACTTATATTTTTCCAGTAGTGTATAAATAATTAAAAATAATAGACCGTGGTCTATTGGAATAATTGCTTTTACTTAGTAGATATCTTCAAAACATTACTCGTATATCCTGGGACGATTGAGTAAGCCATGCTGTTGTCAGGAAAAGAGTACTGGATAAGGATGGCACATAAATAGATGAAGTATTGAATCTTAATCAGTTGAGGTGGTTGGGACATGTGTCACCTATCCCCAACGACCGACTACCTCGATGAGTGATGTCTGGTGTGAGGTTAGGTTGGAAGAAAGTTAGGGGCGGCCAAACCAAAACATGGCACAAACCCATGAAGTCACTGACAACTGAATTGAGTCATGTTGTTAGATGCAGGCTACCTAGTTGGGGTCAGCGAGACATCAGTAACTCATGTTTAGAGACCTTGAATGACATGGTAAAAAATCGTTTGTAATGACGCAGATGCATCCATTCTTTATCTTCTCTCAAATCCTAATCTAAATTTCTCGTGGCTACTTCTCTCTTAAGTTTACTTCACTGCATTATACTTCTTGAATAATATTTTTGAACCCTGAACTTCTCCATTACCGCTAATACTTTTACTACCTTTACTACCGTAGCATTTGTGTTGAAAATTCTATGTCTCGGTGCTAACGGCAACTTAAACTGATATGTGTTTATGTACAAAGTTCTGTGTTGTTGCTGATTGACTGACTGACTGACTGCTTTTTTTTCAATCGAAAGTCAATAAATCATGCAACTAATCGAAATAATGCAAAGCATTTGATAACTTTCTGTGTTGTTATTATACATGGAATTTCATGTAAAGATTACAATATTTTTTAACATGGTCATGTTTGTCACTAATGAAGTGCATTATTTTTATTTTAGAATAAATGACATTAACAGATAAATAAGAGAACTTTTGTTTAAAAAAAATTTAGTGTTTAACTTTAGTTTTGATTGAACTATTTGATTTCATATAGGCGACCTTACGAAGGTTCAGCTTGAAGCAAATCATACTAGTGTACTTGTAACTTTTGTCTGTCTTTTTTACACATTACGGAACTCAAGAAACCACTGCCTTATTTACTTACTTACTTATGATTGATACTCCCGATGGAGCATAGGATACCGACCAGTCTTTCTACAATCTACACTATCCTGAGCCTTCCTTTTCAGCTCTGTTCAACTTTTCTTCATTCTTCTCATTTCTGTCTTCATTTGTGTTCTTTGTATTTTCTTGTGAACTTGAGGATTCCATGTGACGGCTTGTCTTGTGACACAGTTGGATGCTTTCCACAATGTGTTCTATTCTATCCACTCCCAGCGCTTCTTCTTGATTTCTTGCTCTGTTGAAATCTAGTTTGTTCTGTTCCAACAGTATATTGTTGTTGATGATGTCTGGCCAATAGATCCAAAGTATTTTGTGTACACAACTGTTAACAAACAATTATATATCTTGTGGATGATAGCTTTGGTGGCTCTGTATAAGTTGAAAATGACAAATATTGTGTAAATTATCATCGTTTATCATTTGATGTTGTTTATGTGTTACGCTTGTCTCTAGGTATGCTTAAACTATTACGAGTTCACCTTAGTCGAATAACGAGAACAAAACAATGAACCAGCGTCCAGGTAGGCTACTGTGATCCCTTAACCAAAAGGTATCAGCAAGAAGTCTTGATATAGTGTAGAAATTGTATTCTACAAACACCAAGCCAGCACACAATGAATCAAAACACTCAAATTGCGTTTATTTATACGCTATAGAGACGTCCTTGGGACAGTCACAAAAATAACACACTAAAATGACACATTAACCAATCACAGCCAAGGATTTTCCTGGTGAGAAATGTGGTCTCAAGGTCAACTGATCGGTCCACGAAATAAATCCAAAATAAAGCGAGTTCTGGGGATCTAACATCCCCAACATTATGTCGATCGACATTCACTAATAGGTAATCGTGTTAGACTACAGTTTGTTTTCATTTGAATACTTACTTATTATTCTATAATATTAGTTTGATGTTAAATTAATAACTTCAATGCATTCAATTTTTTTTTCTAAAATTGTTTATTTTTTTGTTTTTTTGTTTTTAGAAAACTTATTCAAATACTCATTTATTGTTACCATGTACTTCAAATGAACCGCTTACACGAAGTGGTTCATTGAATCATTTAGATAATTATTCCATTGTTCATATTGCTAGTCCAATTGAATGTTCTAGTCGATTAGATATTTTAAATTCATCTGTTGTTAATGATGCTGATGATGATGTGAATGCGGATGAGGATAATATTGGTTATGGTAATGATGATGAATGTATTATACCGACAAATAGTCAAAATTCCGTTTCTATCGATTGTTTATGTCATATAACATCAACTCCAACGGATAAACATACATCATTTAATATCAATGAGAGGTAAGTTGGTTTTTTGTTTCCTTAAAAATTTTTTTTCCTACATTATCTATATTATTGCTTAAATTATAAAGTATGACACTGTTCACAACATTTGATATTTCCGTAAGGTTCTCAAATTTCTGAATAATTTTCTTAATTATTGATTGTGGTGGAGTTTCGTTCTCTGGGCTGGATGTTTTGGTTTTGGAGCTTTCATTGTTCTTCTTCTGAACAACATCATCAGCACAATCTTCAGATGGAAGTGAAGTATTCGAATTTCTCCATGTTTGACCCGTAGTTTGTCATGTTAACCTCGATCTTGATTGGTTGCTGTTGACCTTAAATCTGTCCTTCTTTTGCACCTCTATTTCGATTGTATCCCCCTTTGATCTGTTTCTTGGTCCTATGTTTGCTTATGGTTTTTCTGATTGGTTGATAAATGGGGTCAATGTCGATGCGTTAGCTGATTGCTGATTGACCTGAGTGCCAAGTCTCTAAAAATTCCCTAGTGTTCTTTGTTCCATATCGTTCCAATCGTGTGTACGTCCATAGTTGTCCGTGTTCTATCAAAGTGCTTGAACGAAGTTCCGAATAAAAATTGCGCTTATTATGTAGCACTTAAATCTAAATCCTCAGAAGTGATTTCATTTTCGTATTTTTGGGAAAGAATGTTATTTTATAGTTAGCAAAAATGGTTCTTTTATCGTAAGATGATCAACGATTCACTTTATAACTATATTTCTCTGCATTCTTGTAGACTCAACAAATTGCATCATCATCTGTACTCAGTTTTATGTTACCTTTTGGTGTGAGAGACATAATTATCATAATAAAATTGATCTTCGAAATATCAATACATGACAGCAGATATCCCAGGTTTCAGGTCCGAAAATGATCGATTATAACATAAGCTAATGAATATTAGTAAGTAGTATAACAATACTTACTAAAATGAAGTATGAGAAGGAGGTTGCAATTATTGAAGAGATACAATATGATTATTTATAACAGCCTATCAGACATCGTTTGGTTTCTACTTTCCTTTTACGTTTAATACTTTGCGTTGCTAACTGTATGATACCTTGGCTGTACAAATATTGTGGAAAACAGTCACTTCAAGATTTATATTCAGAAAAGTTTATATACTTTGCATTTTCTTTCACCGTTTATATCGGTAGCGAAATGTCACATGCTTTTGTTATGAAAGATAGATAATGAAGTTTCTATCTTTTGCACATTATTATCTTCTGAAGCTTACTCAAAGACTTATAAATTACTTTCATATGAAAGTTTAACTCCCTTTTAATTTTTTTTTATGGTATTATTAATTAGTGGTCTCCTGTTACTTTTTCTTCAGCAGTTCTTTCGTCAAAAATCATTGGGTTTCGTACTAGCTATTGAAAAAACACTACAAAACACTGAGGACCGTAATATTTCATCAGTTTGCTCATGAAATAGTTGTTGTCGAACTACATAAAACTTAGTTCAATCAACCCTCATGCTTATAAATTTTAGCTGGAAAGTTATCACTGAAGTAGTAGTGTTGAAAAGTATAAAACTCAGAAAACATTAGCGTTAGGAAAACTGACATCGATATACTCAAATTAAAAGAAAGCTATGCAGATGAACTGTCATCTGCAGACTATTATTCCCTGAAACTCATCACAGACTCATCTTGAACTATCCGACAAACGTAATAATGATAGCTCGGTGACTACTTAGGTAACGAGGGTCCTAAAGAAACATCATGAAAAGACTGAGACTCTTTATCATGATCTCGTTTTATTCTCAAAAGTATGTTTGTCGAATTTCACAGATTGTAACAACAAGAATACCAAGAGTTGCTTTCGGGATGTCACTGATGAAGATGAATATAAATACTTACCACGTCCGGCCAGACAATGAATGAATATTTCTGTTACACTTATTAATAATTGTTTTATCAACACCAATATTATTTTCTTTTGATGGATTCTTGAAGCAAAACCTAATCCTAGTTAAATACTCTAACTGGTGCTTCATGTATTTGTAATTTTGCCAAAACGTGAGTGCTTATTTCGTAACAAGCCCACTGTAGTCAGTTTACGCATTATGGGTGACACTTTGTCGAATTCTGAAACCTTTGAAACATATTCATTGTTGTCATTCTGCTTTAATCAGTATGATTACCTGTTAGCTTTACTTACTCTCTTGAATTTCTTGTATACAAATTACGATGATTTAAAAGGCCCATAATGTATTCAGCATTATGATCATGTGTTTTTTGTTGCAATCAATGCAATATCATCATATCTCACCTTTTGTAAATTTGCAACCGGATTTATTGGCGGTTTTTTGTTAACGGAACTAGTTTCCCAAAAAAATTCATGCTGTATGTTTTGTTTGTATTAAAAGTTTGGTTTTCATTAAGAATTTCGTGGAAATTTGACTAGTTTGTATAATTTAGTCCACTTTTTACATACCTTGGAATCAGGTTTTATCTGTTGCTTGCCGTTGTTTAGTTCAGGCCCCTTTTTAAATGTACTACTTATCCTAATAATACAAGTGATGATGTATTCTCTCTATTTCTTTTAGTCCCATTATTGATCCAGTGCCCATACATTCTGAAGATCCAAAGTTCATACCATCTACGGATGATACTTTTCAAGCTCTTCTTACTTGTGATATCCCTAGTCTACTGCCTACCTTTATTCCTATAAATTGTGCCTTGACAAATCCAAACGAAGAATATCTACCCATTGATAAAATTAACTGCTTACCGCCTGTGCAGCATATTTCCAATGATTTTTCACAGGTTAGAATTTTTTAAATTCATTTTGTAAATATACTTTGTTAAATCATATGTAGAAATCTAAAAGATCATCACTAAAGACCTAAACAAATCAAATAGCTGTCGATTATCGTTTTCTTCTTTATGGTTAGTTTTTCGTAGAGATTTTAAAAAAACGTCCACTTTGGCAATTACTAAATTGGAAACAATAATGAATACCTATCGATTTTATGGAATGATGACACTATGAACTTATCAAATAATAACTGAAAAAAAGAGGAGCACTGGACTTCCTTTCCGTTCTAGTATGGTACTCCTCAGGGGCGCGCACCCACATGCAAAAGTTTTACCCAGGACCTTTGATCGCGCACGAACGCTGTACGTTTCTTTACTCAGGCTACCAAGAATATACCATTCAAATTGTCAAAATACGATATTTATAAGATAAATGTTTTATTGAACTGTTCATGACTTTTTTTATCTAGCTTATTAAATTTAATCTGAAATTCACTTATTGTTCTATTGTAAACGATTACTCTGATTGACATAATGTGGTTGAGAAAAACAAACTTTTACATTCAGAATCGACTATTTAGTTGATTTGTTTGTGTTATTTATAAAGAGTTTAGCTCAGTCTGTTAATCTAGATTTATTCGATATTGGTTATTATATTAAGTATCATAATTTCATCGAAATAATGAATCGATCATTAGTAGACCAACATTGAAAATTCGGAAATACTGAACGATCGTTTCGTCCGAACATGGGACTCATCATCAGTGCACACCCACCACCCATGCTCGCGGGATTCGAACCCAGGGCCCTAGGCCCTGCTGGCGAACGATTAACCCCTAGAAAACCACTGGGTTGGCACCCAACGGTGTTTATGTCTAACTTTAGTCATTTCAAAGTGTTGCGCAATCTTACAATACGTTGAGAAATGGAGACAGACATGAGAAGAATGAACAAGAACTGGACAGAACTGGAAAGGGGAAGCCCAAGACAGAGTAGTTTGGAGAATACTAGTCGGCGGCCTATGCTTCATTGGGTGTAACAGGTGTAATCAAGTTTTAAGTAATCACCCATTGTCATCGGTAAGTAACTACCAACACCCTACTCGGTTGAACTCCACTGATCACGGCTTCTCACTAGAACTCTGAGAATTTCTTCATGAAGCTAGTCACTAGTGAGCACATTTTGTAATTTCGTTGCAGACCTTATTTGTCAACTAAGATTAATTTAGAGTAAACAGGTAAATGTGAACATTTCATGTTTGTTATTTTCTTTTTTTTTCTTTTTATCTCATAATATTTTTTAATTCATACTTAGATTGAATTGATCAAACCAACAAATTCATTATGGTGTTATCATCTATTTCCATCATGCATTGATTTGAATTCATTGAACAAAATTATTACACCGTCATATTCATCGCTTATTTCTTCGAATGGTGAAATTATTCGTTTAAATCCTGACGCAAATAATGATAATAACGATAATAATATGCCTAATTCTTCCTCTTCTCTTGTTCCATATGATTTTTTTCATTTGAATCCAATTGAAAAGCCGGTAAGTACTGATGATAGTTTTTTTTTTTTAAATTATTTTTGCAAATTTTTGTTGTGGCGTTTCGTTCTCTGAGCTAAATGTTTCGATTGTGGGGCTTCCGTTGTTCTTCTTTTGAACAACATCATTGTTAGTTATTTTATGACTAATTGTAGTTATGTCATAACTAACCAATCAGATTGGTTAAGCGCTCACCACGTCATCTAGTCTGACCGATGTATAAACTTTCTTTGTTGTGAATGGTCCATCGATTGAAGGATGTTATCATTTTATTTATATTGCTGTGACTCATGTTTTTTATTCATTTTCTAAAGACACGCTATACTGTCCGAAACAGATAAAGTTTAAAACCGAATTGTCTTCTGTTAACTATAGTTTCACTCTGGACTCTGTCATCGGCAGTAGTTGCGTTTACGTCTTAGAATTACATCTGTAGGACAAATTGAATCCTACATAGTTTCGGACAGTAATTCATTAGAAGTTCATATACTGAGTACCTTCAAATGTCCACGGAGATTGTTAAAACTGATCAGATTCCTAAATTGTCTCCCTACCGCTCGGAAACTCACAGTGAAGACCAGTTTAGAAGAAATAGCTACCGAATAGATCCTTTGTTAGAGTTAGAATTAGCAAAAATACGTTTAGCTCATATAGAGAAGGAAATTGAGTTAGAACGCTTACGTCAAAAAGGAAGAGAATATCGTAAACAAGTTGTGGCCGTTTCCGAGAAGAAATCAAATTTGTTTATTGTGGAAAGTAACAGTGAACATGATAAAATGCAAATAAACCCTCCTCGCACTAAATCGACAGATCAGGATTTTTCTAGTTCTCCTTCTAATCATTATGTTTCTCACACAGAGGCTTCCGTTGCATCACTCAAAGCATCAAATGAATTAGCTAAGTCACCTGCCGTTCTATCAAGTTTTGCTATAGCTAAGAAAGACATTCCATCTGATTGTGTTCTCGGATCAAATATTTCATCAAGCGTTGTCAATGCTGATGTGTCGAAAGATGCTTCGGTTAATTTATGGACATCATCATCTACAAGTCATGATTCTGCTTCGTGTCCTTTTACTACATTGGCTAAAGTTGTTACAGCTTCTCAGACAGACTGTAAGGATTCGAAAAATCTGGAGGATTCTGCTAAGGAAGTAGTTGAAGATAGATAGAAAGAAACGTTAACTTTAGCGGAAGTCGACCTAGTTGCAGGTGAAAGAGAAATGCCAGTTATTCGACAGCATTGCCGAGCTCATAATTCCGATGCTAATAAACAGAGGTGTAATAATCTTGGACCTTTTCATTTCCAGTTAAATGATATACACAACAACGGTGCTGAAAAGAATAACGAATCTCTCTGCAGGTCACGGAAAGTAGTACGTTTAGTGTATGAAGGCAGACTGTTGATTAATACTCTCAGTTGGTTACAAATGCCTGCTGCTCTAGTTGACTCACGAACTTTGAGAATGGTTGCAATTAATGAGGTGAGTAGTTATGTAATGGCTGCATGGCGCAACGACTTCCAGTATCTTGCTGAGGTTCTAGCCCATCGTCAGCGACATGGTACAAGAGCAGAGAATCGCCTGCGTTATATTTGGGATCGCGTTGTAGAATGGACACCCGTCAGCAAGTTACGCAAAGCAACTTAGTACGAAATCCATTATGTCTGTGAAGAGCAAGGTACACTATCCACAAATAAAATCCCTAGTAAATTTGATCTGCAGTATTCATGCAGTAGTAGCAATGATTCTGCATCAGGAACATCTCAAGCTAAAAGAATAAGGACAAATGTGTCAGAAAGCAAGTCATTAGACCGCACTTCGGATCCTGAAACACATCGCTATCGGTCACGTCCTACTCATGTAAGTACAAGTGGTTTCTCTGTCTTAGAAGACAAGAAGACTCTTCTTCCAACATTATTTGATGGAATCATCGAACAGGATGGGATGGTTTGTGATAAGAGTGTTTTCCAGTTTCACGAAGCCTGTCGAAGACGTCGTGAATTGAAAAGAAAAGCTATCGAAGAGAACGACACATGTCCATATAGATTCGACAGTTCTGTATCTGTTTTGAGTCAAACATTCACCATCAGGTCAAACCATCAGAACAGACGTGGTCTTAATTCAAAACATAATTCTATAAGAACCGAAAATTATGCAGCGGAAGCTACAGTAGCATCCTCACCGGTATCATCGAATTCATTTTGCCAGAAAAGTGATAAAATAAAGGGAACCATTACCCTATGCGGACCCAACGAGATGTGTAAACGAACGCTGGGAGTAGAGCGGAATATCCGAGCGGATGAATCATTTGTCAGAGTTCACGTGTTTCCTGGAAACCTGACCAGAAGGAATATTTTGTCGTTTATAGCATTAATCTTTGATCCCGGAGGAGGTATATGGAAACATATTATAAAGTCAACGAGAAGGAAGCCACAACATGGAGACTCACCGTTAGTAAACAATACTAGTTTGCTGAGAAATCTTTGGGTGGAAGCTATAGTTAGAGAAGTCAATTATGGTCCCGATGGCCGATTCAGAACGATTCGATTGAAGAGACACCGTAGACATCAACCGAGATATACGAAACCTATGCCTAATGGAAGAGGTCGATTATTCGAGCGCGACGGCAACGAGGTCTGGACGTGGTGACCGCTTCGGGGGGAGTGTTAGTTATTTTATGACTAATTGTAGCTATGTCATAACTAACCAATCAGATTGGTTAAGCGCTCACCACGTCATCTAGTCTGACCGATGTATAAACTTTCTTTGTTGTGAATGGTCCATCGATTGAAGGATGTTATCATTTTATTTATATTGCTGTGACTCATGTTTTTTATTCATTTTCTAAAGACACGCTATACTGTCCGAAACAGATAAAGTTTAAAACCGAATTGTCTTCTGTTAACTATAGTTTCACTGGGGACTCTGTCATCGGCAGTAGTTGCGTTTACGTCTTAGAATTACATCTGTAGGACAAATTGAATCCTACATCATCATCAACACAAACTTCATATCGAAGTGAAGTATTCGAATTTCGCCACGTTTGACCTGTAACGTCTTGTTCTGTTAACCTTAATCTTGATTGTACTGAAAAAAATTTCTCTGTAAACTATGCATTCAAATGTTGGTTTTTTGTGATCTGAATGACTTAGTCGATAAATGTAGAAAACTATCTGACTAGTTTAAATCAATGCGAAAATACTTTTTGATCAATCTGTTGACTGAAATTTAATCAATATGGATTGGTGAACAGTGGAATCTAGCACTTGAGATTTGTTATCTGAATAAACCTGCCCCGCAGAGTCGTTGTTCCATTGAGGGACTCTAATCAGTTGAATATGGCTGAATGAATTATAATCACATTGATTAATATGAAAATATGACTTTCAATCAACTAATAGTTTCTTCATAATATTTGTACTTACTAAAATATTAGACGAATGCTTTAAGAGAATTAATTATAAAAAAAACTTGGTATTTTTCTATAAAATACCATCTAGATTACGTACAAATGGTTTCTCTTTCAATTTGATATGCTTTCATTTGGTTTCTCTGTTATCGTCCAGTTATATGCGTTTAATATATGTTTATGATCGAGTGATAGTTTGTTACGATTAGTCTGCAAGTTTCTTCATTACACAATTATTATACATACATTTGTATAATAAATGTTATATTACTGTAAATAAAGTCAGTTAGTTACAACGTAGAACTTCGTACGTACGTACATCAGTTCAACTTGCCATATCAGACTAGCACAGATTCAATTGTCAATTCAAATCACATAGTGGCAGAGGTAGTAGAAGTATGAGCAGTAATAGGAGAAATTAGTGTTTTGGCTGATGTTATTCAAGGAGGATAATTTAGTGAAAGAAACTTAAAAAGAAAAAGATAAAGGTGATAAGGAACTCTGAAGGTTAGGATTTGAGAGAACACAAAGAATTAATTCACCTGCACAATTGCAAATGATTTTGAGCCGTGTCGTTTAAGGTGTACTAACCATCGATTACTATCATATTGTGGACCCCAACCAACATGAATCAATCCAGTTGTCAGTGACTTGATGGATTTGTGCCGTGTTTTGGTCTGGCCGCCCCAAGGTTTCTTCTAACCTATTTCTACACCACAAAACATCTTTCAGTGAGGCAGTTGGTTGTTGGGCCTTTGTAACACATATCCCAACCACCTCAACTGATGAAGTTTCAATATTTTATCAGTTGGTCTGTCATCCTTGCCTAGTACCTGTTTCTTAACAACAGCATTGTTTAGTCGATGGTCCCATGGTATACGAGCAATGCTTCTAAGACATCTATAATCGAATTCTAATAACCTACGAATATTCTCCATTCTTACTGGCCATGTTTCACAGTCATAAATTAGGATGGAGTGAACTGTTGCGCAGTAGACTCGTCGGTCAATAAATTAGAGTTTAAATAATAGTTGTACATCAATTTCATAACATTAATCATCTATCTACATTAGGTGTACCTATCAATTTAGTAGCTTATATGTACCAGTCCGTCTTGAACTAAATGTTCTTGACTGAAATAAACTACAATTATTAAGTATTATATCTATATGTTATTTGAATAAGATTTAAGCATTTACGATAAATGTATGTGTCCCCAAGCGAGTCAAGTTTCATAGCTTGCTTTCTAAAACTATGTAATGATGGTTTTGTATGATTGTAACTGTATTCATTAGTTCTAACTGTAATAAATATGTTTGATTATATTGTTTATACTTTCTTCCCCCTTCTTTCTTGTTCCCTACACTTTATTTATTTAGCCTGAATATTATTCCATACCGATTGTTCGAACACGTACCATTCGATTTATTCATGATTATACACCGATTCAAATTAACGAATATAAAACATTGAAACATTCACAAATTCATATTGTACAAGGTACTGCTGATATACCATTAGTTTCAACTAAATCATTTTATCATCAGTAGTCAGTTGTTATTATTATTACTACTATTATTATTATTATTACTATTACTAACCATTTCGTGTTATTTTCTAATTAGAATCTATTGAATTATTCAGTTGTTTTTGCCAACAGCACTCTTTTTTTTTCATTGATTGATGTAATATTTCAAGTTGATTGAATTATTTTTTCTCATTGATTTCTGTTCTTCTCGATGATTACTCCTCTCTTCTCTTTTTTCTTTGTTTTTGCTAAATGCATTTTGACAGTGAATTAATTTTTTTTTGTTTACTTTGATGCATATACATTGATTGTAGCCATAAATTTTTTTTTTGCATCTTTTCAAATTTATTATTACTTTTCCTGTAAAATTATTATTCTTTTTAGTGAACGATTGTGTGGTAAAAAAAGAAAATAGAAGAAGCAGACACGTTTTGTAATGAATGATATGATTCATTATTCTTGAAATAAAAGAAAAAAAAGACAAACAGATACAAAGCAGAACTTCGTACATAAGTATATCAGTTCATGTTGCCATACAGAGACGCAACTGTTAGTTCAAATCCAAGAGTGATAGCAATCATAGAAGTATTAGCAGTAATGGAGAAGATTAGGGAGCAAAGATGTAATTCGAGAAGTAGAATATAGTGAAAAAAAAACTTAAAAAGAGGAAGGTAAAGGTAATGATGAAGTCAGAAGATTAGAATTTGAGAGAGCAAAAGGAGTGGATGTACCAGTGCCACTGCAAACGATTTTGAGCCATATCATTCAAGGTCTCTAACCATTGATGACTTTCGTCTCGCGGACCCCAACCAGGTAGCCTACATCTACCAACATGACTCAGTCCACTTGTCAGTGACTTCATGGAATTGTGCCATGTTTTAGTTTGGCCGCCCTTAGCTTTATTCCAACTTACTCCTACACCACAAAACATAGCTCGACGAGGCAGTCGGTGGTTAGGCATACGTAACGCATGTTCCAACCACCTCAACTGATGAAGTTTCATTACTTCTTCTTTTGATTTGCCATCCCTACCTGGAAGTCGTTTCCTAAAGACAGCTTTGCTTATACGGTTGTCCCAAGATACACGAGACACCGATGATCGACGACTAGTAACTAGTAAAAAAATATATAAACTATTTCTTCCTATTTTTTGCTTATATAGTTTTCATTGTTTTTCTTCTTCTTGGCTTGTTTTATTATGATTTATGATTTTGATCGTCAGTAGATTCATGGAAATGTCACGTGTCTTTTATTTTTTTTCATTGACTTTCATTGTTCAATTTATCAAGATGTATTGGACAAATGGAAAAAAATGTCAGTAATAATTTTGAATATCTGTTACAGGATATAATCAGTCAGTCAGCTACAACGTAGAACTTCGTATGTTCACACGTACGTACATCAGTTCAGTTTGCCATACTACATTAGCACACAAAGATAGTGATAGATGTAGTAGAAGTATTAGCAGTAATGGAGAAGACTAGCGTTCAAAGATATGATATGAGAAGTATAATTTAGTGAAATAAACATTTTGTATTTCGAAGGGGAGAATCGCATCCCGAACATGTTTGCATTGTTACTTAAAGTGGTCAGAAGACTCTTCATTTTGTCAGCATCTTCATCAAGTAGAACTATACCATCGGCATATTTTAAGTCAACCAATGAATCTTGCAGGAAAAGTTCAACTCCTGAAAAGTCAGATGATGAAGTTACAAGATAAATATTAAACATTTTTATAGAATTCAGTACTATATACTCCTCTAAAACTGTATGAGTTTTTGGAACATAAAATTGACCTTATGTATTCTGTTGAAACAGATAAAGTAGAGTTGGTGCGTTGTACATCTGCATCTAGTTACTAGTTAATATCATTTAGCAAAAAATGCCAATCTTTGCATGTTATGGATTGTGGTTAGCAGGGAAATCCAGGACGTATACTTCATCCTTTATCCCAATTTTCATGCCAGCAAATTATTAATTTTCTCCCAAATATATTAAACATTTGTATTTGTATCAAAAATAAAAAGTTTGCTGAAGATGATAATTGTACAAAGTTATTCATTTTATCGACATTTATCAGTAGAGTAATATCTTAATGTTTCAACAGCTTGATTTTCGAACAATAGGCTATTGTTTAGAACCGTTTTCAGTCAAAGCAGCTGGGTGTTATTTTGCGCTAGACGATACAGTAAACTATGAAACTTGCATACCAACCAATAAGAACCATGAAGAACGTCAGCAGTCAGTTCACTTACTAACATACTTAGGTCTGTTACCCCTGATGGAGTATAGGCCGCCGACTACCGAATTATTTTCGTGGTTAGCGGTTTTTGTTAGTGAGTTGGATTTCTACGGGATGGGGTCGCTAACCCCATACCCAACCCTCCTCCTTACCCCGGCCTTGGGAACAGCAGTAACCCTAGAAGGGCTCCAGGCTGAGCTTGTACATGTTAACTGCATTATCTTTATTATTTATGAATATGTGATCCAAATATTACTATCACAGTATGCGTCATTTGTATGTTTACTTGAGTACAATTTATACTAAATCCTCTAATATTTCAAGTAACACGACAAAATACTTTTAAATATAGGTTATTGTGTGATTGATTAGGTATTGAGTCGGGAATATTTCCATGTTCCTTTAATCCTCTTACTATCGATCAAATTTTACTGACCAGCTTGCAATATCTCTACTCCAAGTGATTCGATTTTGTGTGCACAATGTTTAGATGTTAGGTAGTTCAAGGTAAATCCTGTTTGTTATAAGCCTGATGTGATTGACTTGTTGGGTTTGTTTTACTTTATTGAATATAAATATATTCTGGAACATTTCCAAACCATTTATATTCTATAAACCATCGACAGCAAATGCGATCATCATAGGAAAACATCACATAAATCATAGAAAGTAGATTCATCACATCAAACCTCACTTATTATCGTAATGACTCACATTTCGAATGAGATTGGGTATTATGAACTAACTATTTGTAACTCATTTACCCAATTAGAAGTTATATCTGATAGGCTTTGAGCAATGCTGTTCATATATTGATGACTGAAGCTACTTGGTGGCACCGAAGTTAGTTAGTTGAAAGCCAGTCGTTTTTTATTCACTTGGCCGCTACGTCATAGCTTTTTAGTATCACTCATATTAACTTTTACAACATGAATTACTCAAGTTTATTAAATAAATATTTTGTAGTTGTTTATATTCGCTTCAAAATATTTAAACACGTGACACCTTGAACTTTCGCAAGCAGAAACTAGTTACTACTGGTGGGAGTAGTGGTTTAACATTTCTGGTTATTTAACCTTGATCTTGTGATGGATAAATTCATCTTATATTTGGACTGAAAGACTGATTTAATGATTGAAGAAAGAGATAAGGCTATAAAAATCCTAATAATCTGTTGATTGTATTGAGGACTGATTGCGTGATTAGTTCAACCAATATTTGTTACATTAAAAACTACTTACGTAAGAAACTTTACTGAATCGAGCACTTTAAACGCTTTACATAAAGCAATAATTAAAGCTAGAAAGAATTGGTTATATCATTTACCAATTATTTTTACATTTCAGTAATGATAATTCAGTTATTATAACAATATATAAGCGAACAATATTGTTTGCATTTAGATCGTCCGTCATCAGGCTTTACGTTCGACCTACTATCTCCAATGTCGAACTATTGATAAAACTTGTTATTTTATTTTTCTTACTACTATCAGTACATCTGTCTTCCTACTATCAATTTGTACTTTTGCCTATTACCTGTAGTGACGTAATCTCTATTTCATTGTGATTGTTGACTCGAAAGGCCTTGATTGGTTGAATATTTTCATATAAATATTCATGTATAGATTACAGTAAAGCCTAATGACAACCTAACTGAAAACAATATTGTTCGCTTATATATGTTGTTCTAATTTAGTTATTGCATAATTAACACGAGGAAGTTAGTTGAGATTGTAGAATTTTTATAGTTTCGGTTATTAAGTGATCCTAACTAGACTACCACCATAGAAGTTTTGAACAGCATTTTCGTCCTAGTAAGTGGCTAATGAACAGTGGGTATAACCACGGCTTTTTTTACTAGTTACGTTTGTATGATCAAGTGATTTAAGGTACTCTGAGTAGTTTCAGGTAATGACTAGTTCAAGGTGTCTGTCTAGTGTATGTTTCTAGTCCGGTGTATCTGTTTTCTAATAAGTTAAATCTAGTTAAACAGTGAATGTTTCGGATACATTTTAAGAAGAGTTGTAATTGAAGTATGGCTTATTTTTGCATGAAACTATTCGTTTGTTCATTATCTGTCATATTAACTCTAGTGTTCACTTCATTTTGATAGCTGCCTTAAAATGAAAAGCCATTTAGTCAACCAAATTAAGGATGAATGTTATTTTTTTCAATAGGATTCTATAGATTTTGTACAGGGGATCTGATGCGTATAATATTTGAACACAAACACAAATTCGCTTATTGATTTCCAATCCTCAAAAATCTAACTAGCTCTGAACTTCAAGTATGTTATGCTCGTCAGTTGATATGCTTGAAACTATCACGATTTCACCTTGGTCGGTAAATGAGGGCTAAGACAAATGATCCAGTGACACGATAGGCTACTCTACTCAGAGCGTTCCAAGGCCCCACTAAGTAGAGGAAGAAGTCCTGACAAGACGTAGAAAGTGTATTCTAAAAGCATCCAGAAAGTCGAAGTTTTTTAAAGCACACAAATCGAGTTTATTTATAATATATGGTGGAAACGTCCTTGGAAGAGCCACAAAAATAGCATACTAAAATAATACATCAACCAATAACAGTCAAGGATTTTCCGGTTGGGAAATGCAATCTCAGGGTCAACTGATCAGCCCGTGTGCTTAAACATAAAATCCATAATTAGGACCATTATCAAGTGAGTTCTGGGGATTTAACGTCCCCTCAACAAAGTCGATGACCGAAACGATAGAAGAAGCTTCAATTTGAAAATTATTTTCGTTAAGGAAAATAACCGTATTTGTAGGATTATATTTGACTTTTAAACCTTTAGGAACATCTGGAAAGCACGCTAAGACAATGGGAACGTTGTTTCTCTTGTTTCCTAAAATTCTCCTGAGAATTGCCTAGAATTGTTGATTGGTTGAAATAGTTTAACCTGTTTTTTTGAAAACAGTTCTGAGAAATCGTCAACAAGGTACTCCGTGTTCATATTAATTATTCAAAATAAGTGAGAAAAATGAAGATTGAAGAGAGTTTTGTAGGCCCTTGAATGGAGAACGTAACATACCTACTGGAATTTATTCATATTTGATAACTAAGCATTGTTGAAACCATTTTTGACAGACATCGGTCCAATTGGCCGTTCCACAAAAACGACCATTCACAAAACTATACTCATTGACATCATAAAGTATACATGTGAATAATTTAAATGAAATATACCTCCAGAATATTATACTGAATTTGATTTGACTACTTATATATTCCTTTCAGTAACTAAGTATCAATATGCTAAAACCTTATCATTTTTTACTATGACTTAATAAATTCTTGTCAAGATTCTAATTAGCTTTTCAGAAAAGTTACGCCAATAATCAGTGATTAAAATAGATGATAAAAGATGACTGTTTTCTTACAGAGTTTTTTTCGGAATAAGACTTTCTGTCACAATATTAGTGATTAGGTTTGGTTGTCTTGTAAATTTTTATATTTTATCAGTTAATCAACTTTTTCGCCAAGTTAAAATGACGGAATCAATGACTACTGTATCGATAATATTGATAACCGCAATTGAAACATTGTTCGACAGTCTAACAGTATTTTTAATTGATACATATTTTTGTAGAGATTGAACTAACTTGACTAACCTATTTGATGGAATGGATTCTTAGTTTATGTACTGGACAACCTCAGTATTTATTTCAGTGCTAACAGTAAATGCAGTTCAATTGAAGCTTTTAAATTGTAAGACAAAACCTTACTAATAACTCGTCCATATATTGGGCAATTGACTAATAAACATTAAAATTCCATTTTTAAGAAACAACAGTCATACAGTTTCCAATGATTCTGTCGATAATAACAGTGTGCCAGAAACACAATATTTAAATCAATAAAGGCATCACTGATACAATCCACTCCTTAATTAGTACCTCTTTTAGTTGGTTGGTTGGTTGACAAATATAACTGCTGTACAGCGTTTCATGATTTTTGTCAGTCATCGACATTGATGACAAAGTAAATCAATGGACAGTCTGGTTATTATATGCATATATTATTTCTAAAATAATTTCAACCTTGAAATCAGTTATTCAACAAGTGTGGATGATTATTATCAGTTCAAATAACAATGAAATGATCTGACATGAAAAAAAACCTTAGTTTAACAAGGAAAGCAAGAAATCGATTAAGGTATGAAATAAATAAGTGGAGAGAATTAAAAAACCAAAATATCTGTATCATGCCGACAACTTTAATCAACATAACTATGTCATTTAAGGTCTCAAACTATTCATGTAAAACTATCCTGTGGAACAATTCCGCCTGTAGACTTGTCAAGGCGACTGCTGGTCCCAAGCATGGATAAAGGAGGAGGGTTGGGGTTGATGACCCCATCCCGGAAAATAACTAACTCGCTAAAAAAACGCTAACAAGATTGATCTTGTGGAACTCAACTCATCAAATATTGGGGATGTTAGATCCCCGAAACTCGCTTGATAAATGTCTTTATTTTTGGATTTTATTCATGGGCCGATCAGTTGACCTTGAGATCACATTTCCCACCAGGAAAATCCTTGGCTGTGATTGGTTACTGTGTTTAATTTAGTGTGTTATTTTTGTGACTGTCCTAAAGACTTTTCGATGATGTATAAATAAACACGATTTGTGTGCTTGAATTGCATTGTGTTGGCTGGGTATTTGTAGAATACACTTTTTACGCTATATCAAGACTTTTTCTTCAGTTAATTTGGATCAACGGATCAGAGTAGCCTAACTGGACGCTGATTCATCATTGTCTCATTCTGGTTTATCGACTAAGGTGAACCCGTAATAGTTTCATGCATCATACCTAGTGACGAGCGTAACAATTATTTATCTGACTTCGATCAACAAGTGTATGAATCATATATTTTTTTCTTTATGAAGAATGACTGTAGAATAATACAAATGATTTAATGTTGAAAAATATTCAGAAAAACAAAATTTTTTTAAATGCCTGTTTATATTATCATTATTATTTATTGAAATTATTATCAGATAAATAAATATTAAATAAAGAGATCAAATCAATAAGTAAATAGATAAATAAATAAATAATTAATTAATTAAATAATAATAACACTGGTTTTTCCTTTTTTTTTCTCTTATTTGACGGTACATCATTTGTTATCAAGAGAATCTATTGAAATGCAATCAGTGTTCGTTTTTTTTCTATTAATCATCATATAAAGCAATTGTTGTATTGCGGTCATTTTGTTGCATAAAGTCAATGATTAAAACACAAACTGATACCTGTCATTATTATTATTATTATAAATTTTTTAAAAGAATAGATAATAGTGAATGAATAAATTTTCACTTTTTTTGGAATGTAAAACAACACTGTTGTATCATTAGTATTCTGTTTGACAGGAAGATAACAACTACATCAATGTGTTTAAAAAGCATTTGTGTATAGGGGTATGTAGTATTATATATATATATATATATATATATATATATATATATATATATATATATATATATCTGGACGTATATGTATGAACGATCAGTGAAAATAGTTAGGATGTTATAGGCATGCATAATTTCTTTTTTTTTATCACAATTGTACATTCTAGAAAATATAATGTAATAAATAATTATAATAATAATAATAATAATAATAACCGAATATTACGAAAAATATCTCTTCTACTTTAAGACAACAAATATAAATTTTCTTGAAAAACTTTTAATAATAATAATAATAAATGAGAATTGGCAGAAGTAAACAAAAATAAGAAGAAATCTAATGCATATTGAACCATTACTTGATCGAATTTAAAACAAATGATCATCAATAGAAATGTCGAGATAGAATCAAGTAAGAAATAACGGATGGAATGTTCTAGAACAAAATATTAACATTGTCTTTTTTTTTTGAAAACTATTGGTATCATTGAATCTTGTGGAATAAAGAAGGGGTATTCACAAAAAAAAGAGTTACAGTTTGTTGCTTTTTTAATACGACTTTACAAATTGCGCTAGTTAATTGACAACAATAATAATTAAATGAACAAGTAAGTAGTAGTAGACCGTTAATAAACAAACAATTGAACAAATTCATGATTGAACAAACAACAAAGAAAAAAAATCAACAAACAAAACAAATAATTGGATGAGATGTATTAGTTGATAGTTGACAATTGGATAGCTTAATTCACTACATTTTACAAATGATCCAAGTTAAATAAATGACCATATTTCCAATGCGGTAATAATGAAATCTGGTGTTGATGTTAATTGTGGACTGTCAAATGTTTCACAACTATCACTATGTCCATGTAATAGAACATCATCAAGTTGAATTGCTGAATGACCTCTGAAATTTAAAAGAAAAAATACCGAAAAGATATATAGTAAAAGACGAAGAAATTGATCCTGTTTTAAGTATAATGTTAATAATGAGAAATGAATTGAAAGAAAGTGTAGGAATAAGGTTTTAGTTGATATGTACTATTGAATTTGAGTGATAAAAATGTACCGTTTAGAAGTTATCAATAATTCCTGACTCGGAATTTAAGGAAACTGATGTATTTATTGAAGTTTTATCCTAAAAGTCCGTCTTGCTTATACATACAGACTACCAGGAATTAGTATTTACTAACTTAAGCCTGTTCCCCCTAAATCGAGAATAGGACACTCACCAGCATTCTCCGAACAAAACTGTCCTGAACCTTCCTTCCCAGTAATACCAAATCGCTTCGTCTTCCCTCATCTGGAATCTGGTTTGTTTCTTATCACAGTAGTTGATTGCCGATGGTATCTTGCCAACGGATCCGTAGGATCTTGCGAAGACAACGTTTAACAAACACTTGTATCGCTTGGATGATAGCTTTTGTAGTTTTCAGACTTTCCTCTTCATAAAATAAAACTGTCTTGAAGTTTGTTTTGAAAAATGTGACTTTTGTGTCAGTTGACAGTTTTTGTTTGAGTTCCAGATGTATTTCAGTGGTATAAATGCTGCCCCTGCTTTTACCGATCCCTATCTTTAAATCTGCATCAGATCCACCTTGCTTATCGATTATGCTGCCCAAGTACGTATATGCTTCTCCGTATTCCAATGCCACAACATCAACAGTGATTTCGTTGGCACATGCTGTGTTGTTTTGGGAGATCGTGCTTATTCCCTGGTGTAAGTTGAGACCTACTGCTGAAGAGACTGCCTCTATAATAGCCGTCTTCTCCTGCATTTGTTCCGGTGTGTGGAGTACAAAAGCTTAATCATCTGTGAAATCCAGACCATCTAAGTGTCCGTTGTATTCTCTGGTTATCTTGAGATGTTGACTTCTTCATAATCCAGTCGACCACGAAGAGAAAGAGACAGGGTGAGAGTAAGTAACCTTGCCTGACACCGGTCTTCAGTTCAAATGAGTCTGTGATCTGTCCTTCACTCACAGTGTTATAATTTGGTTCATCGTGCAAATTCCGTATGATGTTGACTATCTTCTCAGGCATGCTGTAGTGTCTGAGAAGCCTCTATAGTGCTGTCGTGTCCACACTATCAAATGCTTTCTCCTAGTCAATGAAGTTGATGTAGAGTGGTGAGTCCCATTCAAATGATTGCCCCACAATGATCTGCAATGTCGTGAATTGGTCGGTACATGATAGATGTTCACGAAATCTAGCCTGCTAATCTCGAAGTTAGGCGTTTGATAACACTCTGTTGAAGACTTTTACTCGTACTGCTTCTCACACTTTCTAAGATCTCATTTCTTTGGTATCTTGATCAGGTGCCCTTCTTTCTAGTCATTTGGTACCTGCACTTCATTCCAAATCTTGTTGAAGAGCATGTGGAATGCTTTTGTAGTTGTTACCACATCTGCTTTCATTGCCTCTGCTGGAATGTTGTCTGGTCCTGCTGCTTTGCCGCTCTTCATTTGTTTGATTGCCATGCTAATCTCTCCAATTGTTAGTAGGCCAACATCGATTAGGAAGTCTATGGATGCTGCTTCGATGTCGGGTGGGTTCAGTGGGGCTGGCTGATTCACTTGCTTGTTTGCTTCTGTGCATTTGACCTGTGCCTTGGCTCTCTCCGCCTGTATTCGACTGCTACTGATTAATGTCTCCCAGTTCTTACTTTATTGAATTTAGTGTATTAACAGTAATCCCTTCCTTGTGATGGTGGTTCTGTGGCCGAAAACATCACGACATATTGAAGTTAGCGTTTCTTTAATCCCTGTCCAGCTGTATCCATAGTAGCTTCTGCTTCAATTGGTAGATTGTGAAAGGCTTGGAAGTTTTACTGAAAGCGTTCTTGAATTCTGTGAGTTTACCAGTATCTTGAAGAAATGTCGTATTAAACTCTCTTTGTTCATACATCCTGCAAGGTCTTTCTGAACGTTTGATTGATATAGATGTGATCAATTTGGTTCTGTATGGTGTGATCCGGCGAAATCCATGTCACTTTGCGTATGCTTTTGTGCAGGAATATGGTGTCATTCACAATCATTTTGTTGAGGGCACAAAATTTAAGAGTCTCACCGTTTTCGGTCTTTTCTCCTAGTCCATTTCATCCCCTTTAAGTTTTCATATCCGATGTTGTCCATTCCGACCTCGGCATTTAGGTCTTCTATCGGAATAGTTGAATCCTGCGCTAGACAGTTCTCCACGACTGACTGGAACCTCAGAGAACTGATGTTTATTGTCCTCATTGATATCGTCGGTATAGACACAGCACTGAATGGAATCGATTGTGATCCCCTATTTCCTTGTTTTGAAGATCCTAGGTCCATAAGCTTCTCGTCCGATAACTGGTTTTCGGGCTTCATTGGACAGCGTCAATTCAACTCGTTGTGCGTGCAAGTCATTTTCTTATTCATGAACGTAGTGAAACAGCATATCTCCTGAATCTAATCTTTTCTGTTCAGCCTACGTCCAAGTTGTTTGACTGATTCGAGTCACTGTCAGGTAGTATCTCTTCGTTTCTGTAGCAACTTGAATGGTTCTTCCGGTCACCCACATTGTACGAACATTTCATGTACTTATAACAATTGTTACTCTGGCTGTCAGGAAATATAAAACATAAATATCGGATACAGAAATTTTTCAGTAAGCTCAAATGTTTATTTTAATGATTAGTTTTTTTCTCGTTTTCCACCACTAGTCTAGATCAATTTGAAAATTAATAAGAAATACGAAATTGTATACAGCTGTTTCATTTTATTTCAGAATTCTTCAGCATTTTACATCCACTTTCACAAGATGTACAGTTTTTTCAGAGGAAATAACGATCATTCACGAACGTAGACCTTAGCATATTTGTGCTATGGTTCAAGTCACCGTACCATATTAGTATCTTGAGATAAAATTGCCTATACAAACATCAGATTTGTCGCATACCAGGACGAAATGGCCGTCCAGTACTTCCAGGTTTCTGATAGTGGTCTAACAATGATTGATTGATAATTTCAAATGTGTAAAAACACTAATCTCCATAACTCTAATTAAAAATATCGTAAATAATTTTCAAATGATAACAGCAACTATTATTATCCATAGATAATGAATTCTATCACAAATGAAAAGTTCAATATAATTTGAACAAACATCATCAAAAAGTTTAAGACAATTTGTCCCTTTTTATAAATTGTGATAGAACGGCGAGAAGACGTAATTGATCTGAAAAAGTGTGATGTATTTGCGCTAAACATATTTCGACCGATTTGGTCACACATATTTACTTGTCCAGGCATTTTATATGAAGATTAATAAAAGGTCAAATTATCGAAAATTTCAAATGGAGAGAAAATATGAAAAGAATAAGAAAGGGTAGGAAATTGTCACATTACTCTAGATCATACAATGGCTTCTTTTAATTGACCTTTTATTAATCTTTGTATAAAATGCCTTGATTAGTAGGTATGTGTGACCAGATTGGTCGAAATATGTATAGCGCGAATACATCACACTTGTTCAGATCAATTATTGTCTGTCTTCTCGCTTTTTCTATCAAAATAATCAAAAAGGAAGATAATCAAAAGAATACAACGCTATACACATTATAATGCAAATTGATTTTATAACTTTATGATTTAATATTTCTAATTATTGATTAAGATAGCATTTTCAGTTAGAGCTTTGGAGATTTTGTGTTTTTTACACATTTGAAATCATTAATCAATCATTGTTAGACCACCATTAGAAACGTGGTGGCACTGAAAGACGCCCGTTTCGTCCTGGTATGGGACTCATCAGTGGCAGTGCGCATCCACGACTCCTGCATTTCTCAGGATTCGAACCTGGGACCTTCTGTATTGTGAGCGAACGCCTAACAATCGGACCACTGGGCCGGCTTCCAACGGTGTTAATGTCTAATTCTGATTGATCTAGCATTATGAAATGGAATGAATTCTAAGTGATATTCATGTTTAACTTTAGTTTAATTTGTTATAGAGAAACTAATTAACTATAAAATATATTTACAATCATTGTGGATTACCTTTAGTTTGCTTTTTTTTAATTTTCAGTATGTACATTGAAATGTATGTATTGTGAAAGTGTTGATTTAAACAAATAAATTGAATACATTATTAGAAATTTATCAACTGTACTTTAGTAGTTCAGTAATCATTCATAAATGTTCGGCGAATATATATTACAAATAATAAAAGAGAGTATGCATTTCCGGATACTTCAGTAAAACTTATTCTAATTTCCAATTCATCAACATCTTGTGACGATGAACAAGGATAAAATACTTATTTTTTTCCTGAATACAATCATGTGATATTGACATTGAATATATATATAACTGATTGATATGCATAGATTAAATTAATTTATGATAAAATTTTTTTTTATCATATTGAGTGAGTTGCTAATCACATTAAATATTTTGCTATAAAAGTATTTACCAATTTATACCGATTGGCAAATATCATATAATCTATCTATCTATCTATCTACCTACCTATCTATCTATCTATCTATCTATCTATCTATCTATCTATCTATCTCTACCTGACTTGAATTTTCATGAATATTGATTAAAAATCTAGTTATCTGTATGATAGGATTAGAACAAGAAAAATACTTTTGAAATCAATGTTAGGGTAGCATTAGAAACCTGGAAGCACTGAACGGCCGTTTCACCCTGGAATGGGACTCATCTGCAGTGCGCATCCACGACTCATACACCTCTCAGGATTACGAACCTAGGACCTCCGGTCTTGTGCGCCAACGTCTAACCTCTGGACCACTGAGTCGGTATCTAAGGATGTTAATGTGTAACTGCCATCAATTCAGAGTCCTGCGCAACCTCTTACACTGTTCTCGGTAGTTACTGTCTACATTGGTCACTTCACTGGTCACGACTACTCACTAGAATTCGGAGAAGATTCCTTACGGAGCTAGTCACTAGTAAGCACAGGAAATTGCACTACTGGGTTGTGAAGATTGTTAAGCTACACATTTGAAATCATGAATCTATCAATGTTAGACCACCATAAAGTGGAAGTTATCGTACTTGATTTTAAGTCATAAAAACACTTTAAGATTGAATGATTGATAGTTAAAGTTAGTTATTTAGTTACACTTATTGATTGATCAAATTAAAATATGACAACGGAGCAGATGTGTTACATTGAATGATTCATGTTAGTAAAACTAAAAACCAAAATTGAATAACTTTGTTGTTGAAATTGAGTGATCAGTTTTATGCAATGACAGTTGGCTAAACACATTTTTTAAGTAGTATCATCATCATTCGCATTAAAACCAAAGAGTATATACTGAAAATACTCGAGGGAAAAATGATAGAAGTGATAGAAATTCAGACCTGAAAATTATTATTTAACACATATCTTGATGATATGAACTAATGTAATTATCAAAAGATAAAATTGTTTAGCTTCCACCAATTGTGATATAGTTTAATTCGCTGAGTTGAATGTGCTGGTTGTGGAGTTTTCATTGTTCTTCTTGTGAACAAGATTATCAGCAAAACACAGCAGATAGAAGTGAAGTATTCAAATTTATCCACGATTGATCTATAGTTTGTTCTGTTAACCTCGATCTCGATTGGGTGTTATTGATCTTAAACCTGTCGTTGTTTGCACCTTTGTGGCGATCGCATCCCCCTTTGATCTGTTTCTTGATCCTATGAATGCGAAGGATCTGTCTGATTGGTTAATAAATTGGATCAAGGTCGATGTGTATATTGATTGCTGATTGACCCGAGTACCAAGCTTCCAAAAATTCTCCAGTGTTCTTTGTCCTCCCCCTATCCAGCTATTCATCATTGTTCCAAATATCCATAGTTGCCCGTGTGTATTGATATAAGGGAAGAAATGTCATAGCGTCTGATTGCTAATTGGTGTTCACGCAGACGTAACTGAAGAGGATGTCCACTTTGTCCAATGTAGTGTTTTTCACAGTCTGAGCAGTTTATCTTGCAGATGATAGTTGGTTTTTCTTCTTTTGTCATTTTGTCCTTTGGTCTACATAGGATTGATTGAAGTGCTTCTGTTAGTTTGTGTGCCAAACCTATTGCAATTAGTCTCGGTAGTAGTGCTGTAAGTTCAGATATGTCTTTTATATATGGTAGGATGATCCATTTATTAGTTCCTGTACTTGATTTCGCTTCTGTTTATAATTTCAATTGACATTTTTTTGATAAAGTTGAATGGATAGCTTCCAAAAAGCATTAACTAATTTTATCGTTTTATTAACAAGATAATTGTAAGTTTTTTTTCTTTCTTAGAGAATAAACAAGATCTGACTTGGAATTAACAAGTCGTTGGATATTTTTCACTATGAAATCTCTTTGATAACTAGATTATACATATATATATATATTTAATTTTCCTTAAAATGCCTACTGAAATAAATTACTATAAGAGAAAGAGAGGAAGAGAGAGAGTGTGTGAGAGAGAGAGAGAGAATTGCTTACCAATACGAAATAAGAAAGCTTATAGAATATGACTTAAAATTAGATACTCAAGTGGACCAATGAAAATTCTACTTATTCAACTTTTTTTCGTTCTCATGGTTACTTACAAAGTCTCTAACTAACTAACTATATATACATATTATACTAAGTAATCCTAATGAATCTGGGCTTTGTTGATTCTATCATCGTGATATTATTATTATTATTAACATTATTTCTACTAACTATAATTGGTTTTCTTAGAAAAATAAACAAAAGTAGAAAAAAAGCAACGTAAACTGACCACTGAAACATATTTTCCAAATGGAGGAGAAAAAAATTCAAATGTTTAGTTTGACAAACAAAGTCAATGAAAATAGTTTGATCGAATTGAGAAAACAATAACAAGAGAGTAGTAGTAATAGTAGTATTAGTAGTAATAATTGTTTACTTAGAAGAATAGCACATAAAGGATAGTACATGTGTGTGTTTGTATTGGGTGTGTGTGTTTATTCTTTTTTTTTGTTTTATGAATGTTTAAAGTAACTAACTACATATCTATGTAAGAGTAGAATAGGAAATATAACAGGAATGTTAAAAAATAACTTACTGAGAACATCCAATGGTTAATGAATCATGACCGCCATTGATAAAATAGGAATTTTTACCGCTCCATATAAATTTCTAAAATAACAATAATAAATAGTACAATGAAGTAAAATGATGAAGTGGTAAGGATTGAAATATACAAATAAATAATGTATGTGAATTTTAAAAAAAAAATAATATTCAAACGAATAATGGTAATAATAATATATATTTTATTTAAATAATTGAAATTATTTTAAAATATGGGACAATAGGTTAAGTACATTTGAATTACGAAATATATTAGTGGAGTTGATCATTATTTATACAACAATGCTCTATTTCGAAACGCATGAACTTTGTTGAATAAATAGCTATGACTATACTATTGTGATGAACAAGAACACAGGTGGGGCAACCGGACTGTATTTAACGAAAAATTACAGAGTTACACAGTAAAATTGGAAAATCATATCGTAAATCGTTAATTTGCAAAATAACAGTTCATCATATCGAACTGGACTGTTCCTGTTGCAAAACATCAATCCATTGTCACTAATTATGCGTTTCATACAAATTCCATTGTTTTCTAACTCTTCCTTTCTTGATCTTCCCCCATCTTCTGCTGCCAGACATTACGTTGACACTCACGTCATATACTACTTATAAGTAGCTCGCACCACACTATTATCTCGATAAATAGTTGATATTCACATAACACAGTAAAATATAAATAACGGCTATCTTGTGTAGTGTGTACTACTAATATGTCGAGCCCCTATTGACTTATCCCGGCCTTCGAACAAATTCTTCTTGGGTCATTCACACATCTTTTGGTATTGTCAATCATTCGTTCATATTATTGGTCGCTTTCATTTGAGTGAGCATGTGCATGCTTACTTCGTTTATTGAATGTTAGGCTTATTTTTGTCGGCCTATAAATAACTGAGTCATGCCTCATTACACTGAGTTGGTTCGCTTGCCTTCTGCGCTTCGCTTTGTTTTCACGCTTCGTCATCTCTCATGTCTGTCTGCACAAACGATTATTGCATGAAATAAATTCATCCATAAAACCGTATTCGGCCTCTTATTACCGCCATCGTACAAACAGGGTTCGCCAAAGTATGATATATATGGAAATTTAAGAGAAGATTTATTTCATAGCATTTTTTAGTTGTTCGTAAACATTGGTGTCCGACTGTGATGAAGTCTACTTTGAATTTAACTCAGTCAACCAATGATTGATTGATGATTTCAAATGTGTAAAAACACAAACCTACAAAGCTCTGCCTGAAAATATCGTAACAGTGCTCACTAGTGACTAGATTCGTGAGGAAATTCTCGGAGTTCTAGTTGAGAAGACGTGACCATTGGAGTTCAAACCTGTCGGGTGTAGGCAGTAACTACCAAAGACAAATGGGTGAGGTCGCGCAAAATCCCTAGATCAATCAGAGTTAGACATTAACACCGTTGAATGCCGGCCCAGCGGTCCGACGGCTAGGCGTTCGCACACAATACCGAAGGTCCCGGGTTCGAATCCTGTGAGGTCCAGAAGTCGTGGATGCGCACTGTCACTGATGAGTCTCATACCAGGACGAAGCGGCGGTCTTTCAGCGCATCCAGGTTTCTCTAATGGTGTTCTAACAATGATTGATTGATGATTTCAAATGCGTAAAAAACACAAACCTCCAAAGCTCTGTCCGAAAATATTTCATTTATAACAAACAAATTAACAATGAACATTTTTACAATAAATGAAATAAATCGTATATCTGTTTTGTTATTATTATAATTTTTATTAGCAATTGATTTACCTGAAATGTTTCTTTTTTATTCTGTTCAAGCAATTCTTTTTCATCATGATAAGATAAATGTGCAAATTCTTTAGTGACAAGTTCAGTTTTCATATCAAACGATGTAAACGAGGATGAAGGTGCAATTACGCCTTTACCACCATGTGTATTTTTCACTAGTAATGATGATGATGACGATGATGATGCAGGATTCATATCCGATGCAACATTCATCAATTTATTACTAGAATCCAATGAGACAGCGATTGAATCTTGTTCATTCGGTGAATTATTATTATTATTATTATCACTTTTCTCCTTTACTTGATCATCTTTTAAATCATTTGTATTCAGCCATCGAAATACAAAACATGATCCATTGCCATAGAATCGACCATTACTAGGATAAGGATGTGTATTAAGCATTGCTCCAAATATCTAAGTTAAACGTAAAAGCAAAAAATATATCTATAAGACGACACTTCATATTATTATTATTATTATTATTATTATTATTATGATTGAAGACATACAGATCTACGAACGAATAAAGTTTTGTTTTCATGATAAGTTCATCACAGATTTTAAGATATACATTGATATTAATAATACTTAAATATAAGGTAAAACTTCGCGTGGAGCCCCTCTGGGGCTACTGCCGGTACCAAACCCGGATAAAGGAGGAGGGTTGAGCATTGGGTTGGCGACCCCATCCCATAAAAATCTAACTCGCTATAAAAACGCTACTCAGAAAAAATAATTCAAACCATTTTAACCTCTGCTCTGGCAGCTAGGTCTTCTTTCAGAAGAATTATGATGCCTTATGATGAAAGCCAAGTCTCTTCGGAAGTCACGGGGCCGATGCCGCTTCTGACAATCAGAGCAACCATTCTTTTAGGTACATGGAATGTTCGAACATTGTGGGCAACCCGAAGACTTAATTCTATTAATGTACATTCAGCAATCATTCTACTTGGTATCTTAAAATGACAGTTATAATTAATTTTAACGACTGTCAGTTGCATTATCTGTTTGTTGTAGTTGACTACTTATTGGAAAAAATAATTCCATTGAATTTTACTGACAATAATAATTTGAATTTTATATAGATTAGGTGGTACCTTATTATTTATTGGTCAATAATTTATTTTATATTCATTGTTACTTAATAATCATTTATAAGTTCAACCCTTTTTGTATATGACTTTATTTTCAATATATAAAAACAAATCAATCTTATTTATTGCGTTAAACATGTTATTATCTTTTTTTATCTTGTTTGAAACTAAACTTCAACAGTTATGCAATGTAGAAAGTTTTATCTCAGTATTTCTTTCGTAAATTTAGTCTGCTTACAGGTTGCAGTAAGCCGTCACAACCTATCCTGAACTAGTGGTAAGGTGTGAAGTAGTTGGGCGTGTCGACCATTTCACCTAGCTCGGGAGTCTCATCAGTGCTGGCGGCATGGTGTGTGACGAAATCTCCGCTCGGATACAGAGGGCTGTTCGTTCCTTAATACTTTATGGCTGTGAAACATGAACAGTCAGAGTAGAAGATATTCATACGTTGCTTGTTTTCGAACACAGGTGTCGCCGGAGCATTGCTCGTTCATCTTGTAACTATCTAGTAAACAATGCTACCATTAGGAAACGATCACTAGGTAAGGATGGCAGACCAATAGATGCAGTATTCAACCTTCCTCAGTTGAGGTGGTTCGGAGATGTAATGCGTATGCTAAACCACCGACTGCCACGACAAGCGATGTTTTGCGATGTTGAAATAAGTTGGAAGAAAGCTACGGGCAGCCAAATCAAAACACGGCACAAATCCATCAAGTCACTGACAAGTAGATAGAGTCAAGTTGGTAAATGTCCACTATCTGGTTGGGACCCGCGAGATGATAGTAGTCGATGGTTAGAGACTCTGAATGACATGGCTCAAAATCGTTTGCGATAGCACAGATGCATCCACTCTTTGTGTTCCCTCAAATCCTAATCTTCTGGATTTGTCAACACCTCTCTCTTTCTCTTTCTAAACTTATCTCACTGAATTATACTTCTCGAATCATATCTTCGAACCCTAATCTTCTCCATTACTGCTAATACTCCTACTTTCTCTACCACTATGAGATTTGAATTGACAATTGCGTCTCTGTGCTAATGTGGTATGGCAATCTGAAATGATGTACGTGTGGACGAAGTTCTATGTTGCTGCTGATTGATTGAATGAATTTGACTATTTTGAATTATTATGACTGTGCATATTGGAAGAGAATTTACTAAAAACTAATTATTCTTCATTTCTAAAAATAAATTATTGTATATTACTGCAAAGGTTTGTTGTAAACTCACATTTTCGTTTATTACAATATCTAGATGACTTAAACTCATTTGATATTACGTAATTAGGCAAAATAATTAATTAAGTGAAAAAAAGATGATAAACTGTATAATCCAATCGTATATGTTTTAAAGGTCACATTTGAAAAATTATCACTACCTTATTTGCTTAACTGAAACAATGAAACCAAAAATTAGATAAGTGAAAGTTTATTTATTTAAGATAGGATAAAGCTTGTCCATTTAGATTTATGAACTTCTATTCTCATCAACCTTATATTCCAATTCTTCATGGTGTAACTATTTTTAAATATTTAACTTTTACCAAACATTTTGCCAGTTCTCTTATTGTCAATCTTTAAAATATAGATATTTCAATTCGTATATAACTTTATCCACTACATTTTTGAATCGTTTTCCGTACAATTCTCACTAATGTTAGTTCATATAAACAAATAAAAAATGACAACATATAACTGATTTAAGGTACGTATCTACGAATTAATAGCTCATCAATATTCAATGTGTATGCAGTGTCTGTTCATTTTTAGGTAGTGAGTGAGTGAGTGAGTGTTGAATGCGCAAGCTTAATTTTCACTGTAGATTTGAGTTGAATCTTCAAATTTCATTTCGTTTCATTTACCTTTTTTATTTAGTCAGTTGTGATGTGTTATAGTGTGGTGCGCGCTATGATATGAGTGTTAACGTAATGTCTGGCAGCCGAAGATGGGGGAAGATCAAGAAAGGAAGAGTTAGAAAACAATGGAATTTGTATGAAACGCATGAATAGTGACAATGGATTAATGTTTTGCAACAGGAACAGTTCAGTTCGATATGATGAACTGATATTTTGCAAATTAACGATTTACGATATGATTTTCCGATTTTACTGAGTAACTCTGTAATTTTCGTTAAATACAATTCGGTTGCCCCACCTGTGTTCTCCTTCACTACAATAGTAGCGAATTCATAGAAAAAAAGTGATATGCAGATAGCTAGAGATAATTGAAATGAAGTTCCCAGTAAAAAAGAAAACCTACCTGCTAAATTGACACAAAAATGCTCAAAAATTGCTAGATCGTACATTTTTGTTGACGATTAAAAAAAAAAATGATAGCCAAATGCACGTAATTCAGTTTTTTTTCAAATTTAATCAATAAATAAATATATAACGCTTATTTTATTATCATAATAATAACTTCTTCGCATAAATCTTTTCGTCTCCTTTTTTATTTTGATAAATTTCAAAGTATTAAATAAAAAAAAAAGGCGAGTTTAATCAAATTTTATTATTCTCTTTGCAAGAATGATATTTTTTTTTCCTTTGTCACATGAAATAGAATTGCAAAATATTTGCACTTGTCAATTCGCATAAGTTCGTGGGTAACACTTTTTTTTATTATATTAGAAATAGAGAGTAGATATTTTTTAATCAGTGAATGGGGAAATTTATCTGAATATACTAGTTGTAATTAAATTTATTTCATATAGATATCAGACAAGATTAGAATAGATTAATTTTATGATTAGATCCTAACAATGAACACAGTGAAGATGGATTATTATCATCATCATATGATTTTCTATGATGTTTGACTTTCCTCATGAGAATCAATTTTTTTTTCTTTTTGCTTAGATTATTCAAGTGTAGTATAATTTTGTAAATTTATATGCTGACTAACCTAGGCTCAACAATTGTTGAACAATATATCTTACGTAACAGATGCTGTTGTTTTATTATAATTCAATTTGACTCGAATTATAATGTCCGGATATTTATTTTCTAAAAAAAATATTAAATCCCTTGAGAGTGACAATATTAAATTTGTTTCATTTATATAGTTTTGAGAGGCTATTTTTATTTGTACAGTACATAGTAAATTGTATCACAGCTGCCATGCCTATTTGCAATTTATACAATATTACTTATTTTTTAGTCAAAAAGATTAACTTTCATATCCACATAAAATAGGAGGTTCACGTAATGTATGCTAATCGATTGAGTTCGCAGTAGAGTTTTCATTGTTCTTTTTCTGAACAACAACAAGTCAATGCAAGTTTTGCAGCGTTGAATGTTCTGTTAATTACTCTACTTAATCTGTCCTGCAGAGTATCGCAGGCCACATATCCGTTGGATCGTAGCTTCATAAACAAAGGCTTCTTTCGGGCGGTCGAAACCACCGACTTCTTTTTTACGGCAAACATATACTTCTTTATGAATGCGCTTGGATAACCAATCTCGGTTAGTCAAAAACAATACGCAGTTCTATCTTAGCACACCTGGTAGATAGTGGTCAGATTGTAGATAAATCTAGATCTTTTCGGGTGATCTATCGTATACCTCCATCATTTCCCAACGGAGTTCGATCCCGTCTCCTACACATTGCAGAAGCCATAGGAATACGTACATTCAACCCTAATTTATGTGTTCAGAAGAAATTCGTGACACCCCTATCTCTTCCGTGGCCGGATATGACGTAACTAACGATTGACATATTTTTATTATTTTTTGATTTTTTATTTTATTTTATTTTTACACATTTGCTTATTAGGTAATGTTTTTGATGTTTTTGATGATTATTTGAATTCTGTTCATCCACCCTTGACCTACTTTAGTTATCATATTTTACAAATTAACTTACTACTATCAGTACACCTGTTTTCCTATTATCCACTTGAACTTTTGCCTATTAGATATAGTTACGTAATCTTTTTCATTTCATTGTGATTATCACTCAAATTGCCTTGATTGGTTTCACATTTTCATATAAATATTCATGTATATTAGAGTGAGGCCTGATGACGATCTCATTGAAAACAATATTGTTCGCTTATATGTTTTGTTCTAAAATCATAGGTGACATAGGATCAAGAAACAGATTAAAGGGGAATGCAATCAAAATAAAGGTGTAGACAACGATAGGTCAGTAACAACCAATCAAGATTGAGGTTAACACAAACAAGCTACGGATCAAACGTGGATAAATTCGAATACTTCACTTCAATCTGCTGTGTTGTGCTGATCATGTTGTTCAGAAGAACTTCAATGAGAACTCTACAACCAACACATCCAGCTCAGACAACGAAATTTCACTACAATCATCCCCCCGGGAGCAACAATTTTTCTCCACCATCTGCGCTGTATTAATATTCATCGATCAATACGTTAGGGTGTAGTGAGTGTTATTCATGCAATTTTTTGATGAATTCATTCAAGATCAGATTGTGGATTACTCATTCAATGATACAGAAACTATCAGATGACCTAAAGGTCACTGGTTCAAATCAGTGTGGCACTATAATTACGAATCAGATGTTTAACACTCGCTAGTTTTTAGTAGTTTGATCATTGGTGTTACCGGCTGAATGTAGTTATTGATATTATAATCAGTTAACACATCATTCATCATTTTATTCCAAGTCATCTTTTGTATAGCAGCGCCATATCTAACATTTTGCATATCATATATATTTGTTTACTCATAAACAAAATTCACTTGTACGTTTTTTTTTGTTTTCTGAGTGAAAAGTTAACAGAGTAGGACATTTTTTAAGTAGTATATACTCGATCCTCTAAATTGTGTACACAGTTTATTATTCAAGTGATGAAAATCTCCAAAAAAACTAAATGAATTTATCTTATTTTGAAAATATTATTGTTATTTGATGATTGAAGTTGACTAAAAATAAAAACAAATGCATTTACAAAATAAAATTGTCACGTATAATTAATTGATTGTTTCATGAATAGTCGTCATATGATAAATTATTCCATTTGATAAATAAAAATTGTTAGGAAAACAAAAGTAACTTTTTTTATTTGTCAAATCGAAAAAAATAAAAACATTTTTTAAACTAGTAAATCATTCAACAGATAAAAAAAATACAGTTTGAAAATATTGTGAAATTCTGCCGCTGAAAAAAATTTCACTCACCTCATTTGTTGATGTTCGAATGATTAATATACATGGTTGATTTGCAGCATGCGGCGAATTGGTTGTATGTGTATATTTCATTTTTGTACATGATTTATCTGGTGATGAATCGGTCAAACTATTGGCACATCGACGATATAATGATTTCAGACTAAATCCATGCATAGAAGTACTATAAGTTAGCATCCAATCTAAACCTTCAGCGTCAGGAGTTAAATTTTGTAAAAGCTAATGTGAAATAGAAATAAAACAGGATAACTTATAGTATAATAACAATAAAATTGAAAATTGATCCAATAACAAGCATGAAATAATAAAATGTATATAGAGATATAAGTTGATGAACTCAGTCAGTCAGTCAGTCAGTTACAACGTAGAAGTTTGTACGCACATTCGTCAGTAATGGTCACCATACAGTATTAGCACAGTGATGCAACTGGTAGTTCAAATCCCATAGTGGTAGAGATAGTAGAAGTACTACTGGTAATGAAGAAGATTAGGGAGCGAAGAAATTATTCAAGTACAATTCTGTAGCAAGAGAAAGATAGAGGTGATGAGGAATTCTGAAGATTCGAATTTGAGCGAACACAAAGAATGAATTCACCTGTGCCATTGAAAATGATTTTGAGTCATATCGTTCAAGGTCTCTAACCATCAGTGACTTTCATCTCGCGAACAACAAACAAGTAGTCTACACTTACCAACATGACTCAGTCCACTTGTCAGTGACTTCATGGATTTGTACTATGTTTTGATCTGGCCACCTTTAGCTTTCTTTCAACCTACTCTTATATCACAAAACATAGCTCGACGAGGCAGTCGGTGGTTGCTCATTCGTAACACATGCCCCAACCACCTAAACTGATGAAGTTTCACAACTTCATCTATTAACCTGCAATCCTTACCAAGCACCCGTTTCCTAACAACAGCATAGCTTATACGGTTGTCCCATGATACACGAACAATGCTCCGGAGACACCTATGTTTGAAAACAAGCAACGTACTCAACGCACTCAAAAAAATGTGAGTTTACAACAAACCTTTGCAGTAATATACAATAATTTATTTTTAGAAATGAAGAATAATTAGTTTTTAGTAAATTCTCTTCCAATATGCACAGTCATAATAATTCAAAATAGTCAAATTCATTCAGTCAATCAGCAGTAACATAGAACTTTGTCCACACGTACATCAGTTCAGTTTGTCATACCACATTAGCACAGAGACGCAATTGTCAATTCAAATCTCATAGTGGTAGAGAAAGGAGGAGTAATAGCAGTAATGCTACATTGCGAAAAGAAAAGAAGCGAACGAGTTTTTGGATAGGGATATTGAGACAACGATACTATTCAAGGCAGACATTATCCTTATAATCTATTTTATACTTATCAGCAGATATTTTCATTACGGTCTACTTATATGTGCGTTAAACAGATAAATTCATTGCGGTCTACTGAGTGCTGGGCAAATAGAACTGGTGCCAGCCTAAACCAGTATTTGTGTACACAGTTAGCGGTTAAGTGAAACGGGTATCAGTCGACCATTAATTGTGTGAGATGAAATGTTGTTTTGAACAGAACTAGCAATTCATTTTCAGGATATATTCTTATAAACGCAATTTTTATCCCTAGGTTGATGAATACCATGAATGAATCTGTTGGTACTTTTAGTGGAAGAAATCGCAATTTGTTTCACTAGTAAGCCTTCATGATAAATGTTATGGAATATAATGTTATTATTAAAACGCTCCAACATTTAGTTGTTTGTCTGAAAATTATAATATATTTTTATAAACAAATATTGAGCAAGTCTATATTCCGATATCTATAGTTTACAAGAGATGTTTTCTTTTCAGAAAGTAATATGCTTGGTAAGAATAAACAAAGGCATAGGTTAACTTGTTAGAAAATCTTATTAACTAAAACAAGATTTGAAATGAATTCAAATTAGAAACGAAAATAATGCCGAAATTTCACATGTGGACTACATGCAACTAATTGACTTTCAAATATCATATTTCAGCTACATCAGTTCGACAACAGCCTTATTCCATACACTTATAGTCGAGTACATGGTCAATGAAACACTCAGTCTGGAGTCCCTCTGAGGCTACTGATGGTCCTTAGCCCGGATAAAAGAGGAGAGTCGGGCTTGGGGGGGTTGGCGATCACATCCCGTAGAAAAAAAAAACTCACTAAAAAAAAGCGATGAAATACAAACAACCATGTAAGTTGTATGTATACTCTTTGCTTACTTACATCGCGAACTTTTTGTACATTGAAAATTTCACTGTTTGATGTTGCCGTAGGTATTGGCAATAATTCTGGTTCAGCTAATTTTATACAATCAAATATGAATTGTTTCTTTTTCTCCTCTTCTAAATCTTTCAATTCTAATTCTTTTGAACTAACCAACTTTATGGGTAATAAGAAAAGAAAAACAGGAAGAAAAAAAACGATGAAATCTCAAAATTATGAAACAATCAATGAATTGATTAATGAGAAAAAAAAAGATTTAAGTAACAAAATTGTTGAGGTTAGAATTTCAATGAATCCACTTGAAATGGGAAAATTACGTGATTTTGAACTCAATTAATGAACTGGATAGATAGTCATCTTTTATTTGGTTTGTAAAATATTGACACAATTTCATGTGAGGTTATAGTTCGACAAACGTGAAGAAGTTTCAAACTAGTATAAATCAGTCATTTCATGATTTATAGTTTTTAAATGGTTTTAGCAGAGTTAACACCCTCTTTCAGTAAAACAAATATCTTTGGTTATAAAACATGGTCATCAATTCATTGCTTGAATAACTAAAAAGAACACCATTTTTCTTTACTTAAATCTAACTGAATCATTCAAATGTAATTGTGATAAATTGATGAGAATCTTTGAACTACTACTAACGTCTATTAATTAATTCACTGTATAATTTCTTTTAATGATAGTTTTATGCAGTAGATCAATAAAAGGTTCTCACAAATGTTTTAAGGTATTGTACCAATTAGTCTATGTCGTCTAAGGGATGTTTTTTTCTGTATCAATATAGATGTTTGAACAATTTCATGAGACGTAAAAAGGCACTGATCATATTATACTGTGAAAAAAACATTCAGGCAGCGAACTATAAAGTGAACCCGAGATATTTCGTTGTTGTGAATATGTCTGGATAATAATAGATATGAATCTAGCCGATAAAATTAAGAATAGTCGTTTTCAGTATTATCTGTTTTAGGTTTCACATTTACATGACGACATATGGATGTATCCAAATTGCGGAAAAGAACTTAGTCAATGAAGTATGTGGGATAGAACACATTCATACATCGTTTGCTTATTTAACTAAGTAAGTAAACTTTTTTCTACCGTGGAAACCAAACAAGAATAGGAAACAGGAAAATACGTCATTATGAATAGAGAGTTCGAGAGTCAAATGCTTCTAGGGAAATACCATAGTGAAAATTGTTCGAACGCTGGTAGCATTGTGTAGACAAATCATTTAAAGCTAAAAACAAGATTTCATAATATATTTCCTGTAGTAGAACGAGTTTTCAAATTCTAGTCGACAAAGTTTTCAATAATGCTAACAAAAGTACAAAACATCATTTCGCCTACATTATAACAGTAAAAATGTGAATGCAGCTGGATAGTAGTAGTAGATTTGGTTAATTTTAGAAAAACACAAAGGTTTTCACACATAAAACACACCAATTAATAATAACACGTTATTCATACATAATGTAATAATTGCGCAGAAAATAGTTAAAGCAATGCAACTGATAAAAAAAGTAAAACTGAAATGAAGAATGCAAATTATGTTTAGTCTCGAAACAGTATTTGCTTTACTCTAATAAATCTGGATGAACAGAGTCGAATATTGTAAGTAAGCCAATGAAATGCAATTTTATTAATTATTAAATATTCTAATGTAACTGTTGTAAGTAATGATCACTTGAATTCGACAATAATCACCTTGTCATTGAAGTTAGCGCCATACATTTTTTTCAGTCTGGTTATATATGTTTCCAGTTAATTTAAAATACATTAACAGCAGTAGATACCGGCTAAGTGGTCTAGAGGTTTGGTGTACAGGTGCTTCCGACCTGGGTTCGAATCCTGCGAGTGACAGGATCCGCACTACCGATGAGTCCTATACCAGAAGGAAACGACCGTCCAGTGGTCTAACATCAAAACGATTCATGATTTCAAAAAGTAAATTAACAATCTCCACAACCCCATAATACCATTATTGTGACCATAAAACACTTTTCCGATCAAAATAGTTATTTTAGTCTGAAAATATTAACTTTTATTGATGAAGACAAGAAGATGCGACTATGCATAGCATAGCATATCATTAAAACTTTTATTCAGACATTTTGTATCACTTTTTTTGATTAAAATTCGAAGCGAAAGCAAAACAACAAACTAAGCAGGAAATGTAAACGTGTTTTTTAAAAGTTTCTTTTTTAAAAAAAATAGTAGGAATTATAATTACCAAGATTAAATTAGTATACACTGCAAACTGTGTAAGAAAAGATAATTTTTATTCAAATTGTCAAATCATTGAATATAATTGAAAAGTTTTATGCAAACTAGACTGAATAAAATTAGACACTTAATTATTTTCCATTTAATAATATTTTACCTTACCAATTTATTGATATTATTCAGTAGAGTACGAAATGGAGATGTTAACCACTAAACAAAGAATTTATTAGTTTGAAAGAAATATAAATATTTTACATGGAAATATATACGATGAAAAATATTCAAGCAAATTTATGATTGAATAAAGAGTTCTGAGATGGTGAGGAAAATTTGTAGCTCAGGTGGATGATTGTAATGGAGTTTCATTCTTTGAGCTAGATGCTTTGATTGAGGTGCTTTCATTGTTCTTCTTCTGAACAACATTATCAGCAGAAAACTTTAGATGGAAATGAAGTATTCAAATTTCTCCATGCATGATTCGTAGCTTGTTTTGGTAACCTCCAACTTGATTGGTTGTTATTGTCCTTGAACCAATCACGATTGAGGTTCATAGGAAAAGCTACAAGTCATTTGTTGAGAGATTAGAATATTTCACTTCTTTCTGAAGTTTGTAATGATGATGTTGTTCAGAAGAAGAACAATGAAAGCCCCTTAACCAAAACATCCAGCTCAGAGAACGAAACTCCATGACACTAAAGAGTTCTATTTGTGAAACTAATCATTCATGGTTTAGTAAATGACATGACGAATAATTTAACAAAATTGTCATATTTAATATGTAAATTATCTTGCATTTGGTGCGTATGTCGCTGACTTTCTATTTCATTTATACCGCCGAATCCTCCTTTTCATTAAGAATTCAAGATATTGTATAATCATTCAGTTGAAAGTGTAAAGCACAGTATGTCGATGCTGTATACTTCAGATAACTTATTGATTGTAAGGTCTGAAGTTGTTAGGTTTAAAGCCTGAGATAATCGTGAGCTCAGGCTGATGCGAAACCGTACATGAAGTTTAAACAACTGTAAAGTGTTCTTCTTTCAATATCGATCTGTGAAGGAAAGCATATTTCAGACAGTTCATTTTTCACAATTAAGGCAAAAATACTTGTCATTCTATATGCATATTACATATTTAGTTTAATATAAAATACATATAATTAAAATGTTAATTTCAATAACTAAGCACCTACTTCCCAGTCGACAGTTTCTCGTTTTAATAATTTCAATGCAGCTTTTTCTTCTTCCATAGACGGTATACTATCATATTTTTCTATTGATTTGTCAATATCTGTTGTATCTTTAAACGAAGAACCAGCAGTTGATTCTTGTGCACTCTTCGGTTTTTCCAATTCATTTGGTTGACAGTACTCAATTTGATCATGTGATATTTTTGGTGGATCTTTTGTAATAGATGCATGTTTTTGTTGATTTTTCAAAATAACTAATGAGCGAGAATGATCATCGGAAGTACCGATACGTGGTAGAACCCAATCGAATGTACTTGGAACAACTACAAAATGATAATGTTTATGATGCAAATGAGTATGTTTATGATGTTGATGTTGATGATGATGATCATGAAGTGTTTTTTCATCAAATTTATCCACAACAACATCACTACCATCATCATTTAAACATAAACGTTCACTTGAAATGGGACTTTTAATAGATGATTTAAAAAAATATAAATTTCCCAATGATTTAGAGTGTAGTTTACTAGTGATTGTACTAATTTTATTTGTAGCCTTAATTTCAGTACTTTTAATTGATAATTGACTAGATTCCATATTTGTACACTGTTCAATATCATCTTCATGTCCGTGAAATTGACAAGTTAAAAGAAAGTCCAAGAGAATTTTCGATCTGGTTTTAAATATAAATTTAGAAAAAAAGAGGAAAACAAAATGATCACATCACCAATGGGATAGGAATAAATGTGTTCAGTAATTGCAAAATTTGTATTAGTCACAAAAACATTACTTGACAAATAAGTCAATAAAGTTAGTAAATAACCAAAAGTAAATGGTACTGTTCACTTGTTTAACTGTAGAAAATTGGATTAAGAGAATACATAATAAAAACAGATTATCTAAAAGTCTTAATTTCGCCATATTGAAATAAATCGCTAATCTCCAGTTTGAATGGTCAATTATTTTTCTGGAATGTAAATAACCACTCAATAAATAGAATATTTATATAGTTTGTGTATCATCGTCAAGCTGAAAAGGACAGAACTCCTGCGACTAATTAAATAAATGAAGTAATTTAATGTGCTATGAGTTTTGGAAGTCATCACATGAAAATATTTAGGTAAATATGAAGTAATCACTTTGTATATGTTGATCATTCAATGTAAATGTAGAATAAAGTCAGTTTCATATAGAATTAATAAGTTATTCTAAGCCAAAATGACACAAAGACAAAAGAAGAAAAATCAAAAGGTCATCTGTGGTGCCTAATGTATCATTAGTCTCGTGACGGTCGATATTCAACGTGTTCTTGGTCTTCGTGATTTGCTCGTCTACGCAATCATCACGAAATAGAGCCTGACGGTTTTATATATTAGAAGGTAAACATGAAGGGTTGAATACGTTTATTTTTGACACACCACTAAATGGACCAGCCGATCACAATCAAACAAAACACACTGGTGAGCGATTTGGAGAATAGGTGAATGTATTAATAAGATTCAAATGTTCGTATATATACATAGGGAAACGTCGAGTCATGGAGATATTTAAGAGATTAACATTAAAGCGAATAGGATGAATATACGTGTAGGCGCAAGCAGTATTCAGTCGCATCAGCTCATACAAACCAGATAATAATAAAAGCGATGGTACATATAAGTTGTTGCTATACAAGTAGCTTGGTTAAATAAGTTAATCGAAAGGCTTAACCAAAATAAATATAAGCTAACTCAAATGTATGTAGAGGCATTACACATCTACACGATAAACTGCTTGGACTGCGAAAAACACTACATAGGACAAAGTGCACGTCTTCTTCAGATGCGTCTGCGTGAACACCAATTAGCAATCAAACGCCATGACAATTCTTCCCTTCTTATATCAGTATTTACCAAAAACTATGGACATATACTCGACTGGAACAATACTGAAATACTGGATAGAGGCAGTCCATTAAACACCAGGGAATTTTTAGAAGCTCTGCACCCATTCACTCATCAATCAACAAACACATCGCAATCGATCCAACTTATCAACCAATCAGAAAAAAAATAGGCGACATAGGATCAAGAAACAGATCACAGGTGGATACAGTCAAAATAAAACTGCTGATAACAACAGGTTGAAGGACAATAACAACCAATCGAGATCGAGGTTAACGGAACAAGCTAAGGGTCATACTACGTGGATAAGTTGGAATAGTTCATTTCTATCTGTTGTTTGTGCTGATAACGTTGTTCAGAAGAAGAACAATCAAAGCCAAACAACCAAAACATCCAGCTCAGATAAAGAAGCACCATCACACAAGGACAAAACAAATAGTTCAGATTTTGTTCGAGTATATTTTAATAGATCATAATCAAATGTTAAAAAATGTTCATCGAAATTGCGTATTCATTATGTACTTAATAATTTATATTATTCTTTTTATAACATCTGTTACATAATATATTTTGAAAAAATAACAGATAAGAAAGAATTCTTTTGCATATAAAAAAATTGAAATAACTTGGTTCATGTAGCTAATAAATTGTCCAAGAATGTATAATATTTATTATTCATAAAGGTTGTATTATTATTAAGGTTTTCGATATTCAGGATTCAATTTTAATTAGTATTTTATTGGATGCAGTTATGTCTAACTGAGAAGACACTTTTATGTACAGATCCTTGCTGAAGTGGCTTTGCTGTGGATGCCAGATTCGAGATTGATTTGTTTGCATTGTTTGTTGAGTCTACTACCTTGATTCTGTTCGTCGAATGCAGTGAGGTTCTAAATTTCTTTGTCGACATAGTTCTGCAGGTTACGTTAGGTTCAAAGCAGGGTTCAACAATTTAGTGGCCCAAAATCTGACTCTAGTTTGAACGACAAACTGAATATATTATTCTTAGGCAAATTCGGTTCGTGCGACAATGGTTGTTGAAAGCCCAATACGGGTTATTTTGGGTAAATTTAATTCATACCTTTGCGTAAACAGACAGACTAATGAAGAGACTCGTAAAAGCGGAGTGAAGTGAAGCGGTAAAGGCGAGTTGGGTCATCTCAGTGAGATGAGGTATGACTAAGTATATATAGTGAGACAAAAATAAGCAAACGATACACATAAGCAAATAAAATCACTCAAGGTTATCAAATGAATAGTAGTAGACAAAGTCGAAAGACATTTGAACAATGACTCGAGAAGAATGGATTAATGAATTCATTCGAAAGCCTGGGACAAGACATGTGCGCTTGATGATATATTACTACTCACTACCATGAAGTTAAAAACAAAACACAAATTATAAGTTCTATCACTGTTTACAACAGGAATTCGGAGTATTATAAAGTCATCTACTTAGAGTTTGTTTGCGTAAACGAAAACTAATAAAGATTTATCCTTGAATATCAAAAATTATTGGGAAACACAGCCTTTTATCAATTAGAAAGTCAGAATAAAATCACTGCCAAGTGGCAGCAATCAAGTAGCAATTTATAAATGATCTTGATTTGTAATACGTTTTTTTTTGTAATTCCTCATATCACAAGACAAAACTATCAAACTATTTCATTTTTGTATATCAGAAAGAACAAAAAAAAAACGAACAGTAACAAAATTATTTTGATTAAATTATGCTTACTTTTCATTTGGTATTATAAACCAATATTCTTCTGATTGAATTGTAAACCAATGAGGATGTCGTTTATGTCTGTTATTTTCCATTGAATTCATAGATGCTAATATGCATAAATAGAATGGATTATTATCTAAATAGAAAAATAAAAAAAGAAGACAAGATAAATTACGATGAAATGTAATGAGGCATAAATAGCTAAAAATAGAAATTGGTATAACATATTATTAACGCATAAATTGCCTTGATTTTCATATATGTATATATTCATGTATATATATATTAGAGTAAATGCCTGAGATGATGATCTAATTGAGAATAATATTGTTCGCTTATATGTGTTGTTTTAATAATATATTACCAATATAAACAATACGGTTATCTAAAAATAAAAAGGTATGTAGTATATGGAATAACAACTCCGCAAAGAGTCCCTCCGAGTTAAGTGCCTGTTCCAAGCATGGATTAAGGGCCTCATTCACTCAGTAGAAAACCAATTCGCCAAAAAAACGCTAACCAGAAATTTCAATACAAATGTTAAGACGATTCTACTGTATGGAGCAGAAACTTGCAGAACTACCAAAGCCATCATCCAGAAGATACAAGTATTCATTAACAGGTGTCTAGGCAAAATACTTCTTATTCGTTGGCCAGACACCATCAGCAACAACCTGCTGTGGGAGAGAACAAACCAGATTTCAGTGGAGGAGGAAATCAGGAAGAAGCGGTGCAAGTGGATACGACATACACTGCGAAAAGCATCCGATTGCATCACAAGACAAGCCCTCACTTGGAACCCTCAAGGTAAAAGGAAAAGAGGAAGGCCAAGGAACACATTACACCGTCTTCTATGATTAAAAACCAAAATGTTTACACTTCGCTGTGTAAATTATTATGCAATTGGAATGAATTAGAATCAAGTAATAGTTATTCATAACTTCAGCTGAACTGTGATCAGTACAGCAAATTTTCATACACTGTTTCCGGTTAACATTTGGTCTAGTTCTTTCTCTAAATGACAGCTTTTCCATCAAAATTACAACTGGCTCGATTCGCTTACAACGAAGTCATCAAAGTAAACTAATGACTATTGAAGATAAAATGTTTAAAACATTAACTCCATATATCGCAATACAGTATTTACACAAATAACATGTTGCTTGTATGTGACTGACGAGACAGCACGAAATGGTACTATCTCACAAAATATGTCTTCTTATTTCTCTATTCAAATTTATTAAAGGGAACCAGTGTTTTGAATAACCTCTTAAACATAAATAACCATTTTGTTTTGATATCTTCTCTGGTTACGTAGCAATTCGAATATTTAGATTGGCTTAGATGAGATAGTGTTTTTGGTTGATCAACAGACCTTCCATTGATATACAAACGATTACTACTACTACTACTTTACTTTGGATACATCATTTCTTTAATGTATAATATTTTTCCATGACAGATTTCTCATAAAGTCAGTAAGATTAAAGCATTTGCACAAAAAATTTGTATATTGAAATATACAATTCATAAAGTTGATAGTAGTTGGTGAATTGCTCTTAAAAACTAGTTCGAAACTACTCAGCATGAATGACAATATATTTGATTCAATAGTTAAGTATGCAAACATTTAGTATTGTAATTAATTCAAGTACCCTGAGGAGTTTTTACCAGCAACTATAATGCAAAAATAATGGAACTTGCAGAACAGTCTCAATGAACACAAAATCTAGGGGGTTTAAAATATCCTACAAACCACATTCAACCAAGAAATATCAATGAAACAATTCTACAAAGAGAAATTGAGCACGTGCTTGCTATTCAGGTTATCATCAATAGTCAATTGAAAAAAAAACGCCCAATTTATGCCCGAACGGGCACTATTCAAGCATAAAATATGCAATACGCTTCGTTTAATTTATTAAATAACAACGCAATGAACAAGAGAAAGTTATTTGAAAAGAAAGGAAACAAAAACACTTCACTTTAAATTTCTTCATTTTCATCTTTTATTCAATGATTTATGATTTTAAGAAAAATAATAATTTTGATAAACTTGAAGTGAATGACAAAAAGTAGAGAAGAAAAAAAATAGATCTTAAGTGGAATCTTAAGAAAAAAATACATTATTCAATTATATGCTTATTTTTTCTTCATCTCACATGACATGATCTCTCTTCATTTCATAGATAAAAAATATGAGAGGTTTCGTGATATTTTTTAAAGAAAAAACTTATTTTTAAAGAAAACAGACCTGGCTAACTGTTTAAGTAAGATTTAAGCACATATTGACAGCAGCTCATTGTAAAATTAATGGGAAAACGTGAACAGATGTTTTTCAAAAATTTAAAAACTGTCATACGGTTGGTGATGTTAGATTTCCAGAACTAGTCTGATAAATGTCTTTATTTTGGATTTGATTCATGGGCTGATTAATTGACCTTGAGATCATATTTCTCACAAGGAAAAGCCTTGGCTGTGATTGGTTGTTGTGTTTTTAAGTGCGCTGTTTTGTGACTCTCTCAAGGACGTCTCTGTGGTGTACAAATAAACGCGATTTGTGTGATTGATTCATTGTGCTGGCTGGGTATTTGTAGAATACACTTTCTACGCTATATCAAGACTTTTTCTTCAGTGGATCAACGGATAAGGGTAGCCTACCTGGACGCTGGTTCATTTTCTCGTTCTGGTTTATCGACTAAGGTGAACCTGTAATAGTTTAAAGCAAACCTAGAGACGAGTGTAACACATACATGACTAATATACTTACATATATGTATAATTATTTTATAGACTCCATTACCTTTGAAGATGATATAACATTTGAATTATAGTGTATTTAAAATGTATAAGACTAGGTGTCAGTAATGAAAGAGCATTTTTGATACAGAGTTTTAAGTGGTAACTCCGCCTGGAGATATTTTAATGTTACTGCCTTTTTAAAACATGGATAAAGGAGGAGAGTTGAGCATGCAGATAGCAGTCCCATCCTGTAGTAAACAAACTTGCTATACAAAAAACCATTAAGAAAAAGAAATTATTTAAACCATTTAAACTCTGTCTCGGAAGTTGAAAGGTCGTTGTTATGATACTCTTTAGTGTAGTGTGCGAAACATAGAGGAATCATTCTACTATCAATACCAGGTAAAGTCTTCAACAGAGTGTTGTTAAACTGAATGAAGGATTCCGTAGATGTTTAACTCCGATATCAGCATTCTGGATTACTTAAAGATCAATCGTATGCCTATCGAATCACAACAATACGGATCATTACAGAACAATCGACTGATTAGTATTCACCACTGCAGATCAAGTTCCTTGACCACGAGAAAGTATTTGACAGCATGGAAAGGATGAAACTATGGAGGCTTCTTCGACATTACGGTGTACCTGAGAAGACAGTTAACATCATACAGAATTCTTATGGGTCGCAGCTTATAAACTCATTTGAAGAGAAGAACGGTACCTGATAAGGGTTGGTAACTCTCATTCTTTTTCTTTCTCCTAGTGATCGACTGGATTATGAAGACGATAACATTTCAGAGGAAACATGGAATACGGTGGACAGCTAAGATACAGTCAGAACATTTTCACTTCATAATATTATTTCAGTTGACATGGGAAATTTATTATTTATACTTTAAAAATGGATTGATGAACACATTTTATAATAAATTATATTAGTCAAATGGATTATTAATGAATGTAGGGTGATTTGTTCAATAATTTTCACTAAAACAAGCAAGATAGTGTAAGATTGTATGAAGTAAAAGGATAAAGTAAGTAATTAGTAGGAAAAGCATTCATTTTTCAAATTCTCGCTTACAATGAGTAAAATATCTTCCATCACCTATGTACTGCTAAATTATGAGCATTGAAACAAAAAATCTAGGCAAGTTATTATACGAATTCAAGCATGTTATTTTGGATCTAGTATAATACTCATTACGTGACTGTACTTATTAAAAATCTTAATAAAACAATTGATATTTTATCAAAATGAAAATAGCATTTAATAATATTTGAAAAGATTATTGGTTTGCATGTCGACTCGTGTAGTCTGGTTTATTCACTAAAATATTATTTCATTTATATAGTGAATGATGAATTTATTTCAAAATGTCTCAAACGTTTATGTGAAGCGTAAATTTGAAAGTTAAACAGTATTTACTAACGTTGTACATGTATGACAGTTCTTTACCAATTCAGATAATAGATTTTTACTAAACCTTGAATATTATTATTTCACATGGGAAATTTATTGTTTCTACTTTGACAAATGAATTGATGAAGACAGTTTATAATAAATTTCAGCAGTCAAATGGATTATTAATCGATGTAGGATCATTTGTTGAATAATTTTCATGGTTATTCACTAAAACAAGCAATGTAGTGTAAGATTGAATGAAGACAGTAGAATTTTCATAATTTGCATAACTAGGAGATATATTAGTTAAACACCTTCTGGAAACTAGGAAGCAATGAATAGGTGTTTCGTCATACTATGGAACTTATCAGAAATGTGCACCAACGACCTCGCAGGAGACCGAAACGAAGACTTCCAATGTTGCTTACCCTATAACCCATTAAGTTGATACTCGATGTTTTTGCAAAATGGTGCAACGATCTCTCGTGGTCATTTACGTTGTACACTATCAAAGAATACCTTTGATTAAGAGGGAACTGTTATCCAGTGCCTCACAGCTTTTCAGAATAATCTGGCTTATTTGAGCCTGAGATGTAAAGTACGGTAAAACTATGATCTGTAATTCTAAAAAGCTTTCATGATGTTTCCTAACTGAAGTTCTATTTTTTTTATAATCAATGGAATAGCAACATGGCGTTAAAATTACCAACTCAGTAAACTATTCATTGATCTTTTGCATTTCAATGGAAAAATAAGCAATTTTTTTTTAAAAAAAAAGTTGGATAACAGTTGAACGTTTATTCAGAGATGCCTTATTCAACTACTAACTTACAAAAGTATTATGTTACCAAAAAGAAAGGATACATTTCTACTCGTAGATGAAACTAATATATATATATTTGCTCTAGGGAATATCAAAAAATATACTCATGTGTTTTTATTTTTCAACAAGACACAATTATCATATGATAAAATTTGAATTTTTGTTGTTGTTGTTGAAAATATGGCAAACACTATGAAAAAATGTGAATAATTTTGTTTGATATAACATCATTTTAAAAACAGTAAAACAAATTGTAGAATGAAATAGAGCCAGAAATTGTTAATTCTTTCTAGCTGGGCACTAGATTTCTATACGGAAAATGCATTAATAAATCAAATACTACCGATGGTATAAAGATTCGTATTACTGACAACTTTAAACTATGATTTCAATGCATTCGGTGAGAACTAGATCACTCTGTGAGATACATTTATATGATATAGAACAGTATCAGTAATAGATGAAGGTAAAATATTTTGAAAAACTAAACAAACACAAATTTACTGCAAACAGATAACATAAGGATTATTCATTTCATTATTAGGTTGTGGAGATTGTTGAGTTTCATTGACACCATGAATGGATTAATGTTAGACTACTAATTATTGTGCAACCTCACTTCTTTGGTGTGTACTGCTTTAAATCTGACAGAGTTGAACTGCACTGGTCACGATCTCTCACTAGAACTCCAAGGATTCCTTTACGAAGCCAGTCACTCGTAAGCATATGATTGTGATTATAGGGTTGTGGAGATTGCTGAGTTTGATGAACATTATGAGTCGACCAGTGTTAGACATTAACACTTCTGAATGCCGGCTCAGTGGTTTAGAGGTTAAGTGTTCACGCACCAGACCGAAGATCTCGGGTTCTAAATCCTACGAGGTGCAGGAGTCGTGGATGTGCACTGCCACTGATGAGTCCCACGCCAGGACGAGACGATCATTTAGTGCTTCCAGATTACTGATGGTGGTCTAACATTGATCGATTCACAATTTCAACTGCTTATTTGTCAGTTTTCTCATTTCAAATCTCACGTTGTTCAAACCACAAAATGATTACGTATTTCGATAATCTTGATTTATTTTATCTTGTTATGGACGTACATCATCAATGAGTACAGAGTATACAACTTATTCAGTTTTTTTTAAAGTATTTTCTTACCCAAGGCAAATTTATAAAATATCATGTTATGCTTTGAATGATTTACAGATTAAAATTATCTTTAATGAAGTAATAACTAATTCTTACCTAAATCACATTTCATATTTGAAGCAGATGAATTATTCTGTATCTCTTCATCATCAGTTATAATCATATTTTCAATATCTTTTTGTTCAATTTCACTTGAATTCAATTGATTTGTACTTTCTTTAATCTCAATGGGATTCGATAACTTATCATCTTTTGTAATAATTACACTGGGTGTTTGTTCTGCTGAGTCTTCAACATTACAATCAATTAGCACATTGTCTGAACTTGAAGAAAGTTGCCTAAAGTAATTATAGGAAAAGAATGAAAGATTATTTCATTTCAATGGATACAATATTTTGAAAGCTTTGTTTAACATTGAAAAGATATAATCAAAATGTAGAGATTATTTCAAAAATAAAGAACTTATAGTGGAATTGATATTTTGTTTTCCTTAAACATTGAGCAAAAACGTAAAATAGAAAGAAGGAAAGAAATCAATTCATTTTACTATATAACGTTAGTAAAATATTTCAATATTGAATAAATTTATATAAATGTGATTAGTATGACAAATGGTTCGTTTCTGCTTTTGCCACACAGAACAAATTATTAACTTGTTACAGACATTCAGGTTTAATCAAAATGGGAATAGTCAATCAGTCAGATGCAACGTAGAACTTCGTACGTAAGTACATCAGTCCATGTTGCCATCAGCACAGAGATATAATTGCCAATTCAAATCGAATAATTGTAGAGGTAGTAAAGGTATTAGAAGTAATCGGAGAGGTTAGGATTAGAAGATATTATTCAAGAAGTATGATTCAGTGAGAAAAGTTTAGAAAGTCAAAACTAGTGGTGTTGAAGAATCCAGAAGATTAGAATTTGAGAAAATGGGAATATACGTGACATAATCAACCGACTAAACGATGTTCACTGTATTTTGTCCTTCAGTGTCAATAATGAAGATTTATAGCATAACATTAGTGAAGTATCGTATGAAGTAGATTTTTAATGGCTGATTAGATGAATTTTGATTGTTTAAATCAATAAATAGAATACTTGTCTATAGATGAACATAATGATATAATCTGGCAGAGTAATGACAATTCATAAGACAGTATTTTCGGCTTAAGGTCCATAATGATTAGATATGGAAAGCTAGTCTACTAACTAGATAAATTTAAATTTTTCTATTTCAATAAATAATATATTTATATACTGAATATGAACAAAAAATAAATGCAATTAAAATTCCATAGGTGACTAAAGGAAATAAACTCGTAGATCGCCCACTCCGACGACATTAAGTCTGTGACTCTGGTAAATTATTCAACAAAATGCAACTGTCTAAGTACATTTGTTATAAAGTTACAATGAAATGTAAAAAAACAATTGTTTGATGGGCTGGAGTAAAAAATCTAATCATCTACAGGTTTATTCAGAAAACCTAGAGTAAAAAAGAATTTAACTTGGACTTCTAATTCAGTCAGGGTGAATAATAGGGTAAATAGTTTTAATTATCAATTGCGTAATCAATAAGGCAAGTAAATCTTTAAATGGATTATGCTCAATATACTGAAAATCTTTGATAATAACTAGAATTAACATTCAGTGAATCTATAGAATGTTCAATATGGAAATGTTACTATTTGAGTGTTCATAGTGCTAAACAGCAAAACATGTGAAACCTAATATTTCCGCGGTCAGTCATTCTGTAAGCTAATGAAAATAGTTTTTAAATTACTTTATGTTTAAAGATATAATGCAAACTGTTGAGGCCTCATGAATAACATGCGAAAGGATCTCATCATCGAGGCTCAAAACCATATTTTTAAGTGAATTTCACAGCTGGTAAAATAGTGACGAGCTGTGACGAGTTGCGAAGATAACTAGATCGTAAGAAGTGATTATTAGTTAAATGATAACTTAGGAAATGATGTAATTCTCATCATAAGTAGTTTTCCATGTAAATTCATTATGTTCCAACTCAGAAAAAGTTTTATTTAATAGGCTTCAATCCACATTATTATTTTACCAAGGCGACTGATATTATTTAATTGTTGAGACTGAATTCGAAGGGTCAGGATTCGAACCACTGACATATCAGATTAAAGGCTTGTAATATAACTATTAAATTACTACATGACATTCAATGTTAAAAAAAAAATTTCAAAAGAATTTATGTCACATCAAAAGCTTGAGTTAGGTTAGAAGACATTCATTGATTAAACTTTCAAGCTCTTAGCTATCCAAGTTAAAAGAATAAGAAATTGTTTTACAGCATAGATGAACTGTGATTAGCAGTGAAATTTATAATCCGGTTGACGTACTATTTGCAACTGGCCAGCTCCTGTTAATCAAGTTAAATAATAAGTTCAAAATAAGTTAAATTAAATTAAAAATAATTTACATCGTTTAGACGAATGAAACTTCTATTGTTTAAAACGCATCTCACATCGCTTTTAACTCCGCCCTTAGGGGCTACTGCCGGTCCCAAGCCCGGATAAAGGAAGAGGGGTTGGGCATGGGGTTGGAGCCCTAATCCAACTAAAAACTAACTTGCCAAAACAAAAACGCTAACCAGAAGAAATAATTCAAATCGCTTTTCCATTAAGTGAGCAAAGTAAAACTGACTAGCTACACAGTTTGAATCAATAAAGAGTAGTTTTACACATGAAATGTTTATTTAAAATAATATTTAGTAAACGAAATTTTGTTATTCATTATTTAAGCATTATGTATCATTTTATCAAGCAATTGAGTTTTGCTTGTATTTAGTCCTATTTTTCATGTTAGTAAATTTCTGAGTGAAATTATCCGAAACATTCCATCAAAGCAGTAGACATAAACAAATTTTCTCTGTTTTCCTATTTAAATTAAGATTTATAAGCTTCCATATTGTGATATTGTAGATAGGAAATTCAATGTGAAATATGAACACATAAAAGCTTTTCGCAGTATTACACTGACAATTATTCATTTAAAACTATTCTTTTACACATCATACCAATGAAATGCTTAATTCATTCATTTCAGTGAACAAACAAAAAATACAGACTAACACAACACACAGTTCTTATTTGTCAAATAGTATTAAATCGAGTACAATGATTTATTGTTTACTGTCGAGTAGTATACTTTGATGATAAAAATAAATTAAAATATTTAACTAACTAATTAACTAACTAACTAACTAACAAGTGAAACTCATCATCTAACAAAGTAAAAAAAAAAGAAATCGCTAATTGTATTAGACTATGTATTGACTAGCAAGTTTAAAAATGATTTTATGCCATTGAACTTTTTATGCTGAATCTCATTGTTGTATGATATGTTACCTTTGTTTGCTTCTAGTGTGTAAGGATTTGGTGATAACTGACTTTCAATAGTTATCAAATAAAAGCGCATCAAAATAAAGTCATGATTCTTGAATACATGTTTATTTTTTTCAAAATAATAGCACGATATAGAAAAGTGAATTTCATTTATTGATTATTTCGTGATATGCTTTTTTACATGAGAATGATCGAATAACATGGGTTCAGTTTCCGGATAAACAATCGTGAATGCTTACCACATCTAGGATTTCAATAGTTCTTCAAGATAATCTCCTGGTTTAGACTTTGAAAATAATTTGAACTTGATGACTCAAAATACCTTGAATAAACGAATGTATCACAGGTATTTTTCAGTGCAATACAGATTTGACATTAGACTAAATACAAGCTTTTTGAGAGTTATCTGAATGTTGTAACATTGTCGAAATCGATACTATGAACCCAAACTGTAATATGAAACAGCGATTGGTTTATTTTTCATTTTTATTTAACTTAAAAACACTAATAAATCCAAGTCAACTTCAGGTGTCCAGTGACACAATGTCATATTAATATTTTAGTTGAAATGTTAAAATATTAACAAGATCTTAGTACTATAATAAAAAGGATTTGACCCTATAAACTCATTTTGTTTTATGCAACATCACTCATTCTTTAAATGAGAGTAACATAGTGAGTTATTCAATAGTCAGTGATAAAGAAGTAACATTTATTTAGGAAAAAATGGTATTCCATTATTATATCATTAAATTAAAATCATTTGAGTGTTTATAAAACGTTTTAAGACACTTTTTAGTTGAATAAAGATTAATCTAAGATGATTCCAGTGAGGAAAACCGATTTTCGGATGATATGATTTATTTTGGTAATGATAGATAGATAATCTTACATTATGATAGGAAGTTTATAATACAATATAAAGAAATGTTATGTCCTTCAATGAATTTATCAAAAATAATCATGCATTTTCAACTATTGAGTATAACAGTCAATAATAAAATTTCAAAAAAGTGTTAATTCATTGTAAATGACACAAATATATTCGTGCATTAGATATAATAGATATGAAACAGTTACAATAACTCCTTGTTATTTTCAGCTATTATACTCAATATTTAAGAATGTTTGGTTAGTTCTGATAACTTATAATAAAAATAAACAAATATTATTTTTATACAGTTATCGAGATTGTTGCTAATGATTAAAATCATGAGACAATCATTGTTAGACTACCATTAGAAAACTGGAAGCACTGGACGGCCCGTTCGTCCTGGTATGGAAGGACGAATCCATCACCACTGCCCGCAGGAATCGAACCCAGGACTTACGGCCTCGTGTGCGAACGCCTAACCTCTAGGCCATTGAACCGGCATCCAACGGTGTTGGATCAATCTAAGGTTTTATGTAACCTCACCCATTGTCTTCGGTCATTACTGCCTACACCATACAGGGTTGAACTCCACTGGTTCGTCTTCTCACTAGATGCGTACTGCTGAAGTCCCCTGCTGTGATGGAACGGCCGTCCAGTGCTTCCAGGTTTCTAACGGTAGTATAACAATGATTGATTCATGATTTCAATAATAAATAAATATTCATCTGTTGAAAAAAGTCGATTTGTAAAATTGAACGAGAATATTACTTCACAACCCAAACAATGAACACATTACTTATTTAATGACGCAATAAGTTTCTTTCTTCAAGTGAAAATTTTTGATTAACTGGAAAAACTTATAAAATTATTTTACTGATATTCATTTATTGTATTCAATTAAGTGATTATTCATAATTGAGATGATATTTTAGCATTGAAACAGGTTCCAGAATGTTACACAACAAATGGGACGAATCCTGATTGAAGCTATACAATAATAACTTTTCTTCATGTTAAACTTTTTATTTAATACGTTTTTACATTCGCCCTTGAAATTAGAGGCTGGAATTTTTCAATCGAATATTGTAATGTATATAATGTACCTCTGCTTTAAGCCCCTCTGGAGCTACTGCCGGTCCCAACGCCGGATAAAGGAGGAGGGTTGGGCATAGGGTTGGCGACCCTTAACTAACTCGCTAAAAAACGCTAACCAAAACAAAGTAAGTAAGTATGTATTGATGTTAAAATGAATAATTTAGATAAACCTTGAACAATGAACAAATTTCTTGTTTGTTTAAATTCAAATGTTTGTCAATGAATGCATTGAATAATGTGACTGTTATTAGTGCTTTAATTAAAATTTCCTATTAAAATGTTTAATTGCTTACAATGTAGTATGGAATTCGATGAGTAAATTATCAAATGTCAAATAACATTACCAACATACTATAAATATTTTTTAGTTGTCAAAAGAAAGTGACAATGAATAAGAAACATATGATTTTCGAAATGGTTGAAGAATTCAACAATAACTTTGTAAAAAACTTGATTTATAAAAAAAACTACAATCAATAGTAGTACACATGTATAGTTTTAATATATATATATATATATATATATATATATATATATATATATACAAGTGTAAGTATTGAAACGTTCAATAGCTCAAAAAATTATGAATCTATATTGTACGATAAGTCAGTAGGTTTTATTGTTTTTCAGCAACACATGTATTGTACAGTAGAACAATTGAATTTTCCTACTTAAATCCATAAGTCAAGTAAATATATAAGCCAAACAGATCATTGAAATTTTATTCCTAACTAATTGTTATGCCTTTTTTTTTTGTCAACGTTTACTAATGCAATGTAATGGATTCATGTTTCTCATTTTATTAAATTCGATAACAAATTGAATTTTTCAATTTTTTTGTTTGTTTTAATCAATAATCACTTTATAAAAATGTTTAACCTAAAAAATAAAATAATTAATACTAACACACTCAAATAATGATTGTACATTGAATGAAATCTTGTTTAGGAAACAAAAACATTTTTATTGTAATGATTGACATTGCATATTTTTAACATGATGAGAGATAAACGACAAAGTATTTACTTTACTTTGTTCGTAATTATTTCATTAAGGCATTTGATGAAATTTATTAAAACGAGGCCAAATGTTACAATCTATGCTCATAGTTCTACTCAAAATGTTTATCCAACTGAAAAAATGTCTTTAACTAGTTTAAATATTATTTTGTTTTTAGCTTCAGTAAAGGTATGAACGTACTTAGTTGTAGTGTTGCTCCGTATGTTTAATCAGCCTAAAAATAATTGAATTCTCATTAAAAAAAGATTTCATCAGTTCAGATGTTTTCTGAAGTTATGGGATGTTTTAGAGATCTAAATAAGGTTTAGAGTAATTACAAAGGGCATATCATGGATAAGAATGAGACAACAGATCATAATACACTAGTCCTAGTGATAAATAGACAAGATTACTACCTGTTGTAGAATTAGAAGATAAGAATTGTCTTAACCTCAAATTGTTTTGTTATTATTTAATTCACTCTTTAGCGATTTTCTATCTGTCACCATGTTCACTTATAACTCCTCCTGGAGCCCCTATGGGGCTCATCCCGTAGAAAACTAACTCGCTGAAAGACGTTAACCAGAAAAATTAATTCAAACTAGATTTTGGTCGAGGAAGAAATCAGGAAGAAGCGCTAGAAGTGGATAAGACACACATTGAGGAAAGCACATAACTGCATCACAAGCCAACCCCTCACTTGGAACCCTCAAGGTCAAGCCATAAGACGAAGGCAAGGGAACATAAAACACCGAGAAATGGAGATATACATGCGAAGAATGAACGAAAATCGGACAGAACTGGAAATGGAGGCCTAGGACAAAGTAAGTTGAAGAATAATGGTCTGTGGCCTATGATTTATTGCGGGTAACAGGTGTGTGTATGTAGGTACGTTCACTTCTACAAGATAATATTTATGTGAGTTCTAGACGAAATATAGTCTATAATTTACAACACTTAAAATCCCTTTTTGAGATGGTCGAGAAAATTTGTAGCTCAGCTAAATGATCATGGTGGAGTTTTGTTCTCTAAGATGAATGTTATGGCCAGCTTAAATAACAAAACTACTCTATTCATTTCATCAATTATTGTAAACTCGTCAATAAGATTTAATGTTATATTTTTAACTATGAGTGAATACACATTTTCTATTTGATAATACTATATATCACAAAGTGACGTCACTCAAAAAATCTATTGTATACCACAGAGCAATAACAAGCCATTTTTTTTGAAAGTTTTTAGTAATCATCATTCATGATTTCTTATGGAATCAAATTTTATGCGCTTCAGTTTATCGATCAACAGGGTAGAATGAAACCGCGAAATTAAAATGCTCCAACCTTTTTTTCAGCTTTGATCAATTCACAACTAAGTTGACATCACTAGTTAGAACTTTCCTAGTGTAGATATACAAAATCGAAAAATTGTATATCAAAAAAGGAAATGACACTATAGAAGTCTTACCAAATGATATCAGTTTGTTATGAAAATTATTTTAAAATACTACATATATATATATATATATATATATATATATATGTATATATATAAATCTTATATATTCATCAAAGTATTCAGAATAATTATAGATGTGTAATAAAATATAATGACAACACTTTTAATTCATTGTCAAGGCTTAAGTAAAGAATTACTGTGAATATCGTTAAGTTACACATTTGAAATCATGAATAGATCAATGTTGGACTACCGTTAGAAACCTGGAAGCACTGGATTCATGATTTCAAATGTGTATCTTAAGAATCTTCACAACCCCGTAATGCGATTAACTGTGCTCAATAGTGACTAGCCCCGTGAGGAATCTTCACAGAGTTGTAGTTGGAAGTCGTGACCAATGAAATTCAACCTGTTCGGGTTTAGACAGTAACTACCGAAGACAAAGAGTGTATGGGGTTGCGCAACTCCGTGTGAGTTGATCGAAGTTAGACACTAACACCGTTAGATACCGGCTCAGCGCGCCAGACCAAAGGTCCTGGGTTCGAATCCCGCAATGTGCAGGAATCGAAGATTCGCACTACTGATAAGTCTCATACCAGGACGAAACGGCCGTCTAGTGCTTCCAGGTTTCTAATGATGGTCTGACATTAATCGATTCATAATTTCAAAAGAGTTATTTCCTAATACTGCCATGCGAATTATTGAATAGAGCGATAATTATATAGCTGACACATAATTTAAATCATATTCAAAATAACTAATAAAAAATAACACAGTGTAAAATTGGACAGCTTTAAAGAAACTGCAATTTATAAATTTCTATTTTCTTGTCCCACTTTAATGTAAATGTTAAATAAACTAAAATAATAGTACCGAATACAATTAGAACAATTTATTCTTTTTTTTGTTCAATTTTTTTTTCTATTTAGCTCATTAGAATTTTAATTAGTTTCAAACAATGACCTATTTTCCTAAATGAATATTAGGAAAATACAAGTCAAGAAAAGGAGGCAAGCTATGCTATCCAATTAGATGAAATGATTTTATCAGCCATAAATAGAAAATTAAAATGTATTCCTTATAATAAAAAAAGACACATTTAAATAGACGGGTACAATTACTGTTGGCTCTCTGAGCTAAGATCACGTGAAATTTATTTCTATTGAAAAAAAACGACAGAAAAATCCGAAGAATTTGGTACACTGAATGTTTTGAAAAATTGTATAAAATCATACATTATAGGGTACAAACACAATTAATTGTATGAAAAATTATTCAAAAAAAAATGAATAGTTGTCAATATTTTACTAATCTGTACGTTAATTTCTAATCTGATTGATATATCAATCGAGGTTTTAATGTAAGAACAAGGTTAGGTACTTCAGATTTGGAGGTGATGTGTTCGGAAATAAGGCAATCGAAAGTAATCTCTGAATTCACACTATTTATCCTATTTGCCATTCAGTATAGAAGTATATCAAGAAACTAGATGAAGACAGTGTTCCATGAATGGTTTCAATCATAGGTGAAGCGACATTATTGTTGGCAGTAATGAAGATCAACAATGATGATACATCAAGATTGGTTGAAGTACAATCAATACTCTGAATGAGTTGTATTAGATAGTCATTACAAATCTCAAATGTACTATTCACTGCTAAGACGGTTTAATACATCAGTTCTCTGTAATAATTCAGATTTTTAAACACAAACAAGTATTATTTTCATATTTGATCGTAATTGTGTAAACTTACGCTTCACGTTTTGTAAAATACATAACAGATGGATCTCTGTAGACTGCAATTGTACGAAATTGATTTAATGGGATTTGTTTACAATGATTTTCCAATGGATATTGTTCTTCGTCATACGGTTTAAATACAAACATATTTGTAGTTACCAAAATTATTCCAGGAACAGAATTCTATAAAAAAAACATATGTATATATAAGCAAGGAAATACATGAAACAAGATAAATTAATCGAAACATTGATCAGAAAATAGGATCACTTTTAATTTCTTTGGATTACATGAAATATTTGAATGTATCAGTAGCATAATATCAGCAGTTAGTTTTTTTTTTACCGAAGTGAGGCTAAAGTTATTTAGTCTTTTGTAAAATGAAAACAGACATAACAATGTAGTTGACAGAAGGCCATGATAATAGGTTGGAGAATGCTGGTTGGCGGTCTATGCTCCATTAGGGTTAACAAGCAAAACTAAGTCAGTAATAATACTTGGTTACTTACGCCTTTTACCCCCCAATGGAGCATAAGCCGCCCACCAGTTTTCTGCAACCAACTCTGTCCTCGGCTTCCCTTTCCAGTTCTGTCCAAATTTTGTTCATTGTTTTTATATCTTTCTCTACTTCTCGACGCAATGTGTTCCTTGGCCTTCCTCTTTTCCTTTTGCCTTGAGGGTTTGAAGTGAGGGCTTGTCTTGTGACGCACTCGGATACTTTTCGCAGCGTGTGTCCTATCCACTTCCACCGCTTCTTCCTGATTTCCTCCTCCACTGGAATCTGGTTTGTTCTATCCCACAGTACAGTAATAATACACTGGCTTTTAAATAATCTATTCGAGAGATCGAAGGACGTATATAGCAATAGCAAAGAGTCGATATTATATTATGTCTAGAAATTCTGTACATTCATCAATTTAGCAGTAAAAAACATCAACTGAGATTTGAATAAGCTTCTTACATTTGTATTTACAATATTCAGACAATTGATCTTAAATGGTTAAATGGCACTGACAGATTTCTATTTAAAAAAGAACTTGACAAAAAATATTGTCAGTGAGACCAGTGTTAACTGAATCGATCAGATAATCTGTGAACAAATAGACATCTTATGTTAGACATTAAATAGTTTTAAAGTCAAATATGATGGTGACCTGCATAACTTGATAAAATCGGGTTCAGCATACATCAAATTTAAATGTAAATATAAACTTATAGCTCAATCAGTCAATCAGCAGCAACGTCGAACTTCGTGCGTCGGTACATCAGTTCAAGTTGCCACACCATATTAGCACAGAGACGCCATTGTCAATTCAAGTCCCATAGTAGTAGAGGTAGTAAAAGTATTAGCAGTCATCGGAGAGACTAGGGTTCGATGATATTATTCCAGAAGTAGAATATAGTGAAATAAACTTAAAAAGAAAAAGACAAATGTGATGGGCGATTCAGAATGTTACGATTTGAGAGAACACAAAGAATGAATGCACTTGCGCCATTGCTAACAGTTTTGAACCATGTTATTCAGGGTCTCTAACCATCAACACTTATAACTACTGCTAACCTAAGTTTGTTTCATTGAATAATATTTAAAAATAATGATACTTGTATACTAGACATGAGTTTTTTTATTAATAGTGTAGATATTCGCTCAAACCTCAATGATTAAAAGGGGTGCTTAGTGGAAACAGGTATTTTTTTTATCAAAGTTTCAACATGCCAAGGACTTTCTTTTCATTCTAATATGATAGAAATCTAGAGTACGTAAATATCAAGATGACTGTTTTGACTGATTATAAATCAACTGAGTATCAGGTAAAATAGTGATGATAATAATATCAACACTAATAGTAATTAACAGATAATTTATATTGAGTTACCTAACATCAGTAATTCATTAATTTATTTACAAATATAATTTAATTTCCTTCGACGTACACATTACTTACTTGCAAATCAACAACATATTTACAGTCAAATTTTAAATATTGACATGCCATTGGATCGTTTTCTTCATCTGCGTAATCCTTTTGATTAGAAGAAAAAAATATGAACAAGAAAGTAAATGTTTAATAAGTTTATATTAAACAAATTTCACGGAATGATTATGAATTTGATTATTACGAAATAATTAGGAAATATGTAAAAATCTAAATTATTCGACTAATGAAGCGTGTAAAAGAATATCAATAGAAATGTACTGTGTAATTGGCGAAACGAAAAAACCAATTCGCATAAGATTTATTTTGTGAGTTAAATTTAATCTGAACAACAATTTGAAACGTCGCAGAACTAAACAGCAAACTCTATGATCCACAAGGAAGTAGAGTGTACTACGTCAGGCTGAAGCCTATGGATTCGATCTCTTGCCAATTTATTACAGCGCATCACAGATGAGTTTGATATTACAAGAAACAGTTATCCCATAACTCCCTAATTCTACTTAGTTGACTATTGCAAGATTCCATCTAATATTAAGAACTCCACAAACCATTTTTTCCAACGAGAAACTTGCCTAATGTCATCACAGATGGCAGGCACTAAGAACGGTGATCGTTATGGTTAAATTAATAAGTACCAAACGTTAACTTTCCGATCTCTTGAACAGTGATCAAGTAACTTGGAAAAGCGAGATCGGAAAAGCTGATTTTCACAAGGTGGCACTTAATTAGTAAACAGTGAAGCATCGCTTTGACGTTACTACCAGAAAGAAGGGTGTTTAGAGATCAACACTGACGGTACGATCAGAGTACATTGAAGATCAGAAGAGTTTTGCGAGTAAACAGTCAATAACTTGCTTGTATTATAAATGGATTCGTGAAGATTATGTATACAAATTTTATAAATAAACTATCTTTTACATTTACATATATATATTCTCTCTATTCTCAACTGCTGCGTACGCTACAATCATACTGTAAGTAAACGTGAGTGAATACTGCTGACAGGTATTAGAGAAGAATAAAGTAACTAATTAATCTATTTGACATCTCTGTGTATTTTCCGCTGTTTTTTGATTTATGATAAAGACTATTTGAAATTAATCACGTAATTTTCCATCACATCAAAGTGTATAACTTTCCTTAATGATTAAGTTCAACCTAAATAAATACACCCACAAGCAGCATATTGAGTAAAAAAAAGTACCTTTATTGATTTTTACGTTACATAATCATGCCCTTAGACATAAAAAAGGTTTTCAAGATTTTTATGACCTTAAATTCAACTTCTCAGTTATTCATATTAAAGATACGGCAAGCATGACAATGAGCGAAATACACAAAAGGGAAGTATGGCAAATTCAAAATAGTGTTCAGTGTATTAAATAAGAACAAACCAGAAAAACACGCCTAATTCAATAAAAGTCTTGTACATGTTAGATGAAAAGAAAATGAGAATAATCAAATTAATTAGCCCAAGTAATTAAAAAAAAACAGCAGTAAAAGGAATAATAGTATTTAAATATAATTAAATTACATCATTTGATATCTTAAATGTTGTATTAGTATTAATAAATATGTTATTCTGAATGGATAATAAACAAGTCATTCAATATTATTCATAATTTTAACATATAAGTGGTAATCAATGAAGAAATATATTATGAAAGTTATTACAATTGACAAAGTACCATCTAGTGAACTGGTAAAGAAATTTAGTTAAAAATCTATTAAAACTTTCTTTTCCATAATCAGTCATTGTTAGACCACCATTGGAAACCTGAAAGCACTGGACGGCCGCTTCGTCCTGGTATGGAACTCATCAGCAATGCGCAGCCACAACTCCTGAAACTATTAGGATTTGAACCAAGGAACTTCGGCCTTGCGCAAAAACGCTTAACCTCTGGACCACTGAGCCAATGTGCTCATTAGTGACTAACCTCGTGAAGAAATTCTTAGAATTCTAGTGAGATGTGACCGGTGGAGTTCAACCCCATCGAGTGAAGCAGTATCTACCGAAGACAAATGGCTCCTCAGATGAATCAGAGTTAGACATTAACACCGTTGGATGCGAGATAGCTTGAATACGGGATCAACTAAACAAATATAATAAATAACGATCTGAAACTCCATATGGGCAACACTGTCTTTGCTTGTTCTAAATTAATTATCAAATGAATGTAAATATCAAACTGAGAGATGCTGGGTCATTATTAGTATATATATATATATATATATATATATATATATATATATTATATAATATAATATAATATATGTAACTCATATAACCTACTGTATATTCACTGTATGTAGATGATTCATTCAAATCTTGTTCATCTGTATCTGTTTCATTGACCGATGAGGTTAATGAATCGACTGATTGTAGACTGTTTGATTTAATTTCTTCTTTTACAAAGCCTTTTTCAAGGTCGAGAGGACTTTTTGCTGATGATATTGTTTCAGTTGTGGATTGTTGAATTTTTTCGGTATTTGTATTAGTGGCTATTTTTTGTTTCGAAATGAAAGAAAACAGTGAATAAATTTATTTTACTAGTGAACATTTTTAAAAAATAATTTAATTTATGTTTACAACGAATTATTTTTATTAACACATTGAAATAAAGATACATTAAAATGTTACAATGCTTTATTCATTCATTAACAATACAGAAGATCATTTACAGTTGTTATTCATAAACAAAATAGAGATTGAAATAATCATGTATCGTTTCATAGTACTAGACCAAATCAATATAAATTAAAAAAAACTGCGAAATGAGGTAATACGACTAAAATCAGTGTTTATGAAATTGAGACAAAAAGCTTGATAAAAAAGGGTTTGAAAAGGAGTTTAATAATGGGACAAAAATCTACAAAATAATATTAAAAATCAGTCGGTGATAAAGTTTCAAAGCCTCTAATTCAATGTAACTAATTTTGGACAACTTCACTGTGTGTACCTACTGAAACACTAGAGAAACAATACTGAGAACGGATTTTAAATGCTGACTGATCATAGTGAGGTGGACTACAAGTGAGAAACTTGAATAATACCGAATAAAATGGTATAGAAGTCAGTCAGTCAGTTGCAGCGTAGAACTTCATACGTAAGTACATCAGTTCATGTTACCATACCACATTAGCACAGAGAGGTAATTGTCAATTCGAATCCAATATTAGTGGAGGTAGTAGAGGAAGTAATCAGAGAGGTTAAGATTGGAAGATATTATTCAAGAAGTACGATTCAGTGAGATAAGTTTAGAAAGTCAAAACTAGGGGTGTTGAAGAATCCAGAAGATTAGGATTTGAGAGAACACAAAGAATGAATGCACCGGTGCCATTGCAAACGGTATAGAGCCATGTCATTCAGAGTCTCTAACCATCGATTATTATCATCTCGAGGACCCCAACCAGGTAGTCGACAACTACCGATTTGGCTCAGTCCACTTGTCAATGACTTCATGGATTTGTGCCATTTTTTGGTCTGGCCGCCCCTAGCTTTCTTCCAACCTAACCCTACACTACAAAACAAAGCTCGTCGAGGCAGTCGGTGGTTGGGCATAAGTAACACTTGTCCTAACCACCTCAAATGATGAAGTTTCAGCACTTCATCCTTAGCTAACACCCATTTCCTATCAACAACATTGCTTACTCGGTTGTCTCACGATACTCGAGCAATGCTTCGGATACACCTATGATCGAAAACCAGTAACCTACGAATATCTTCCACCCTTACTCGCCATGTTTCACAGCCATAAAGTAAGACGGAGCGAACTACTGCACAGTACACTCGTCCTGTGGTCAGCAAACGGATATCTCGCCTACGCTATAAGTGACGCAGGTTGGCAAAAGCCAATCGAGCCTTCTGTATCCGAGCTGAGATTTAGTCAGTCACCAGGCCATCAGAGTTATAATCAATCTTATAACAATCTGTGTGTGGTTATATGTGCTTATTATTGACGTGAAATAATTTAAGCATTATACAAATAATCTTACTAAGTAAAACATCTAAATTAATAAAATTAAACCATGAACTTAGTGTTCATCTTTATGATCTGAATAACTACTTATTTTTATAGTTAAGGTACTCAATTACGTTGATGTAATGATAAGACATAATTTAGATGTACACATTTTTTAGTTCTGTTTATTAACCTGAGGAACATACATATCCTAATTTATTTAATTTCACTATGATCTTGTCAACTGTTTACAATCTAAAGCATTTTAAAAATCAAAATTATTAATCTAGAACAGACGGAGTGTGGCTAACAATGGAGTCTGAGACGGACGTTTCATTCTGTTTTGAGCTGATCAAACTTCGGTCAAAAATATCAACAACCGGATAGTCTGAACCATTTCAAGTGGAATTTAAATTGTATATAGTTGCCTAAAAAGTCATAGATTAGGTCTGTCTGGTGTAAATACCTGTCATCGTCGCAGAGTAAAGAATTGAATAAAATTAACCAGATCAGTGGCTAGTTTCGAAAGGAAATTCTTGAAGTTCTAATGAGAGACCGTAACCGGCAGAGTTCAACTGTATCGAGTGTAAAGTGGTGACCCACCAAAGACAATGCCCAAAGGTAGCGCAGTATCATGAGTCAGGTAAAGCTAGACATTGACCCTGATTCAGTGGTTTTGTTGGTTAGGCATTTGCGCCCCAAGCCGAAGGTCCTCAGTTTGACTCCCGAGTATGGGTTCGTGGATGCGCACTGTCCAAGAGGGAAACCAGACTCTCACCATTCTCAGCTGTACCATGGCACTTAGAGGCTATTGTTAATTCTTTTTAATTTATAAAGTGTATTAGTTACGTAATATCAAATAACTATTCCTACTACTATTTTCCATACTTTGCGTTATTCTAATGAGTAATCTTGCAAATCTAATAGGCTGTGTTCCATTGATGCTTACTTAAGTCACCCAACTAAATAGTAATCCTAAAGAGATTTATTAGGACTATGCTACCTAGTAGTATAAACTATTCTTGGCAGTGAAAATATTTATTATTTTATTCGGAAATTTATATAATTAAAAAAGCTCAAACAAGACAGATGGAAAAAAAAATGGAGAATTAAGGAAAATAGGGTGAATCTTACCAGTGAATAATAAAACTAAATTAATATAGCTTAGGTGGAACTACTGTCAGCCTGAGTTATGAATGAAAATATTAAAAATTGTCTTAAGTCTTGTAGAAATAAAGTCCTAACTAAGTTAAATATTCATCTCTCTGAACTATCTTCAAAAAAAAACGAAACAAAAGCGAATTTGAAATCGATTCTATGGATCATTCGAAGTGTACGGTTGTCAAAAGAAGATAAACGCCTATCAACTGTCATCATTGCGTCATTAGATTTAGAATAGATTTTTAGCCATCTTTATAATTATTGACAAATTTATTGAGCATGAAATCAATGTTTACGTTTAAATAAAATACACTTTAATATATTGAACATAGTAATTCGTCATGATCATTTATTAGTTTCGAAGCAAAATTATAGAAATGGATATTCTACGTTAATCAATCTGGTAATATTTTCTTCATGAAATCTAGTTTTTTGATAATATCATGAAAAGTTACTCATTAACTTGTTATCGAATTCCACATAGGTATTGATACGCTCACTAAACTGATGTGCCTGAATGCTATTACGAGCTCACATTACTCGGTAAATGGAACGAAAGTAATAACTCAGTGACACGACAGGCTATTCTAATTCGATTGTCCCCTACCCTGCTCACTAAAACAAGAAGTCTTAATAAGAAGTAGAGAATGTATTCTACAGGCACTCAGATCAAATCAAGCTCATTTATACAATGATATCAACGTACTAGGGAGAGTCACAAAATAGCGTACTAAAATGATCCACCAACCAATGACAGTCAAGGATTTTCCGAGTGCTAAATGTAAACTGAAGGTCGACCAAGCGACGTATGAGTGAAAACACAAAAAAAAATCAAAATTTCAGAAATACATTCCGGCTAAGGACCTTTTCCAAGTGAGTTCTGGTGATTTAACGTTCCTAACAGGTATACAAACAAATTTTTAGCCCAGTTAATCGATAACTTACAATCGTTTTTTTCAATAAGTTTGTCAGTTGATTCAACGGTCATATTTGCTACTTTTTCATTAAAAGGAAGTTTGATTACTTGACCAACAAATAATGTTCGAGATAAGAATTTATTAACACGACACAATTCTGAAGGAGTTAGATCGAATCGAGCTGCTACACTATTGAGTGAATCACCTTCTTGAACCTATTAAAAAATGTGAACAAACAAAAAATACTACCAGAGTAAAGAATCCATTCATAGTATCACCTTAGTACAATTATATTCAAGGTTCATAATTACCTTGTTCAAAAATGTTATGCTTGTCAATTGATATGATTGAAACTATTACGAGTTCACCGTAGTCGGTAAACGAGAGCGAAGGCGAATGATCCAGTGACACGATAGGCTACTCTAACCCGAACGTCCCAAGACCCCACTACTAAGTAGAGGAAGAACTCTTGGCAAGACGTAGAAAGTGTATTCTATAAGCACCTAGAAAATATGAGGTTTTTCAAGCATACAAATTGAGTTTATTTATACATCATAGAAGCGTCCTTGGAAGAGCTACAAAAATAGCGTCCTAAAATAATACATCAACCAATGACAGTCAAGGATTTTCCAAGTGGGAGATGTAATCTCAAGGTCAACTGATCAGCCCATGCTCGAAAACATAAAATTCAAAATTAGGACCTATATATATCCAGTAAGGTCTAGGGAACTAACATCCCCGAAACAGGAAAGTTAGCTACAATATTCAGAGAGATAGAAAATAGGCCGATCAACTGTGTGAGTAAATTGTCGAAGAATATAAGTACTGAAGTTAAATATTAGACCATAATAAACATCCTATGTACTTTTCTCATTATTCATATGTTGTAGAAAAGTTATGTTGTTTTGTATTAAACAAAGCTTAAACAAAATGAATTGAATTCATTGTCTCTTTTTTTTTTCATTATTCTCAAAGTAATCATCAATCGATTGACCTTTCTTTTTTATTTTGTTTTGTTTTACTTGTTTGATATTATTTTTTTTGTTTTCTGCTTCTTCTTCTTCTTATTATTATTCTTTTGAGTATTAGCCTTTCTGTTTCTCTCACATTCATCACGTGTATGGTGGTTTTTGTATTTGCTTGAAGAAAATTTAATGTTTTATTAAGAGACGGGTAGAAATGATGTTTTTTTGTAATTATCACACAGATTTAATAAGCATTTGTTATATGCGATAAAGTGATTCAAATTATTTTGATTGGATAATTTGGCATAGAAATGATAGGTTTTTTTGAATTTCAAAGTAGAAAACTAATAAAATTTCAGAGGAATGTTCAGCTAAGTAAAGGAAATACATACATAAGTGTTGTATTTAGTCTAGTTTGCGAATAGTTCCGTTCTATTTTTTTTTTTGAAATTTCTATTCAATTTAGCTTTACATTTATCGACTTTATACACAAAGTATTAGTATGTACACCGTAGTGGTACCGTAATTTCATGAGACAGATTTGATCATTAAAATTAATGCAGATCCATCAGATTGTAATGATTTGATATTTATCTTAAACCTAAAAGTGGAGAAAATTTGTAGCTCAGTTGGATGATTGTGGTGGTGTTTCGTTCTGTTAACAGAGCAAGCTACGGGTCAAACGTGGATAAATTCGAGTAATTCTCAGCTCTACCTAAAGTTTGTGCTGATGATGTTGTTCAGAAGAAAAACAGTGAAAGCTTCACACAATCGAAATATCCAGCTCAGAGAGCGAAACACCACCACAGTTTGTTAAAGATAGTAAACTTTTTCAAAAATACAAAGAATTTTAACGTAATCAATAGGTATAATGTCTAAATACTATAAAGTATAAAATTTCAATTACAATCGAACAAGATTCATTATCACAAATCGTATAATACTTCTGTAAACCATAAGAAATCGGTTTGTTTTAGATGATCAACAAAATGTTTATCAATTTACTTTCTGGCAATGGTACCATACATGACTCAAATTTATTAATGAATACTATTCTGTCTCATTACAAAACACACTGAGAGAGAGAGACAGAGTGAGAGTAAGTGAGTAAACTTACAACATATTCTGTAGTTTGTTGTGTAATGATATTTTTCACTGGTTTATCAGTTTTTGCACAGTCACATTTTGGTTTCTTTTTTCTTTTTCTCCTATCCAGTTTGTCAGGATTTCCACTTGCACTTGTAGAAGATTCATTTGTGGATGTGATTCGTTTACGAGTTCGTCTTTTTACTTTCTTAATTCCTTCTGCTTGTTTAACTGCAAAATGATAATAACAATAATAATAATAATATTGACGGAAGACCATGAGTAATGACTATAAAATGGTAACATTTTGATCAATGAAGTTTGTATGTGACCAATCAATTCCAATACACTTTCTTTTCTTCTTTACAATTTGAAATACAACTACCTCGTCGTAGGTTTTTGAAAGAACTCAGAAATATGTGTTTTCATCCTGTTTAAAATTACTGGAGACTATTTTTTTTTAGAGTTTTTTAAATCAAAGCATCTGAAGTTCTAGATTGTTTAATTTAAAATAACTAAAAGTTGAGTAGATTATCAGACTACTTAGTATAGTAGTAGTATCATAAAAGTAAGCTGCAGATGGAAATGGGTTAGTCATTAATAGAAATATATCACATCATTTACTCTAGGCTGTATTATTTATCATAATTTTTTGACAGTATCCTATTTTGTAATCCAATATTCCTGTTCAATAATCACTGTTCTACAAACTTTTTATTTTCAGCGTGTATTCGTCATTTGGATAAGAGTAAATAGGATTAAAAACTTAATTTTGGAGATGAGTATGCTCTATGTAAATTAATGTCTTCAAAAATACTTCAGTACGAGTTAAAATTAAAATTCACCGCTGATCAGTGTACTACAAAAACCTGTTTATCCTATATATGAAAACGATTTTATGAGTGAAGAAGGTAGCCAATCTTATTCATGCCTAGGATTCAAATTCGATTGCCAATAAAACTACAGTAGCTTATTAAAATTGATAATTGAATAATGTCTTTTTCTTGCCATATGTTTTTCACATAAATAAGAACCATTTCCTTTATTTTGACATGACTAAAACTTGAATTGTCTGGAAATTTCTTTCGATTAAGTTAAAACAATTGAAAATTGAGTACAGGAGTGAATAAAAACCCAAAAAAATAATTCAACTTATTTCTCAATGACTAATGGAAACAAATTGTTACACATGCAAATGTATTATTTTCAAACTTTTTTTTTCGAATGTAGACAACCATACGAGACGTTTTTAGAACTATACTATGTACAGTTTAACTATGAAAGGTTATTTTTGACTAGTTGATGGGTTTTTATTGGATGTAATAAATAAGGTTCGTTTTTTGGAAAACTAAATGGCTATTTATAGAGTGTAGTTTTAAATAACAGTAACAAAATGATATTATGTAAACAGACAAAAAAATGAAAATGGATACAATCCTCAAGTGATGTCATTTTATTTATAGTAAGTCATTATGGATTCACGTATATTTCTTTGGGTGGAAGAAGGAATTATTTGATCTTCTAAGGTATAGTTCATTACTAGAAAGTAAAATGGAGTTTTTTTTGAAACAGTTAATTTTACGATATTTCAATTAGAGTTATGGAGGTGAGTGTTATTTTGTACACTGATATCATCAATCAATCATTGTTAGACTTTCGATCCTTGGTCCGAATCCTGCGAGGTGGATGGACACTGCTGATAAGTCTCATACCAGGACAAAACAGCCATTCAGTGCTTCCAGGTATCTAATGGTGGCCGAACAATGATTGAATAATGATTTCAACGTGCAAAAAAAAATAAATTTTATTCTATTCAGTAATATGATTTGTACCGAACTCATTTGCCTTTTCTTTTCTCCAAAAATTACACCACTAAACTAAACTGGAATAATTAAACAGAAAACTAAATAACATACAGGTATGTGGATATTGTTTGATTATGTTTGTTAGTAGAGTATTATACAGTATGACGTCAATATTATTTGAATTATTCTTTTCATCAAGCATGTTTTATTTCTTTTCGAATGTAATATTATATAATCCAAACAAATTATTTTAGATACAAATACAACAAAGTTAAGGACTATGAAAACAATAGCATTTATTAACTCCGATCTATCCACCTTTATCTACTGCTTGTAGTGCTAACTGTTTCATATCCGACACGGATTGAAATTGACTGATTACGACTTATATTGATTAATAGTCGTTATTCTTTATTTCCAGCGACTTATCCTTCAATTCACGTAACATTGATCTTAAGGTGTCGCTAACACGAAAATGAAATGTTATATCATCGTAAATAATAATAATAATCTTCTTGATGTCATACCCTTTTTCTTCGTGGTATTTGGAACTTTTGATTCACGCCGCCTGTACCACTTGTAGCTGGATTGCAACAAGAAACGAAGGCACAATTAATCTAACAACTAACATCATCCGGAAGATATAAGTATTTATTAACAGTTGTCTTTGCAAAATACTTAGGATCCGTTGGCCAGACACCATCATCAACAACCTACTGTGAGAAGGAACAAACCAGATTCTATTGGAGCAAGAAATCAGGAAGAAGCGATGGAAGCCAATAGGACACACATTGAGGAAAGCACCCGACTGAGTCTCAACACAAGCCCACACTCAGGACTATCAAGGACAAAGGAAAAGAGAAAGGCCAAAGAACATCTTACGCCGAGGAATGGAGACAGACATGAGAAGAATGAACAACACTTGGACTGAACTAGAAAGGATAACCCAGGACAGAGTAGGTTGAAGAATAATGGTCGGCGGCCTATGCTCCATTAGCGGTACTGACGTAAGTATTATGATTTCGATCAATCTGTAGTATTTATTAACATTTAATGTCATAATTAATTCTGTGACCATCTTCATTCTATATGAATATCGACAATCGAAATTTTAAAGATGTTATTTTAGATTTACAATTTACAAAAATAATTAATAAATTCGTGATTATTTTATTGAAACAGTTTATTCAAGGATGAATTGTAGTCAGTTAGTAATTTATGAACTGAACAACTATTTCGTTTTTTATGAAATATTTCATTATTTTTGTTTAGTTGAAAAGTCACATTAAGTTTTAAATAACTAAACCTGGTCAAGATGGTGGAATGCTGATAGGGTAAGTTATAGATTAAGATTTGCACTTTATGAAAAGAACTAATTGGTTTAATTTGCTTCTTTTATTTTAATAACTCTTGAAAAGTAATGAACTGGAATTATAAAACTATGATATTTCAAATTAATGACTTTGATCCATTTACCATAACAGCTCTGCTGGAAATCTTTGAATGTTTAAGGAGATTTAGCTGAATATGAAAAGAAACTTTTAAACATTAGGTCTCAGGTTACTGATAAAAAGAATATTAAAAGTTTATCAAGAGAAAAATCATTCTACGCTTGATTCACCTTAGTGAACAGTTACAAAACATTTTTTGAAAAAATGTTATTCACAGCCTATTCTATATTTTTTCGCTGATATTCAAAAGTTCTTCACTTAGAATGCAAATAAATTATTTTTATATTATTTGGAACAAAACAAATCTAGAATTTATCTTCCTTTATCATATATATATATATGAGTGAGTAGGTAAAAAAATAGATTGTTATTATTATTTTTTTCGTACTATAGTCGTACAGACACACAAAAATACAAACACAACCAATTTTAGATTTTCTCGTTTAATTTCGATACTCACGTGAATAATGGGTAGTGTAATTTAGAATTTGACAACAAATTACTAGGGAAAATAAGTTTTACCTATTCACAACCATTATTGTATTCATAGTTGAAATTGTAGAGATAATACAAGTGCCAATGAAAGGGATGCAAAGTTGACAGGTGAGGCTGTATATGGTGTGATTGTGTGAGTTTGAAAATTCAGACAGACTATCCAACATGTAAAAACGTACAAGTTGAGATGTACACCTTTTAATTTTGAAAATTCGACGATACTTTTATGTTTAAAATGGAAACATTTAATGGGGGAGTGAAGTGATTTTCAAGGTCAACATTGATTAATTCAGAAGGACATTGAAATAAAGTAAAAAAAAAATGGAAACGTTGAAAAAAGTTATTACACTTATCATAGAAATTGTACAACCGAAATTGTACGGTTACACATGTGGTTTAAAACTAGCTAACTATTTAAATGAATAAAAATTCATATCAAATAAATTTCTAATGAGCATTTCATTCATTCCTAGCGAATTCGAATCTATTAAAGCGAAACAAATAGAAACTGATAGCATTAATCAAATCTCGTCCTTCTGTTCATGTTTATTTATTTAAAAATCTTATGAAGCAGCTATAAATAAATATCAAGAGATTATATCTTGGCTGCACCAGCTGGCTTTCAACCAATAAGTTTCAAGTTCCAACGATTCTCCGTTTCAAACAAATCCTCACCAATTCTCAAGTAAACAGTATGTAACGAAGTATTTAAAACTATTAGTGGTGAAATGGAAAACATTATGTACTGTTTTATGTGAATTGTAGTATTTGCGTAGATTTTAAATCACGAACTGATCTCAGCTAAACAATTATAGAAAACTAGGAAATATTTAAAAGGCTGTTAAGTTCTAGTATGAAAATCCTCAGCGTTGTGAAAGCAGGGAATTAATTGGATAAAAGCTTATTAATGCCATTTTTAAGATGGAAAGAAATCAAAACCTTTTTGACAATTTATTGTTATACACTATTCGCTGGATAAGACCGCAATCAAAATGTGACAGTGTGAAGATAATATAGCGTAAAACAATTGTTTAAGCGATTTGCTGTATAAGGTGAAAACGCTCAAAAAGTTTTATTAAATTGTAAATACAAAAGATATGCATTATGGAAAGCAAAACGACATCTATAAACGTACAAGATTGTTTTCAATTTGATAGTCATCAAGATTTACCTAGAGATACATGAATTTTCAAACAAAAATATTAAATGAATCGAGCCCGATGATCAGTTAACGGTCACAATGAAATAGATAACGCAAATAAACGAAAAGTAAAAACTGATACAAAAAGGAGGGTAAACCATTTTTTTTATAAGAAATGCTAAAATAACTAAAGATCTAGTCGATCTTTCAACTCAAGGAAAAGGTCAATCTGAAATAGAAGCTTTAAAATAATCAACATAAAAAAAACGAACAATAGGTGGATAGAAGTGTGTAAACAATCGCATAGTGAAGAATTTGAATGGAAACGCGTAAAAGTGT